AGAGGTACTCCTCGAGCTCCCACCCAAACGTCGTAACGCTCTCCCTCGCGACGTTACGCGACAACGCGTCGCTGGTCACGTCCTGCGTCGAAGGCGTCGGCGCGTTTTCAAACGCGTGCGGCGACGCGTACGTCCACCGCGGGAACTTCCTCACCGCGGCGCTGTGCCCGCTGCTGCGCAGGCTCGGCGACGACAACGTCAAGGTGAGCGACGCGGCGGCGGCGGCGCTGAGGGTCGTCGCGCACAACGCGGGGCACGGCGTCGACGTCGGCGTCGGCGCGGGCGGGACACGAAAACCCGGTTCCGGTTCTTCGCACCAATCGGCGGTCGCCGCGCTCGTCGTCGCGAACGCGGACCACGTCGTGGACATGCTCTCGCGCCACTTGCGCCACCTGGACGACCACCCGGACGCGCCGTCGTTCTTTGCCGCGGTGTTCGGCGGCGAAGTCGGCGCCGCGCGCGCGGCGTTGCCGCTGTTACGCGAGCCGCTCGGACGCGCGTTGGATGCGATTTCGATCCAACGACGGAGGAAGAACTGGCGGCACGCGTGCGCGTTTCTCGGCGTCGCGCGCGAGGTCTGCCGCGCGGTGTCGCTCGAGGGCGAGGAAGGGCTCCGCGACGCGCGAAACGCCGCGGCGACGGTCGCGCCGCTGCGCGAGCTCCTTCGCGAGATGGAAGACCGCAGAGCCGACGCCGCCGCCGCCGCCGCCGACGACGACGCCGACGACGACGACGACGCCTCCGTCGACGCGACGCTCGCAGCCGTGATCCAAAACTCCCCCCACCGCGCCGCGTGCGCCGCAATCAACGTCCCCGCGATAATCACCGACTGGTGCGTCCGCGTCCGGTCCGCCGCGTCGAGCAGCGCGCTCGCGTCCGACGTCCTCGCCGCGTCCGCGCCGTTGCTGCAGTCAGAGGACGCCAAGACGCGAATCCGCGCCGCCGACGCGTGCCGCGAAGCCGTCCTCGCGCTCGCCGTCGTCGAGCGCCAAGCGAAAGAGGAAACGGCCACGCACGAGACGTTAAAGCGGTTGTATCCGCACGACGTCCCGGTCATCGTCAGCGAGGCGGAGACGCCGAAGAAGCTGCTCCCGAGGGTGCACGCGCTCTGGCCGCACCTGGTGATGTCGCTCGGGCATCGGTTGGGCCCGGCGGTGAAACCGGACGCGTTGAAAGCGTCGTTGGAGCTCTTGATCGCGACGGCGACGGCGAGCAAGGGAGGGTTCATCGCGCGTAGGGTCGCGAGCGAGCTTTGGCCGTGGTTGCGGCGCGTGATCGACCGCGGCGTCGCGCACGTCGGCGGGCTCGGCGGCGAGTTCGGCGGCGTCGCGTCGTCGCGGCTCGACAAGCTGTACGTCGCGGACGAGGCGAAAGAAAACGTTTTCGAGGCGAACGAAAAAGCCGTGGTAACCGTAACCGTCGCGGACGACGTCGCGCCGCGGCAGACGGACGCGGTTCGGATCTCCATCTTCGACGCGATCGCGCGGATGTGCGAGGACGAGGACGCGCGCGGGGCGATCGCGGACGTCGCGGGGTGCGCGACGCGCGCCGCGCTTCCGTTCGCCGTCGGCGACGCGTCGTCGGCGTCGTCGAGACGTCCCTCATCGGAGACCAACCAAAACAAAACGACAGGGGAGGTTCGAAGAGCCGCGGAGCGCGCGCTGAGAGGCCTCGCGAAGGTGGACGAGGACGCGGTGTGGTGCGCGTTGGCGAGCGTCGCGACGGGGCGCAGAGGCGCGGAGACGCCGACGCCGCCGCGGTGGGACGGCGCGTTCTATACACTGGTCCCCATACGACCCCGTTCGCGTGGTGAACGCCGATCCTTAAAAACTTTCTCTCCCGGCGTCTCTCTCCGCCCAGGGTCCCACGCTTTCAATCCCGACACACCTCGACGCCTTTCAACTCCGCTTCTGACGCCTATGAACTCCACCCCGACGTCGCTTTGTATGGACCCTCGACCCTCAGGGAACGCAAACGCAAACGGACGGACGAAGGTTCGTCGTCGCGACGAGACCCCGCTGCCGACGCTGCCGAGCTTTCGGGAGATATCGCCGCTGCCGCGCGGGGGGGACGCGGAAGTGAACGCGCGCGCGTCGAAGGCGGCGTTCGCGATCATGGCGACGTGCGGGATGGCGGGAGTCGCCGTCGGCGGCGGCGACGGGAAATGATTTGTTAGATTCGTTAGAAAAGAGGCGCGGCGATCGATCGGTCCAAGTGAGCGGTATCGGTCCTTCCTAGACCCTTCGTCGCGCGCCGCGCCGCGTCGCTCGTCAACTCTTCTTGCCGCCTCCGCTCCCCAGCGCGAGCGCGAGCGCGACGCACGCGGCCGTGCTCGCGAGGCTCGCGGTTCTGTCCGCGTCCGATTCCTTCTCGCCGAAACTGCTAAGCAATTGTTTATCTATCTCCGCGGTCGCCGCCTCCGCGTCGTCGGCGGCGGCGAGAGCGGCGGCGGCGGCGGCCGCGAGCGTCGTCGCGGCCGCCACACGACGTCCGAGGCGCGGCGGCGGCGTCGTCCGCGTCGGCGCGTCCGCGGTGGACGAGGACGCGTCGCGCGCGGGGGACGACGACGAGGGCGTTTCCGTCTTCTCCCGCGATGAAGACGAAGACGACGACGACGCCCGGGGGCTTCGACGCGACGCGCGCGCCGCGAGACGCGGGCGCGCGACGTTCGCGAGCACGAGCGCGCTCGACATCTCGCGACGGACGGACGGATGGACGGACGGGAGCGCGTCCTTCGCGCGCGCGCGCGCGTCGCTTATGTCCCCTTCCGGAACTCTCACTGCAAAAGAAGCCATCAGGATGAACGCTGAGTCGTCATCACTGCGTCGCGCGCGCGCTCGCCATGTCGAAGAACGGCGGGTACATGACCGGCTTCGCCCCGCCGCCGAAGCGCGACGACGGCGGGAACGTGGACTCCGCGCGCGGCGACCGCGGCGGCGACCGCGGCGGCGGACGCGGCGGCGGGCGCGGCCGAGGCGGCGGCGGGCGAGGCGGCGGCCGCGCGAAACTCGATCTCTCGCACGGATTCGTGCGCAGCATCGTCCGGAACCAAAACGATCGCGCCGCGTACGAAAGCGCGTGGCAGGAGCAGGCGGCGACCGAGACGAACGCCAACAAGAAGGCGTACGGCATCGGGATCAACGTCGTGAAGGACGGACGGGAGTGGAAAGACCCGAAGCCGTGGATGTCGTTCGAGCGCGAGGGCGGGGGGGGATCTGGCGGGGGGCGCGGAGGAGGATCTGGAGGGCGCGGCGGGCGCGGCGGAGGACGAGGCGGCGCACGCGGAGGATCTGGCGGCGGGCGCGGCGGGGAGGCGAAACACGAAACGCCGGCGGCGCCCAAGGTGGAGTCCGAGCGGAAGACGCGGAAGACGAACGCCGCCAAGGGCGGCGGCGGCGGCGGCGGCGGCGGAGGAGGAGGAGGGAATCGTCCGTCGAATGATCCGTCGTCAAATCCGCGGCCGAAAGAGGAGAGCGTGGAGGACCTCGCCGCGTGGTGGGGCAGCAGCGGCGGCGACGAGGCCGCGCGGGAGATCGAGCGCGCGAAGAAGCTCGAGGAGAACGCCTCGAAGCGCGGCGGCGGCGGCGGTAAAGGCGGCGGTAAAGGCGGAGGAGGAGGCGGAGGAGCAGGAGGCGGCGGCGGCGTAGAGATGGGCGGGGATCTGCGGAGTCGGCTCAGCGGCGGCGGCTTCGGCGAAGGGAACCAGAGCGAGAGCCGCGGCCAGGGCGGCGGCGGCGGCGGCCGCGGCGGTCGCGGCGGTCGACGTAACAAAAAGGAGAAGGAAAAGGAAAAGGAGAAGGTCCGCCGTCGGCCCTCTCCGCCGAGGAATCCGCCGGCGGCGCCGCCGGCGCCGGCGGCGCGGGAGTCGGCGAAGCCGTCGATACTGAGTCGGCTCTCCGGCGCGCCGCTGCCTTACGAGCCCCCGGCGGAGGTGGAGGAGGAGGAGGAGGAGGAGGAGGAGGAGGACTACGATGAGGAAGAGGACGAGGACGAGGACCAGGATGGAGAGTACGAAGACGAGGAGGAGGAAGAGAGCGAGTACGAAGAAGAGGAGGAGGAGGAGGAGGAGGAGGAGGGCGGGTCGGACTCCGAGTGGGAAGAAGTCTCGGACGAAGACGACGACGACGACGACGCTCCGGCGTTGGGCGCGTTGGCCGCGCTCGGTGCGCTCGCGGCGCCGGCGCCGGAACCGGCGAAACCGTCCATTATCAGCCGTTTAAGCGGCGCGCCCGTGCCCGCGCCCGCGCCCGTGCCCGAGCCCGAGCCCGAAGAAGACCGAGAAGAAGAAGAAGAAGAAGAGGTCGCTTCGAAGCCGCCGCCGGCGAAGCTCAACGCGACCGCGCCCGCGTTTTCGTTCGCGCCGCCGTCGAAAGAGACCCCGACGGAGGAAAAACTTCCGCCGGAGGCTGCGGCGGCGACCGCGGCGGCGACCGCGGCGGCGACCGCGGCGTCGAAAGCGGCGTCGGCGGCGGCGGACGCAGACGCGGCGCCGGCGCGAGCGCGAGCGCTCGCGACGCCGTCTGATGAAGACGCGGCGGCGACCGCGGCGAGGGCGGCGAAGGTGGCCGCCGCGAAGGAAGCCGCGCGGCTGACGGAGCTGCGACGCGAGAAGGCGATCATGAGCGAGAAGCTCGCGGCGATCGAGGCGGAGAAGGCGGCGTTGAAGGCGAAGTTGGCCGCCGCCGCCGCCGCGAGGTCGCCGAAGAAAACGGTTCCGGCGGCGGCGGCGGCGGCGGCAGCTCCGGCTCCGGAGGAACCTGAACCGTCGCCGGAACCTGAACCGTCGCCGCCCGCGGAGGAAGAGGACGACCCGTGGGCGGCGCTGGACGAAGAGCTCGAGAAGGCGATCGCGGAGAAGGGCAGCCGACGGCGGTGACGCGACGGGAGGCGTTTCTCTCACGGCGGCGTTAGCGTTGTTATTAGACAGGATACATAAAAAAAAATTTCTCGTCAATCGAACGTGATCTTCGTCGCCTTGACGCTCGTGTCCACGTCCTTGAAGTGCGCGCCGTACAGCTTGCTCTCCTTCTTCTTCACGTGCGTCCCGAAATTCGTCAACGCGTCCGGCACCTCCGCGCCCGCCTCCCTCAGCACGTTCGCGAGCTCCCCGGCTCTCGCCTTATCGTGCACCGTGAACAACGTGTGCGCGATGCCCGTCTTCCCCGCCCGACCCGTGCGTCCGATCCTGTGCACGTAATCCTCCGTGGTCAGCGGGAACGTGTAGTTGATAACGTACTCCACGCCTTTGATGTCTAATCCTCGCGCGGCGACGTCGGTGGCGACGAGCAAGGGCTTCGACCCGTCCTTAAACGCGGCGACGGACTCCTCGCGATCTCGTTGCGTCATGTCGCCGTGGATCGGGACGCACGCCCAGTTTTGGCGTCTGAGGGTCGTTCCGTACGAGCGACGATGTCGGGGTGGAGTTGAAAGGCGTCAGGGGTGGAGTTGAAAGGCGTCGAAGGCGGGGATTGAAACCGAGGGGTGATGAGCGGAGAGATGCGCCGGGAAGTAAAGTCCTCAAGGAATCGCGTTCACCACGCGAACGGGGCCGTATGGGGACCAGTTTGAAATAAAGACATAGAACGCGCCTCAAGTTCTCCGCGACGCGCGCGCACTCCTTCTTATACAACGCGAAGATGAGCGTCCGAGGCGTCGGGGTCTGACCGCCGCAGTACTTCTTGAGGAGACGAGTGAGATGCGAGTCTTTATCGTTCGGCTCGACCACCTCCACGATCTGCGTGATCGAGTGCGACGCTTTCAAACCTTCCGCGCCGATCCGCACCTTGACCGGGTCGCGCATGAACTCCGACGCGAGGCCTGGGCGGAGTTGAAAGGCGTCAGTGGCGGAGTTGAAAGGCGTCATAGGGTCGGGGATTGAAAGCGGGGGACCCTGGGCGGAAAGAGACGCCGGGAGAGAAAGTCCTTAAGGAACGGCGTTCACCACGCGAACGGGGTCGTATGGGGATCAGTGTGATAATGAGAACGCGCCTTGGATGGACATCGGCCACGTCGCGCTGAACATGACGGTTTGCCTATCCGCGCGCGTCGCGCCGGCGATCTCCCGAATCTCCGGCTCGAACCCCAAGTCTAACATCCTGTCCGCCTCGTCCAACACCAGCGTCGTGACGCGGTCGAGCTTGACGTCGCCGTCGTTCATGAAGTCGCGGAGGCGGCCCGGAGTGGCGACGACGACGGCGCAGCCGCCGCCCTCGCGCATCTGTGGGTCGTTCCATACAAGCGATTGTCGGGGTGGAGTTCAAAGGCGTCAGATGGATTTGAAAGGCGCCGAGGGCGGGGATTGAAACCGAGGGATGGGCGGAGAGAAGCGCCGGGCAAAGTCCTAAAGGATCGGCGTTCACCACGCGAACGGGGTCGTATGGGGACCAGTGTATAGAACGCGCCTGTTTTTTTTGCTCCCACTTCGGCGCTCCGCCGTAAACGCACACGCATCGGACGTTACACGACTTGCCCGCTTCGTCGAACACGCGCGCGGTCTGCTGCGCGAGCTCGCGCGTGGGCGCGAGGACGAGGCAGATCGGCTGCCCCGGTTTCGCGGGGGGCTGCGCGGCGAGGAAAGAAGCGTATGTTTTCGCGTCAGTCAAAAAGTTGTTTCGGTCGGGTCGATCAGTTGAACGAAAGAACTGCGGGTCAAAGTTGAAACCGTGGTGGGTGAACGAAGGCGAAAACGCGAACGCGCCTGCGAGAGAATCTGCGTCAGCGCGGGGAGTCCGAACGCCAGCGTCTTCCCCGACCCGGTCGCGGCGATGCCGACCATGTCCCGGCCGCTCAGGACGATCGGCCACGACTGCGCTTGAATCGGCGACGGCCTCTGAAACGCGCTCGTCGCCGCGAGGACGTTCGGAGGAACGCTGCCCTTCATCTCCGCGAAGGCGACGCACGGCGCGACGTCGAGCGTGCACTCCTCGATGCCGTTGCTCTCGCGCCGCTCCGCGATTTCGGACTTGGACAGCGCCGCGACGGAGGACGCGGGGACGTAGAAATCGCGCTTGAAGGGCGGCGCGGAGGCGGCGAGGTCGCGGTCGCCCACCTTGGCGAGACCGCCGCCGATGTCGCCGCGATGCGACGACGACGATTTCTTCGCAGCCTTCTTCGACGACGGCGCGGCGGCGGTCGCGTCGTCCGCGCCCACCTCGCGCTCGCGCTTCTTCTCCTTCTTCTCCTTCTTCTCCTTCTTCTCTTTCTTCTCCTTCTTCTCCTTCTTCATCTTCTTCCCTTCGGAGCCCATGGCGAGACGCGTGCGTGCCGGCCGGTACGCGCGCGTGCGAGTGCGCCGCCGCCGTCGCATTATTCCGAGAGTTTGTTTTCCGACGTCTGGTCGCGTCGAGTGATGAGCGTGAAAAATTTTGTTCGAGAGAGAGTTCGAGGTCGAGTTCGGCGTCGCGGGAGAACTACTGTACACTAAACGAACGTTCAAACGACGACGACGACGACGACGCGAATTTCCCCGCGGCGTGCCTGCAGCGCGTTACAAACCACCACCTAATAACGACCCACCCTCGATCCCTAAACCACCCCCACGCCCCCGCGGCTCCCGTCACGCGGTGAAGTCGTATAGGCACACCGACGCGTCGTCGCCGACGGCGGCCAGCCGCCCCCCGCCTCCTGCGTGGGTGAAGCGATCGGTCAGTCGAACGTCTTACCGGTCAAACGTTGAAAGGGAAGCGCGGGTGAAGAGTGACGACGGGAAAAGTCCTTAAGGAACGGCGTGCACCACGCGAACGGGGTCGTATGGAAAGCAGTCTCACCGCCTCCGGTCCCCGGCTTGAAACACGCGCCCCACGTCGCGTCCGACACGTCCGACACGCTCTGCGCCATCTTCCCCCCCACACCCAGACCCTGCGTGAGATCCCACAGCTTCACGGTGCCGTCCGCGCCGCAGCTGACGACGGCGCGGCCGCACGGGCTCGCGGCGACGCTCAGCGCCCACGCGTCGTGCCCCGGGAACGATTGCGTCAGCGACCTGCGGAATGAAGCGACGTGATTGGTCAGATTCGGCGCGACGACGTGGCAGATCGTGTGGTGGGTAACGAGCGACACGACAGACGTGGACGCCACGTAGGAACGAACGACGATACGATACGATCGTACTGGGACCACCAATCTCGAGAAGTCGAGTCGGGAGGGACCCAAAAGTTCTTAAGGAATGAAGTTCACAACGCGAACGGGGTCGTATGGGGAGCAGTCTCAGACGCGCCTCGTCTCGACGTCGTAGGCGTGGACGTATCCGTCGTCGCACGCGGTGAACGCCGTCTTCGAGTCGACGCTGAAGCACACGCCTCGGACCGGCATCGCGTGGCCTTCGAGCGTGTGCAGAAGCTTCCTCGAGGGGACGTCGAAGACGGCCACCGTGCCGTCCATGGCGCCGCACACGACGCGTCTACCGTCGGGCGAAAAAGCGATCGAATGCGCGAATCGCGACGATCCCCCACCCGCCGCCCCTTTCCCGCCGTCGCCTCCTCCCGTCGCTCTCGGCAGCGGCATCGTCGCGACGCACGCGCCGAGGTCGTCGCCGTCCGCGACGGAGTACAGCTTCACCGCGCCGCTGACGCCGCCCGCGAGCGCGAGGAGCGTCGGGGCGGCGTCGTCTTTCGTCGGCTGAGGGTCGTTGTCCATACGAGCGACGATGTCGGGGTGGAGTTGAAAGGCGTCAGAAGCGGAGTTCACAGGCGCCGAGGGCGGGGATTGAAACCGAGGGGTGGGAGGAGTGATGCGACGGGAAAAGTCCTTAAGGAACGGCGTTCACCACGCCGACGGGGTCGTATGGGAACCAGTGTAAACATGAACGCGCCTCGAACGCGACGGCCCAATTTTCAGCCGCTGGGCACTCGATCACGCATCGCGTCTCGTGCGTCTTGAGATCCCACACGCGGACGAAGGAGTCGAGCGCGGAGGACGCGACGAGGCCGTTGGACGCGACCGCGAGGGAGACGACGCCGAGGGTGTGGCCTGGGTGGGGGGGAGTGAGTTTCATAGGGGAGTTTGAGGGGAGAGGTCAGGGTTGATGAGGACGAAGATGAATGATGAAATGATGACGACGCGACGCGATCGGGAGAGGACGCGCGTTGTCGCGTCGTTCGATCGATCGATCGGACCGAGCGCGATGAAGTGACGAAACGAAAGTCCTTAAGGATCGGCGTTCACCACGCGGACGGGGTCGTATGGGAAGCAGTCTCACCTTGGTAGTCGTGCACCATCTCGAGCCCCTCCGCGGTCGCGCGCCATGATTTCACCGACTCGTCCACGGACCCGGTGAGGAGCAGATCGCCGCCGTCGTCGTCGCCTGTGGGACACCACGCGACGGACCACACCGCGTCCGCGTGCGCGGACGTTTGATGCGCGAGGGGCGAGAGTTTCATGACGAACGGGGCCGCCTGAGCCGCGCGATCAGAACTGCCGATCGCCGCGCGGAGACGAGAGAGAACCTTTTAGGGCACCTTCGAGCTCCGACAGGTTAGGGCAGACGGCCCAAGAATGCACCGAACTTTTTTCCGATCGAGCTGAACAGTTCTGGCCGCGTCGGCGACCCCGAGGAGTGTCGCATCAGTACCATAAAGCGACGCCCGACCCGACGACCGTCGTCGCGACGATGCGTCTTCCTCCCGCGCGGCGCGCGACGTAGACAACACCCATCTCCTCGCCCACCTCGCACGATGATGACGGCGCCGCCGCCGCTCGACCCGGGCCCCGCCCCCGCCCCACCCGTCGGCGGCGGCGGCGCGGGCGCGCGCGGGCGACGGTGCGTGCGTCAGATTGTGTTACTGGGCGGGCGCTACGCGTGGGCAGTCACGAGCGAGCACCCGGAGCACGGCTGGCCCGCGGTTCGCGTCCCGAGCGAGTACGAGGTGCGTCCTGGGCGCGCGCGAGTCGTCGTCGTCGCCCGCTCGGCCCCGCGCGCGACGCGCGCGGGGCGTCCTTCGCGTGCAATTCTCTCGTTGTTTTCTCTTCGTCGTCGCGTTCGTTCGTTCATTCATTCATTCATCTCGTTCCCTCGTCTTCCTCGATCCGTCGTCGCGCCTCTCGTCCTTCGCTCGCCGACCCTGGCGCTTCCCTCGTCCATCGCAGCTCGAGTTCATGCGCCCCGACGACGCCATCGACCGCGACCGCGACCGAGACGATCGAGACGATCGAGAGCGCGAACCCGCCGCGCGTCATCCGGTACTTCTCCTGGGGCCCGAGCCGCTCGCCAGATACGTCCGAAGCGCGCGCGACGTCGACGCGTCGTCGATGACGAAAGACGTCCACGCGTTCCTCCTGGAGCTCATCACCCCGACGCCGAATACTCGCGCGGCGGTCTGTTCGCCGTGGTCTGGTATCGACGCCGCGGTCGACGCGCTGTTCGAGATGCTTCCGGACGTTCTTCCGAAAGTCCTTAAGGAACGGCGTTCACCACGCGAACGGGGTCGTATGGGAAGCAGTCTCACCGCTCTTCCTCCGAGTCCGGACGCGCCGCGCGAGGGAACGAGACGCTTCGTCCCCGCGGAGGAGGAGTCGTGCTCGGCGTGGGGCGACGAGGACTCAGGCGCGTTCATGTTTACACTGGTCCCCATACGACCGCGTTCGCGTGGTGAACGCCGATCCTTAAGGACTTTATCTTCCGGCGCATCTCTCCGCCCAAGGTCCCCCGCTGGTTTCAATCCCGACACGCCGCGACGGCTTTCAACTCCGCTTCTGACGCCTTTCAACTCCACCCCGATATCATCGCTCGTACGGAACGACCCTCAGCGCAATGGGTCGGCGCGATCCTCGACGACACCTTCGGGCGAGAGACGCGGGAGAAGGCGCGGCGGCTGCACCGCGGTCGCGGCGGCGCCGACGAAGAACCAGAACCACGCCCGAAGGTCGCGACGACGCCGAAGCGCGACGTCGCTGACGCCTTGTACGAGCTGTCGCGGTACTACGGAGCAGGTGCGACGGAGCAGGCGAGGGGGTGGGGGTTCGTGGAGGCCGAGGCGACGGCGGGCGCGGGCGCGGGCGCGGGCGCGGGCGCGAGAGAGGAGGGATCCGGATGGGGGACGATGCGCGTCGCGATGGTGGGTACTACTGATACCGCGCGCGATACGGGGCGCGCGTACGCGGAGATCGCTTCGGCGGCGAATCCGGCGGAGGGGGAGATGGAGACGCTCCCCGCGTCTTCGCCCGTGGCGGTCGGCGCGATGGACGCGAGAGAGGAGTCCGGCGGCGGAGTCCGGAGTCCGCTCGCGCCGCGATTTCCGGTGAGACTGCTTTCCATACGACCCCGTTCGCGTGGTGAACGCCGTTCCTTAAGGACTTTTCCCGTCGTCACTCTTCACCCACGCTTCCCTTTCAACGTTTGACCGGTAAGACGTTCGACTGACCGATCGCTTCACCCACGCAGGACGCGAACGGGGGTTCGGACGACGAAACCGCCGGCGCTAGCGCTAGCGACGACGATTCCGAAGGTTCCGACGACTCCGACGACTCCGAAGGGTCCGGCTCCGACTCCGACGACGACTCCGCGAGTGGCTCCGAGTCCGACGTGGACGATGACGTGGACCAATCAGAGGAGGAGGAGGAGGAGGACGAGATATCGGACGGCGTCGTCCGCGCGTCGCTTCAACCGGCGGGCGTCGAGGCGACGGCGTCGGAGCACGAGGCCGCCGCGACCGACCACGATGACGTGGAGCTCGACGACGTGGAGCTCGACGACGTGGAGCTCGACGACGTGGAGCTCGACGACGTGGAGCTCGACGACATGGACGACGACGACGACGGCGCGGCGGATCCGTACGCGTTCGCGGAAGGGGACGACGACGAAGACGAAGTCGCGACGAAATCGAAATCGAAATCGAAATCGAAATCGCCGCCCTCGAAGTCGCCTTCGCCGAGCGACGATACGGCGCGGAATACGAATCGGCGCACGAGCACGACGCCGCCGATCCACGAGCGCGCGTCGCTCTCCGCCGCGGAGAAGGCGTCGCCGGACGCGGACGCGGACGCGGGAGGCGGCGCGGCGGCGACGCCGCAACCGCGACCGCGTCCGCCGCTGAGGAGAAAACAAAAACAAAAGCTGCTCATCAACTCCGAGGTCGCGGACGCGTTGTTCGCGGGGATCGGCGAGAAGCGCACCGCGCGGTGGATGACGACGCCGGATGATCCGTTCTTCTTGGAGAGCCGAATTTCGTCTGCGGCGGTTTCGGCGACGACGACGCCGGCCGCCAGGGCGGCCGCCTCGAACCGTGGACGTCCACCGCAACCGCAACCGCAACCGCAACAGCAACCGCAACCGCAACAGCTCGTGAAGATCAAGTGCCACGGCCTCCAAGCCACCGCGCTGCTGCGCGTCCCGAAGGGTAGCAGCGGTCAGAGCGGCGCGGCGGTTAAGGCGGCGCCGCCGTCCCCGCGCGCGCAGATCCACGCGCCGACGCCGCGGTCGCCGCCGCCGGGAAAACCGGCGTTCGTCCCCGTCACCGCGTCGCCGCACGCGCCGACGCCGTACGTCCAGGGCGTCGGCGAGCGGTGCGCGCGGAACGACGGGAAGACGTGGCGGTGTAAGATGACCGCTATCGAGGGCGCGTCGTACTGCGCGCATCACCGGCAGAGAGGGAACGCGTCGCCCGGCGGCGGGGGGCGGACGGGGAAAGTCCTTAAGGAACGGCGTTCACCACGCGAACGGGGTCGTATGGGAAGCAGTCTCACCGCTCTTCCTCCGCGCCCGCTCGCGGGGAAGCGCGGGGGACGCGCGTTCGACGTCAACAGCCGCGAAGTCCACGCCGTCACCGCGAACGACAAGACGCCGGTCGAGGACGCGGAGCGCGTCGATTGGGACGGCGGCTGGGGCGGGTTCGACGGCGACGGCGACGGCGGCGAAGTCCCGAAATCAGTAAAGAAGACGAAGACCGGGTGCATGCACTACGAAGTCACTCGAACGCGTCCGCCGGCCCCAGACTCGTCCGCGCCTTCGAATCAGCAGCAGCAACAACAGCGACCGCCGCCGCCGCCGACGCCGCTGGATGACGTGGAGGACGACAAGGAACGCTGGGAGTCGGTCTTCGCTCGGCCCGCGCCCGCGATCGCGTACGACGGCGACGACGACGACGAAGGAGGCGGCGGCGGCGGAGGCGGAGGCGGAAGCGCGGCGCCCGGCGTCGTTAATGAGGAAAAGAACGACGCCGGAACAGACGTTACGATTCCGACGATTCCGACGATTCCGACGTCGACCGCCCTGATCACCCCCCTCGCGAAGTCCACTTTGCCGCACGCGTTGCGGATGCTCACCTCGCACCTCGGCGCGGGTCCGTCCGCGGCGTCGGAGGAAGAGATCCTGAGGCACAACTTCACGACGGGCGGCGCGAAGTCGTCGTCGCGAAGCAAACGCGAGAAGAAGGCTAGGAAGCTGACCCCGACGAAAAGCCCTAAGAAGAAGAAGGCGACGACGACGACGACGACGACGCCCGCGGCGGTCGTCGTCGCCGCCGCCGCGTCGAAAAAGAAGGAGGAGGAGTCAGGTGCGTTCTATACACTAGTCCCCATACGACCGCGTCGGCGTGGTGAACGCCGATCCTTAAGGACTTTTCCCGGCGCATCTCTCCGCCCAACCCTCGGTTTCAATACCCGCCCTCAACGCCTTTCAACTCCGTCTGACGCCTTTCAACTCCACCCCGACGTTCGCTTGTATAGAACGGCCCTTAGAGTCGGAGAAACGGACCGCCGCCACGACCGCGAAGACGTCGTCGTCGGCGAAAGAGTCGAGGCGCGAGCGCGAGAAGAGACGCAAGCGCGACAAGCGCCAAGAGGCGAGGGAAGCGAAAGAAGCGAAGGAAGCCGCCGCGACGGTTGACGTTCCAGCTTCCGCGACGGTTGACGTTCCAGCTTCCGCGCCTCCCTCGCCCCCGAAACACGTCCCCAAACCCGGGATGTGCGAAATTCTTCATCCGAAGCACGACCGGCGCGCGACGGACGCGTCGTTCGCGGCGCGCGGCGTCGTCGACGCCGCGTCGCTTCGACTCCCGACGCACGACACCCCGCCGTCGTTCGTGTTGGGGTGCGTCCCCGCGGCGGCCACGGGGACGACGACGACGACGACGACGACGACGACGACGAACGATGAAGCCGCGACGATCAAAATCGACGTCGAGGCGCGCGAGGTGCTCGCGCGGCAGGGCGGCGCCGTCGTCACCGACGGCGCGCGACGGCGCGTCGGACGCGACGAGGACCGCGCGGGGTTCAAAAAGATCGTCCGCGCGGTGAAGCTCGCGCACCGACGGAAGCCGTTCGTCTCTCCGGCGCCGTGGAGCGCGTCCGCGGCGGCGGCGGCCGGGGAAAACGGATCATCCACCGTTCGACCCGGGATACGCGTCGCGCACGTCACGCAGACGCTCCGTGCGTTCGAACCGTCGCCGCCCGGAGACGACGACGACGACGTATTCGACGACGAGCACTCGCTCGTCCAGGTGAACAAGGGATCCGGGGAGTGGTTGGACGTGCGGAGCGTCCGCGCGAAGAGAGCGCCGACGCTCGCCGCGGCGTTCGAGTCGATCCAACGCGACGGCGCGGCGCTCAGAGCGTCCTGGCCCGCGAGCGACGGTAACGGTACCTCGGGAAGCGTTACAGCTGCTGATGCGAGCGCGAACGTCATGATCGACGACGTCTCGGACGCGTTCCGACACGCGGGCGCGACGCTCGTGAATATGGGGCCCGGCGAGCGAGAGCGGCATTTTCTGCTGCATCGACGCGCGGGGTGGCGGACGCGGTCGCGGATGTTACGAGTAGAAACGGACATCGAGACCGCGCTCGCCGGCGGGTTCAGCACCGGCGGCGCGAAGGATAAGGAGAAGGAGAAGGAGAAGGAGAAGGAGAAGGAGAAGAAGAAGGAGAAGGAGAAGGAGGGCGCGACCCCCTCAGCCGCCGCGGAATGTGGAACGTCAACCGACGCGGCGGCGGGGACGCCCGAGCGCGTCGCGACGCGGTCGCGGCGGGCGAGCGCGAGGTCCCCGGCGGTCCCCGCGGCGCGAGAAGAAGATGGAACGTCAACCGTCGCCGCCGGCGCCGGCGCCGCCGCCAACGTGCCCACCACTCCAAACGACGACGACGCCGCGACCGCCGCCGCGACCGCGCAGCACCCGTGGGACCTCCGGTCGATGTGCGGCGGCGCGCTCGGCTCGGTCCGCGACGCGATCGCGAGATCCGCCGTCCCTCCGCCGGCGGCGGCGCCGGCGAACTGGCGCGTTCTCCTCACACTGGTCCCCATACGACCGCGTCGGCGTGGTGAACGCCGATCCTTAAGGACTTTTCCCGGCGCATCTCTCCGCCCACCCCTCGCTTTCAATCCCGACACGCCTCGACGCCTTTCAACTCCAACTGACGCCTTTCAACTCCACCCCGACGTTCGCTTATATAGGCACCTCCTCCACGGTGTCGACCCGTCGCTGCCGGTGCTGCACCACGCCGGCGCGATGTCGATCGTGCCGCTCGGAACGACCCCGCACGGGTTGGGCGCCGTGATTTCGCTCGCGATCGACAACGCGAAGACGAACCCGAAGGCGTGGATGGTTTGGTACACAGTGCCGGGACGCGGCGCCGGAAATTTGAAGCGGTATCTCCGGGACACGATCGACGCCTCGCAGAGGGGCAGCGGGTGCGGGACGTCGCGCAGCGCGCTTCTGTGGGCGGACCCGTCCGCGATCACGGCGTGGAATTCGCGGCGGGATGTGACGGTAACGGACGATAGAGTGCCGTTATTCCGGCACGTGCAGGCGCCCGGTGAGTTCATGGCGTTCGAGCCGGGGGCGGTGCGGTGGGGGGTGAGCCTCGGGGTGTGTTGGACCGCGACGGCGCCGTACGTCGGGGGGGAGGGCGGAGGTGAGACTGCTTCCCATACGACCCCGTTCGCGTGGTGCACGCCGTTCCTTGAGGACTTTTCCCGTCGTCACTCTTCACCCGCGTTTCCCTTTCAACGTTTGACCGGTAAGACGTTCGACTGACCGATCGCTTCACCCACGCAGGGGACGGCCAGTCGCCGCTGAAGATCGCGCCGAAGAACGCGGCGGGAGACGACGACGACGGAGACGAGGGCGTCGTCGTTAAAGATGAGGAGGAGGAGGAGAAAGGGGGGAAAGAGAAAAAAAGAAGAAGGTGTTGATTTAGACGGAGCAGAGCTTCGAGATCCATCAGATGCGATGGGGAGAAGACCCGAGGGGTCGCGTAGAGAGTCGCGATTGTTACCCAGTAACGAGCGAGAAAAAGAAAAAAAACAACCGAGCCGCCGACCGCTCGCTCGCGTCACAGTCCGTGCTCGCTCACGCCCGTCCGCACCGTGATGTTCTCCGGCACGGGCGTGGACAGCGGCACGACCGTCACGGGCACGCGCACGTTTTTCACGACGTGCTCGCCCACGCTCCCTAAGCCGACCGCGTTTAAGAGCGCGGTCTGTAGGCTTCCCAGCCCGCGAGACCCCAGGCACACGTGGTCCGGCGACTGGGGTCGTTCCATACCGATAGGATAGACCGAGTCGATCGAAAGGCGTCGTCAGATGAATTTGAAAGGCGTCGCGGGCGGGGATCGATGAAAGCGAGGGGTGATGGGCGGAGAGAGACGCCGGGGAGAAAAGTCCTTAAGAAACGGCGTCCACCACGCCAACGCGGTCGTATGGGGACCAGTGTGAAGACACTCGAACGCGCCTCGGCGTCCACCGCGCGCTCGACCGCGCGCGCGCTGCTCTCGTTGACCTTGCACCTCACGACGACGGACTTAATCCGATCGGAGGGCATCTTCGTGTTCAGGAGCTGAACGCGATGGTGCTCGAGCACGCGCTCGCCTTCCGCCTGCGGCGCGGAGGGGGAGGACGGGGGGGGGGTGAGGGAGCGCGCCGTCGGCGCGTCCGAAGGAGTGAGAGGAGAGAAGCGAAGACGCGAACGAAGACGTCTCGGACGCGCCCCCGGGTTCGCGCTCGGCGTCGTGTGCACCGCGCTGATGAGGACGACGTCGTCCCCGCGCGAGAGCAGGCTCTTCGCCGCGTAGCGCGTCGCGCGCATGGACCCGGGGGAGTCGTCGACGGCGACGGCCACCTTGCGGCGGCGGAGCGGCGCCATAGTTTTTGGTCGTGGTTTGGTTTCGGTTCGCGCGCCCCGATCAAGTGACCGGTCGACTTCGATGAGCTGCTTCTGTTGTCATCGGCGCGCTGAGCTGTCGCGATCGCGGGCGATTTACCCCGTGGATATCATTTCCCGAGATACTTATTCGGCGCGATCGACGAGTTAACAGACCGTCGTTTAATCTGGTATCGACGCCGGAGATATTTCAGCACCTTTTTCGGCGAAAAAGACGCGTCGTCTCGCGCGAAACGTTGCGCCATCGCTCGCTCGCGTCACAACGCACGACGCGCCCACGCGCGAAAACGCACGCGCGCGTCGCGAAGACACGCACCGACGCGGACGGACGCGCGATACGCATCGGCGCGCGCGAGGAAGGCGTTCGACGCGGCGACCGCGGCGACCGCGCGCGGTTGAAAAAAGGGACCGACGAAATCGAAATCAAAGACAAGACCCGCGCGCGTCCGAGGGAGCGACCGCGAAGCGAAGGAAACGACGACGGTCGAGATGTCTTCCAGCGGCGGCGGTGCGTCTCGCATCTCGCGTGCACGCCTTCTCCTTCCCTCCTCCTTCGCGTCCTCGCGACGCGCGTCGACGCGCGCGTCCGTCGACGCGCCCGCGCGCGACGCGTTCGAACGCGACGAAGAAATATACAGAACCTCGCTCGCACCCTCGGGCGCGCGCCCCAACTCCTTCGCCCTCGCTGACCTCGCCCGCCCCTCGCGTCGCGTCGCAGAAGAAGAAGCGTGCTGGATCTGCCTCGACGACCGCAGCGACGAGCACGACGAGCTCCTGAAGCCGTGCGCGTGCCCGCGATGGGTGCGCGCCGCGCGTCGTCCCGTCCCTTCGCGAGACTCGACGCTTCGCGAGATGTCTTGTCTCGCGGTGTCACGTCACCTCGATTTTTTTTGTAATTAATCGTCTTGCTCCTCTCCCCGTAAACTCCTCCCCCACAGGTCCACGCGCGATGCATGGCGCGATGGCAACTCCAGTGCAGCGGTAAGAGTGAAGAGGCGGCGTGCAAGTTTTGCGACGCGCCGCTCCCGGACTGGCGGGAGGCGCTCTTCAAGGACATCATCGACGCCGCCGACGCCGACGACGCCGCCGACGACGACGACGACGACGCGCGGGGGAAGAAGAAGCGAGGGGCCCAGAAGCGCGCTTCCGACGGCAAAAAAGGACGCGCGGGGAGAACGGGGAGAGCGTCCGCGCCCGGCGCGCTCAGCGACGCCAACGACGCCTTCGGCTCCGGCTCGGGGTCCGACGACTCCGCGACGACGACGACCGCGACGGCGCCGTCGCGTCGAGAGTCCTCCCCGCCGACGCTCAAAGCGAGCGGCGACATCATCGTCAAGTTCAACAACATGTCGTTCCGCTGTAAGGTGCGGACCGGGCAGGAAGGCCTGAGCGACTTCATGGAGCAGATTCGCGAGAAGTGCGGCATTCCGGAGGATAAGATGGGTCAGCTCAATCTGACGTATCGATGCAAAGACCCGTCCACCGGATCGCAGATGACCCTGGAGGGCGTCAACGAGAGCGCGTTCGACGCCGCGGTGCTGTGCAGCGCGGCGCAGGACAAGAAACGCGCGTCGAGCGGCGGGAAGGGTAGTACAAGTAGTAGTGTTGGAAGCACTTCGAGCGCCCATAAGCGGAGCCTGGACGGCGGCGGCGGCGGCGCGCGGTCGTCGCATCGCGTCGCCGCCGCGGGCCGACCCAGCCTGGACGAGACGCGCGCCTCAGTCGCGACGAGCGCGAGGCAGCCGGGGAGGGTCGCGCGATGGTTCGGGAGGCGGCGGTCGACGTCGAGCAGCAGGGAGCAGCAGGTGGAGGAGACCGCATTGTACCGCTCGGGCGCGGCGTGAGCGACGGGAGGGTCAAGTCATCGCGCGGCGCGCTAATACGCTAATACGAACGAACGAACGAACGCTACACGTACCAATACCACCACCGTACACAGTACTCTCGTCGTATACAAATAAGTTTATATGAATGAACGACGTAGACCTACAGTATGAAAAACGCACGACCGCGATCCGTGTCGTATCGTTTCTTCATCTCGTCCGTCGTCAGTTCAAAAAGTCTGCGAGCATCGCGTCCGCGTCCAGCCCCGCCGGCGGCGCCCCCCTCGGCCCCTCGTACCCGCTCGCCTTCGCGAGCTCGTCCACGCTCTTCTCCCCCGAGATCACCGTCCCGTCGCCCAGCACCCACGTCGGGAACCCGTCCACCTTGGCCGCCTTGCACGCGTCCGCGATCGGCGTCCCTTTCTCCCACCCGTTCGGAAAGCACTCCACGTACGGAATCGCCGCGCCCTTGCCGAAGGTCTCCTTTTGGTCCTCGCAGTGCGAGCACCAGAACGCGCCGTACATCTTCGCCCCGGACTTCGCGAGCCAGTCCGCGACGTCGCGGGAGTATTGCGTCGATACGGTCTCGATGATTGGCGCCGCGTACGGGAGCTTCAGGTCGTTGATGTTCTGCTTCTCCGGGCCGCCCGTGAGGACTTTTTCGCGACGGGGGAGAGACGGAGAGACGCGATAAGTCAGAGATCGATCGAAGAGAGAGGAGAGGAAGATTCGATTCGACGATGACGTGGCACACGAGTGCGGATGCGATAGGGTCGCTCGCGGGAGATACGATACGATACGACACGCGGGGGGATCTGATTCGGTGTGGCGAGGTGACGTGTCGCGCCGCGCGGCGACCGACGTACCCAGCGACAGCGCGAACACGGTGACGGCGTAGAGCGCCACCCCCGGCGGCGCCGCCCTCGCGAAATCCTGCCGGTGGAGTTCAAAGGCGTCAGGGGTGGAGTTGAAAGACGTCGCGGGGTGTCGGGATTGAAAGCGAACGAGGCGTGGGCGGAGCCCGAAACGACGAGTGGAGGAAAAGTCCTTAAGGATCGGCGCTCACCGCGCGGACGAGTTCGTATGGGGACCGGTGCGATGATGTAATGAGAACGCGCCTTGCTCGATAACCCCCCGAGCGCGATCGAAAACACCGTGAACGAAATCGCCGCGGACGTGAGGCAGTAGACGCACTCCGCCCCCCCCAGCGGCACGGCGAGGACGTAGAGAAGGTACGACGAGACCCCCGCGAGGCCGGTCCCGGCGAAGAAGGCGAGCACGCGAGCCTTTTGATACGAATCTTTCATCTGTGAGGGTCGTTCCATACGAGCGATGATATCGGGGTGGAGTCCAAAGGCGTCAGTTGATGGAGTTGAAAGGCGTCGAGGTGTGTCGGGATTGAAAGCGAGGGACCCTGGGCGGAGAGATGCGCCGGGAAAAGTCCTTAAGGATCGGCGTTCACAACGCCGACGCGGTCGTATGGGGACCAGTGTATAGAACGCGCCTCGTCGCCTCCATCCGCCATCCCGGCTCCCCACCAGCACAGCGCGGCGGTCATCCCGTACGCGACCGCGCCGTACGCGCTGAGCGGCAGCCCGAACAGCGTCGCCCAGCCGCTGTTCAGCGCGGTCTGGCACCCCGTGAGCGGGCACGTGACCTGAGGTGCGTTCCACGCGAGCGAACGTCGGGGTGGAGTTCAAAGGCGTCAGTTGATGGAGTTGTGAGGCGCCGAGGGCGGGCGTTGAAAGCGAGGGACCCTGGGCGGAGAGACGCGCCGGGAAAAGTCCTTAAGGATCGGCGTTCACCACGCCGACGGGGTCGTATGGGGACCAGTGCATAGAACGCGCCTCGCCGCCGGTGAGCTTCTCGAACGCGAGGTAGGAGGACTCGAGGGAACCGATCGCCGCGAGTGCGGCCGCGACGCGCAGCGGCGGGCGCGGGACCTCCTCGGGCTCCGACGGCGGCTTCTTCGCGGGGATGTCGTCGACCGAGAGCGACGGCGCGGCGCCGGGGGCGTCGCCGCCGCCGTCCGCGGCTGCTGCGCGGACGACGACGGCGGCGCGCGCGCGCGCCGATCGCGGAGGGAGACGGACGCCGGCGACGGCGACGACGCGCGCGACGCGCGCGGGCGCGGCGCGGCTCGACAGCGCGCGACGACAGTTCGCGGTCGCCGTCGTCGCCGTCGTCGTCGTCGTCGTCATGACGGCGGGCATCCTATCCTCGCGGCGCGGCGTGCGACGGGAGTGCGCGCGGCGGTGGCGTGTGAGCACCCTCCAGCTGACCCGTCGGACTGGATCAGATTCGCGCGATCAGATCTCCGGCAAGTGGGGTGCCCTAAGTTCGTACGCTTAAGGGGTGCGACTTTGACCCCAGGGCTTGGCTTGAAAGAGGTTATTTGAAAGGAAAATGATTCGTTTTCATCGCGTACGAACTTAGGGCACGTACGAACTTAGGGCACCCCCTTCCACTTCTGTCCAGTCGTCCCGTCCCGGGTTCATTCGTCTCGGATGACGCGACCGCGACAACGACGGTCGCGACGGTCGCACTCGCACCCCGCGCGCGGCCGCCGTCGCTCGTCCACGACCCCCTCGCTCGATGTCCGCCTCCGCCTCCTCCGCGCTCGCCTCCTCGCTCTCGCGGGCCCCCGCGCTGAGCTCGCGCGCCGCCGCGCGCGGCCGCGTCGTCGGACGCGCCGCCGCCGCCGCCGCGCGTCGACAGCGACACCGCGGACGACGACCCTCCTCCTCCTCGCCCAGGCTCGTCCTCCGCGTCGTGTCGTACGTGCAGTACACCCTCGACGGTCCCGGGTGCGCGGCGTCGCGGTCCGAGGCGGACTGGCACACGAGCGTCCTCCTGGGGAGCCACCCGGAGGGATGCCCGCCGCATCCGGTCGACGTCACGGAGCGATGCGAGGCGGGCGACGGCGCGTTCGCGCTCGGGAACGCGCGCTTCGAGCAGCGAGGCGAGGACCTGTACCTGTCGGTGGTGGACGCCGCGTCGGAGGAGGAGGAGGAGGAGGGGACGACGATCCGCGCCGAGAGCGAGGGCGCGGGCGGGGAGTACGTCGCCGGCGAGAGCAAGGAGCTCGAGCGCGAGCGCGAGTTCGACGACGAGCGCAAGGGCGGCGTCGGAGGCGGCGGCTTCTACGCCGGTGCGTTCTTTGGTTCGTCCTTTGGGTTTCCTTTTTTTCTCTCTCCGCTCACTTCGCTCGTCGTTCACTCGCGCGCAGCGGTCCGCGTCGACGGTAAAGCCGTCGGCCGCGAGAGCGTGAAGCTGAGCCCCGGCGCGATCGTGACGCTGGAGAAGCCAGGGAGCGAGACCGCGACGTTCGAGGTCAACCGCCAGGTCCACGCACACGCGTGAGGCGCGTTCTATATACTGGTCCCCATACGACCCCGTCGCCGTGGTGAACGCCGTTCCTTAAGGACTTTTCCCGTCGTCTCTCTCCGCCCACCCCTCGCTTTCAATCCCGACACACCTCGACGCCTTTGAACTCCGCTTCTGACGCCTTTGAACTCCACCCCGACGTTCGCTTGTATAGAACGCACCTGACGACGACGAAAAAAAAAACCAAAAAATGACACGAGAGAAGACGACGTCTGCCTCGTGAAAGTACAGTACTCGTACCTACTACAACTACACGTACGTCAAGATGAATACGACTACGACAACACTCCAAAACGAACAACTCTGATGCGCTCTGATACATACGCTCTGATACACTCCGATAGATCACGCCCTCGTCGCCGTCCCTCTCCACGCGGCGGCGGCGGCGGCGGCGCCCTCCCGAATCTCCTGAAGCGCTCTCGCCGGGCACGGCGCGTGCCCGCGACCGTTGGATCCCTCCGCGACGGCGTCGGCGCCGAGAAAATTTCTGCGTCGGGATGGGATAAGAGGGTGAGGTTTCGTATCAGTTCATCGGTCAATCGCGCGTCTCACCGGTGAAACGACGACGACGTTGAAAGGGAAGCGCGGTCGAAGCAGAGCGACGACGGACGACGGGAAAAGTAAGCACGTCTCGCGACCGACCGACGCACCGTAGCATCTCCACGGGCTCGACCGCGCCGCCGTGGCGCAGGAGCCCGTCCCGGAGCGACTCCCCCGCGCCGCGCGCCAACGCATCGCCCTCGAAGAACCGCCCCCACACCGTCGCGGCGACGCACCGCGCGTAGACGTACGAGTAGTACGTCGACGCGTACCCCACGGTGTGTCCGAACCGGAGCTCCCAATCGGCGTCCGGTTCGTGTCCGACGCCGGCGGCGTACCCGCTCGCGACCTGTCGGACAATATCCGACATATTATTCCTATCCGACATATTCGCGTCCCACGACGTCGAGTGCGCGTCGAGGTCCGTCAGCGCGTACGCGCACTGCTGCTGCAAGTCGGTCGCCGCGAAGAGCGCCTTGCCTCTTCGCATCCGCTGAGGGTCGTTCCATACAAAAAATGTTCATCGGTCAGTTGAAAGGGACTCACGCGATCAAATGTTGAAACCGATGGACGGGTGAAAAACGGTATAGAACGCACGTGAATAAAATCCCCCGGCAGCGCCTCTCCCGTGCTTCGATGCTCGGAGATGACCTTCAGCGCGTCCGCGTCCCACGCGAAGTACTCGAACACGTGGCTCGGGATCTCCACGACGTCCATCGCGCACCGCGTCCCGCTCAGGTGCTGGTACTTCGTCTTGGACAGGACGCTGTGCATCGCGTGCCCGAGCTCGTGAAGAAACGTTTCGACTGCGCGCCGGCGTTTGGTTTGAAGAAGCGATGAACGAACGGGGTGAACGCGTCGGTCAGTCGAACGTCTCACCGGTCATCGAGCGCGCGTTGAAAGAAAAGAGAAGCGAAGCGCGGGTGAAGAGTGACGAACGACGGGGAAAGCGTTAAAGTCTTTCCTCGAGGAACGGCGTGCACCGCGCGCGCGGGGTCCGTCGTATGGAAAGCAGTCGGGTCGGGTATCGATCGAACCTTCCCCGTGCGATAACAACGCGGTGGACCGCGTCCCCATGCCCTGCCCCCCCCCCCCGCCGAACGAACACACGAGCGCGACGGACGGCTTCTGGTTCTTCAGCGCCTTGCCGCACCGAATCACAAAGTGCGCGGCGTGCGGAAACTTCCGCGGTCTCGGCGTTAGGTCCAGGTAGATCGTCCCGACGTCTTCGCCCTCGCCCGCGCCGCCGCCGCCCGCGGCGACTCTCAGCTTCCGCACGCCCTCGTGCCAGCTCTCGCCGCGCTCCATCTCCACCTCGCGCAGGTGGACGTTGAACACGCGCGAGAGCAGCGCGGCGACGCCTTTGAGGACTTTATCGATCGGGAAGTATTGCGCGACGGCGTTGGCGTCGACGCCGCACGCTTCGCGCTTCGCGGCGGCGATGAGGTACGCGCGGTCCCACCCGCGGACGGCGTCGTGGTCGGAATAATACGAACCGCCGCCGTCGGAATACGAACCGGCGCTACGACCACCGCCGCCGCCGCCGCTGCCGAATCCACCATCACCCCACTTCCCCCGGAGCGTCCGCCGCATGAGCTCCAGCTCGCGACGCGCGACGTCGTCGACGCCGTCCGAGATGGTCCTGAGGCGTTGAAAGGCGTCAGATGGCGGAGTTGAAAGGCGTCAGAAGTGGAGTTGAAAGGCAGGCGTCAGTCGCGGTGTGTCGGGATTGAAAGCGAGGGATGGTGGGCGGAGAGAGACGATGACGATCGATCGCCGGGAGAGAAAGTCCTCAAGGATCGGCGTTCACCGCGCCGACGCGGTCGTACGGGAACCGGCGTAAATAAATATGAACGCGCCTCATCAGCTCCCTCGCCGCGTCCGGATCCCCCGCGAGCAACGGCGACGTCGCGTAGTGCGCGTGCGACTCGAACCCTAACAGCGACGCCGCCTCCGCGCGCGCGTCCAGCAGCCCCCGCAGCGCGTCGCGGTTCCCCTCTGGCCCGCGGTGCGCGGCGGCGTAGACGACGCGTCTCGCGTCCGCGCTTTGGACGTATCTGAGGGTAATTGTCCATACGAGCGAACGTCGGGGTGGAGTTCAAAGGCGTCAGGTGAAGTTGAAAGGCGCCGAGGGCGGGGTTTGAAAGCGAGGGGCGGGCGGAGAGACGCGCCGGGAAAAGTCCTTAAGGATCGGCGTTCACAACGCCGACGCGGTCGTATGGGGACCGGTGTAAATAAATATGAACGCGCCTCATCGTCGTCGCGAGCGTGGACGCGTCGAGGGGGATCCGCGCGGAGAGAGCGGCGGCGTCGGCGCCCGGGGGCGGCTCCATGCGCGCGGCCATCGCGGCGGGGAGCCCGCGCAGCGCGCGACGGTCCACGTCCACGTGGCCCAACGCGATTGGGTCAGCGAGGTTCCGCTGGAGGGTCGAGGGTCCGCGCGAAGCGACGTCGGGGCGGAGTTGAAAGGCGTCGGTGGCGGAGTCGAAAGGCGTCATAGGGTCGGGATTTGAAACCGTGGCGTGGGCGGAGAGACGCGCCGGGAGAGAAAGTCCTTAAGGAACGGCGTGCACCACGCGAACGCGGTCGTATGGGGACCAGTGCACGGGCAGAACGCGCCTGAAACGCCATCCCGAATCGAATCACGCGCGAATTCGCATCCTCGAGCCGCGCCCTCGCGTCGCCCTCCAGGTGCACGCCGCCGCGCTCGAAGTCGTGCCGCAGCGTCGACGCGACCCTCGCGGCCTCGGGCGGCAGCGACGACGACGACGACGACGACGACGACGCGCCGCCGTCGTCCGCGGCTCGGAGCGCGTCGTAGAGCGATCGATCCGCGTTCAGATTCCCCACGTGCTGCTGCAAGTCGATATACGCGCGCTCGGCCGCGCGGACCCATCGCTCGTCCGGGTGCGTGTTCCGGCACACCTCCGCGACGTCGACGACCGCGCAGACGACGTCGGAGATCTCGTCGAGGTCGGTCACGACGCGCGCGGCGCCGCCGTTTCCGCCGCCGTCGCGCGTCAGGCGGCCGAGCGACCAATCTTTCGCGATGGACGCGACGAGCGAGGTGGACGTCGTCGTCGCCTCGCGCGTCAGCCGCGCGAAGTCCTCGGGGGCGTGGAGGCCGACGAGGCCGTACAGACCGGGGCGATCGCGGTCGGGGGAGGCGGTGGTGGACGCGGCGCGCGCGCGCGCGACCGCCGCGGCCGCGCGCAGGCGCCCGGCCCGGCGCAGCATCGCAGTGATGCCGTGAGAAGCGCGCGGCGCGCGACCTGACAACAACGAGACTGAAGAGCCCTCCTGTCCCTGTCGGTGTCTCGGAAAAACGCTCCGTCTTCCATACCCCGCCGCGCCGCCGTCGCCGTCGCCGTCGTCGTCGCTCCGATGCCGTCATCGCGCGAAGACTTCGACGAAGCCGTTCGCAGCGCGTTCGCGTTCCCGTCCGCGCCGAAGAAGAAGCGATCGCCCGACGCGGACGCCCCCGATGGCGACGCGCGGCCGTCGCCTCAAACGCTCGACGATCGCGACGACGACGACGACGACGACGACGACGACGACGCGACGACGACGACGACGACGCCGCCCTCCGCGACGCCGAAGCCTCTCGTGGTGAAAACGGTGACGAGCAAGACGAAAGGACGCGGCCGGGTGAAGCCGAGGAAGGCGACGCTCGCGGAGCGCGGGCTCGAGCGTCTGGAAGACCTCCCGCGCGTGAACGGTGCGTCCATCGCGTCGTCCAGCCATCCATCATCGCATCGCGCGCCTCTTCGCCTCCCGAGCACCGCGCGCCGGCCGCGCCTCGCCGCTTCGCCGTCGGTCGCGTCTCGTCGTTCGCGGAGCGCTCACCGATCCATCTAAGAAGAACTCCCCCTCCCTCCCGCAGCGCTCGCGACGACGCCGGACCCGCGCGCGCCGCCGCCGGACGGCGCGTCGCCGACCGACCCGCCGCCGCGATACCCGTACTTCGTGACGGACGACGGCCGCCGGCTGATCCCGAGGGCGGACTGGAGAGACCATAAGGTACTACATCGCGCCGGTCCCCGCGCGACCGCGTTCGGAGTTCTTTCGCGCGCTGTCAACCTCACGCTTTGACACGTGAGAACACCATCCACCAATCACGTGACCGCGTACCTGACACGTGTCTTCCCTCGGCCTATCACACGACCCGCAGCAACGAAACGACGCGACGGCGCGGATGCGCGAGGGAAAACCGGTGATCTTGACGCACACGAACTTCGCGGGGACGCCGCTCACCGAGCGCGAAATAAAAACGCGAAATAAAATAACTGCCGAAGGAGAAGCGTTACCTAAACGGTCCGTGGACGTGTTCGGCGGGCTGTGCGAGCGCTGGGGCGAGCACGTCGGCGGGTTGCGCGCCGCCGCGGCGACGGCGAACGCCGACGCCAAAAAATGGCGCTGCCTCGTCGCCGCCGCGACCGATCCGCGCGCGAACGCGAACGACGACGACCGATGCGACCGATGCGACGAAGACGACGCGGGCGCGCGCTCGGCACCCCAGGCGACGCTCATGCCTCCGGACCTCGAGAAGAACGTCTTCGGGTCGCACTACCACGTCCGTCGACCGAAGACGACGACGACGAAGATGCGCGCCGGCGATTTCGTCAGGCGCGTTCGAGCGTCGCACTGGTTTCCATACGACCGCGTTCGCGTCGTGAACGCCGTCTCTTAAGGACTTTCTGTCCCGGCGATCGTCTCTCTACGCCCGTCGTCACTCGGTTGCAACGCCCGACCCTATGACGCCTTTCAACTCCACCCCGACGTTCGTCGCCTCGAACGAACGGAACCGCTTCGCAGGTGCGTCAACGCGTGGACCGAACGCGCGGCGTACCTCGAGGACGAGGTCGCTCTCGGCGGCGGCGTCGACGACATCGACGCGAAGCTCAACGTCAACGTCCCGACCGCGGTCCCCGGCGGCGAATCGCTCGGCGACGCGGTCAGAGAAGGGATGGATTGGGGATGGTTGGGGGCCGTGCGAAGGACGCAAAAGTTTGGACCGGTGAAAGCCGTCGTCCTCGGCGGCGGCGGCGGCGACGTCGTCCTCGCGTGCCGCCACCCGACGTCCACGCGTCTCGTGGATAACGTCGGGACTGGGACTGGGATCGGGATGGACGACGACGCCGGCGTCGACCCGGGCGACGTCATGGCGCGCGAGGCCGCGGCGGTCGTCTCGAACGCAGCGCATCACGAGAGCTTCCAGGCGCGTTCTCCTATTTACAATGATGGTTCTCATGCGACCGCGTTCGCGCGGTGCACGCCGATCCTTAATAAGGACTTTCTCTCCCGGCGCGCGCGCGCATCTCTCCGCGCACCCTTCGCTTTCGATCCCGACACACCGCGTCACCTTTCAACTCCGCTTCTGACGCCTTTCAACTCCACCCCGACGTTCGCTTTGAACGACGGACCCTCGACCCTCAGTGCCAAATCGTCGGCCGCCGCCGCGTGCTTCTCATCTCCCCGGACCAGACGTACAAGGGCATGTACCCTTTCCCCGTCTGCCACGCGTACGACGGGTACTCCATGGTCGACCTCGCGAATATCGACTACGTCAAGTACCCGAGAATAGTAGACGTGCGAGGCGACGTCGCGGTGTGTCGCCCCGGGGACGTGCTCTTCGTCCCGGACGGCTGGTGGCGGCACGAGCAAGGTACGCGCGAAACCCGAATCTCTGCACCAACCACGTCATCACCACGCCAGCCAACCGCACAGCGTGTTTGTGACACGTCATCCAATCGAATCATCATATCCTTCACTGACCAATCGCGTCGTCTCTCCCTCCATCCAGGCCTGAGCGGCGACGCGTGCGGGAACGCGCACGTGGACGTACGCGTGGCGACGGGCGCGCGACCGCGGACGCGCGCGTGCGCGACGCTCGCGGTGGGACGCGTCGTGGAGCAGCGAATCACGCGGGAGGAGGGCGCGAAGGACGCGCGGCGGTGGTTAGAGGTTGTGAAAAACGCGGAGGAGGCGGAGTGGTTGGACCTCGGGACCGTGGAGGGACAGCGGCGGATCGACACGGCGCAGGTGCTCAGGGACGAGATCGACATCGGCTTACCGCCGCCGCCGCCCGCCGCGGACGATACAAAAAACGGCTCAAAAACGGGGGTCACGACGACGGCGACGCTGAATAAGAAGCGGAAACACGCCCGCGCGCGCGGCAGAGGACGGTGGCCGTCGTTCCTCGCCGACCTGATCGACGGACGGATGCTTCCCACGGACTGGCTCAACGACGACTTCGTCGATCCGCTGCTGTTATCCGAAGCCGAGGCGGCGATGAAAAAGGCTGCGTTGACCGGCGAAGACGACGCGAACGAAACCACCAGTCGACAGCTCGCGACGGTGAAGACGCCGAGCGACGCCGACTTCGCGATCGCGCTGCCCGACGGCGGCGTGCTGACGCGTCGAGCCAAAATTTTGAAGGACGATCGCGAGGCGTACGAGCGCGCGCACCCAGAGTTTTTTGTGAACAAGCTCCGGGATAAGGGCTGGGACGCGAAGTACACGCCGATGTCGGTGTTGAACCCGGATCACCCGGACTTCATCGGGAAGAAACCGCCGAACCCGATGAAGAAGTAGAGAGAGCGCGTCGTTCGCAGAGGCTGGCCGCTCCAGTTTTGGACCTCGTCTCGTCATCGTTCTGTCTTCTCTTACTCGTAGTTCCGTCAGACGACGACGATTCTGATGGATGATTCTACCGTACCTACAACACCTCCTCCCGCTTCCTCTCCTCGAACCTCCCTTCGCCGAGCAAAAACACCGCGTCCTGCCGCGCCAGATCCTGCGGATACTCCCCGTCCCCAACCTTCTCCAGCGCCTTCTTCGGGCCGAGCTTGAGATCCTCCTCGCCCACCAGCGCCCTCCACGTGTTCACGCACGTCAACCCCGTGTCCGGCAGACCCGTGGACGCCTGAGGGTCGTTCCATACAAAAACAGTTCTCCGGTCAGTTGAAAGGGGACGCGATCAAGTGTTGAAACCGAGCGATGGGTGACAAACTTTTGTGTTTAGAACGCACCTGAAACGTCCCGAGCGCGTTCTCCGTCGTGGAACCGAAATACCAGTACTGCATGTCCTCCTCGCCGCTGTAGTACCCCAAGTCGTCGAGCAGAACCTGAAGCTTGTGCACCTCGAGGCCGCCGTCGTCGAGCCGCAGCACCGGCCACCTCTTCCCCTCGCCGGCGATCTGAGGGTAATTGTCCATACGAGCGAACGTCGGGGTGGAGTTGAAAGGCGTCAGATGGAGTTGAAATGCGCCGAGGTGTGTCGGGATTGAAAGCGAGGGACCCTGGGCGGAGAGAAACGACCGCCGGGAGATGAAGTCCTTAAGGATCGGCGTTCACCACGCCGACGCGGTCGTATGGGGGCCAGTGTGAGATAGAACGCGCCTGACTCTCTCGCACGCGTCGCTCCGCGTCGTCGCGCCCCGTCGGGTCTGAGGCAAAAAATGTTCACCGGTCAGTTGAAAGGGGAAGCGATCAAATGTTGAAACCTAGCGGTGGGTGAAACACTTTTCTATAGAACGCACCTTCGTTCGGCTCGTTCCTCTCCGCGTCGCCCCACTGCGGGCCGTCGTCCTCGCCGGTGTCCACGTTGTCGTTCATCGGGACGATCGTCTTGCTCCACGCCGCCGCCGACGCCGCGGACGCGGTGAGCGGCGGCGGCGCGGGGTCGGACTCGGACTCGGACTCGGATCCAGATCTGGCCGCCGCCGCCGCCGCCGCGGCTTCTTCGTCGAACCCGATCGCGCCCGGCGGCGGACCCCAAATGAACCGCTCCTCGCCAATCAACGCACGCCACGTGTCCGCGTCCACGAATCCAGTCTCCGGCAGCTGCACGCTCGCCTGGAAGTAACACAGCGCCTCCTGCGTGGACGGGCCGAAGTACATGTCGCTCTCGTCCTCCTCGCCCGCCCAGAACCCGTTCTCGTTCAACGCCGCCTGAATCGAGCGAACGTCGGGGTGAGGTTCATAGGCGTCAGAAGCGGAGTTGAAAGGCGTCGAGGTGTGTCGGGATCGAAAGCGAGGGGTGGGCGGAGAGATGCGCCGGGAGAGAAAGTCCTTAAGGAACGGCGTTCACCGCGCCGACGCGGTCGCATGGGGACCAGTGTTAGGAAATCAGTCGCGCCTGAATCGTCGCCATGAGGAAGATGTCGTCCTCGCCCATCTTGCACGTCGGCCACTCGCGGCTTCGGTCCACGCCGTCGCCTCTCCACGACGTCGGGTCGAGGACGACGGGGATCTCCTGGTCGTCGACGACGACGACGGCGGGGGACGCGGCGGCATCATCCGGCGGCGGCGACGACGCGGCGGCGGCGGCGGCGGGTTTGCCGTCCGAGGGGAGGAGCGCGTCGAGCATCCTCCGGACGTCCGCCTCGTCGTCCGCCGCCGCGGGCGCGGTCGCGGGCGCGGGCGCGGTCGCGGGCGCGGGCGCGGTCGGCGTCGGCATCGGCGTCGGCGCGCCAGCCTTCAGCGCGTCGATCTCGCGTCGGAGCGCTCGCACCTCTCGCGACATCGCGCCCATCTCTCGCAGCACGAGTTCCATCGCGTCGTCCTGCGCCCTCCGCGCGCGCAGGAGCGACGCCGCGAGCTCGTACTTGTCGTCATCCGCGCTAACGTCGTCGCTCGCGGCGGAACCGGCGCGGACGACGCGGCGCGCGCGGACGCATCGCGCCGACAGAGAGAGAGTTCGCGGAAGCGGCGTCTTCGCGAGACGCGGGGCGACGACGCGCGACGCGCCGCCGGCGTCGCTCCTCGCGGCGCCGCGACGCGCGCGCGCGAGCGGGCGCGCGGTCGACGGCGCGCGGAGCGCGGTGCGCGCGAACATGGCGCCTCGCGAGTCCCGGAGCGCCCGTGCCCGTGAGGAGAGGGCGGGGGGGGAATGCCCCGCGATTCGACGCGCCGTCTTATCCCTCGAGCCACTCGCGAAATGACGCGTTGTACTCGTACACATGTACTCTACAGTATGGGTTTTTAGTTTGAATCTAAACCCAAATTCGCGCGACCGGTCTATCCCCGTCGAAGCCCTCGGAAGTCGGAGCTCTGGCGGTCTTCGAAGAAAGACGTCGCCGCCGCGCGCGCGCGCGTCGTCGACGTCACACCTCGGCGCACTCGGACCCGCGCGTCGCACTCGCACGCGTCCGCTTCTCCTCACACGCCATGCAGTCGGTGCGTCCTCGCGCGGAATCGTCCCCCTCGCGCGGCGCGTCGCGGCGGCGTCGATCCGTTCGAGACGACGAGGACGACGTGTCCGCGTCTCGCGCAGAACCACAGGATCGATTCGATTCCTCCCTCCTCCGCGCTTCTTCCCTCCCGTCCTCCGCGCGCCTCCCCGCTCTGACGCGCGGAGTAAATCCCTCCCCTCGACGAACGCAGGCGATGATGCACGCGACGAGCGCGGCGTCGACCGCGGTCGCCGCGAAATCCGCGCGCGCGCGAAGGTCCGTCCCCGCGACGCGACCGTCGATCCGCCCGTCGCCGCCGCGCCGCCGACCCCGCGATCGATCGACGACGGATCTTTTTTCCTCCGTCTCGTCGTCGTCCACCCCACCCGTCATCCCGCTCACGCGTCCCCCTCCTTCCCCCCCCAAAACCCCTCTCGCCATCGCAGCTCCGCGTTCCTCAACGGCGGCTCCGTGGTGGCGGCGCGCGCGCACCCCGCGAGGCCGCGCCGCCCCCTCCGCGACCGATCCTCCCTCGTGACGCGAGCCGGGAGAGATTACTACGAGGTACTCGGGGTGTCCCGCGCCGCGGACTCGAAAGAGATGAAGCGCGCGTACCGCACGCTCGCGCGGAAGTACCACCCGGACGTGAACAAAGAACCGGGCGCGGAGGAAACGTTCAAGGAGATCTCAAACGCGTACGAGGTGCTGTCAGACGACCAGAAGAAAGCCGTCTACGATCAGTACGGCGAAGCCGGTCTCAAGGGTGGCATGGGAGGCATGGGAGGCATGGGCGGCATGGGTGGCGACCCGTTCAGCAACCCGTTCGACTTGTTCGAATCCTTCTTCGGCGGCGGCATGGGCGGCGGCATGGGCGGCGGCATGGGCGGGCGCGCGCAGCAGCGCAACCGACCGACGCAGGGCGACGACGAGCGATTCGATCTCCAGGCGCGTTCTCTTTTCACACTGGTCCCCGTACGACCGCGTCGGCGTGGTGAACGCCGATCCTTAAGGACTTTGCCCGGCGCATCTCTCCGCCCATCACACCTCGCTTTCAATCCCCGACACCTCGACGCCTTTCAAATCCATCTGACGCCTATGAACTCCACCCCGACATTCGTCAAAAATTCATTCAGATCGAGTTCCTCGAAGCCGTCTTCGGCTGCGAGAAGGAGCTCGAGGTGATGCGCCTGGAGGAGTGCGACGCGTGCACCGGCACCGGCGTCAAGTCCGGCACGCGGCCGGCGAGCTGCGGGACGTGCGGCGGTCAAGGGCAGGTCGTCGCGACGGTTCGAACGCCGCTCGGGAACTTTCAACAGGTGACGGCGTGTCAGGTGCGTTCTATCTCACACTGGTCCCCATACGACCGCGTCGGCGATGTGAACGCCGTTCCTTAAGGACTTTTCCCGGCGTCTCTCTCCGCCCAGGGTCCCTCGGTTTGAATACCGACACACCTCGACGCCTTTCAACTCCGCTTCTGACGCCTTTGAACTCCACCCCGACGTTCGCTCGTATGGACAATTACCCTCAGGCGTGCGGCGGAAGCGGGCAGACGTTCACGCCGTGCGGCTCGTGCGGCGGCGACGGGCGCGTCCGACGGTCGAAGCGCATCTCGCTCCGAGTGCCGCCGGGAGTTGACAGCGGCTCGAGGCTGCGCGTGCGGTCGGAGGGCAACGCCGGGAAGAAGGTACGCTCGCGCGCGCGCGTCGCCGCTCGTTCACGACCGCTTGTTTTTTTTGACGAGTGGCGCGCGCTACCGATCACGCGCTCGAACGATAGACTGACGCGCGTCTCCCCTCGACCAATCAATCGTCACCCATCACATCGCAGGGCGGCCCCGCGGGCGACCTCTACGTCTTCGTCTCCGTGAAGGACGACCCGGACTTGAAGCGGTTCGACGGCGTCAACGTCTCCAGCACGGTGACGATCCCGTACACGTCAGCCATTCTCGGCACGGTGCGTTCTAGTATCACACTGGTCCCCATACGACCGCGTTCGCGTGGTGAACGCCGATCCTTAAGGACTTTTCCCGGCGTCTCTCTCCGCCCGCCCCTCGGTTTCAATCTCCGACCCTATGACGCCTTTCAACTTCAACTGATGCCTTTCAACTCCACCCCGACGTCGCTTCCTACGGAACGACCCTCAGACGCAAAAGGTGCGCACCGTGGACGGCGAGGTCGACCTCAAGATTCCAGCGGGGGTGCAGCCGGGCGCGACGTTGCTGATGGCGAAGCGGGGCGTCCCGAAGCTCGGGTCGCCGAGCACGCGCGGGGATCAGTACGTCACCGTGAAGGTGACCATACCGAAGTCGCCGAGCGGAGAGGAGAAGAAGCTCGTCGAGCAGATCGCCGAGCTGTGACGTAACCGCCGCGACGCGAAGGACGGAGGACGGGAGTTACGGCGGCGGAGGGCGGAGCCAGCCGGCGGCGTTCGTTCATTTTTTCTACTAAATATTACCGCGTGCACGACGAAACGAAACAGAAACAGAACGGTCGCGGCGTCCGCCGGTCCTTTTGTCCTCGCCGACCCTCATCACTCATCGCTCGTCGTCGTCCCCGCCGCCCGCCCCTCTGCTAAACGCCGCGAGCGCCCTCAGGGTCGTTCCATACGAGCGAACGTCGGGGTGGAGTTGAAAGGCGTCAGAAGCGGAGTTGAAAGGCGCCGATGTCGGAGATTGAAAGCGAGGGACCCTGGGCGGAGAGAGACGACGGCGAAAGTCCTTAAGGATCGGCGTTCACCGCGCCGACGCGGTCGTACGGGGACCAGTGTATAGAACGCACCTCAGGAATCCGTACAGCGCGACGAAGAGCAGCGCGAGGAGCAAGACGGTCGAGGACGAGCGCGACTGCGACCGCGCGCGCTGCTGCCTCGCGGCGTCGAGCGCGCTCGCGCTTCGACGCCTCGCGTCGTCGTCGTCCGTCTTCTTCTTCTTCTCTTTCTTCGCGTCGTCGTCTCCGTCTCGCGCCTCAATCTCCGACTCCGTGGGCGTCTCCGTCGGCGTCTCCCTCGGCGCGTCCTTCCCCTCCCCGTCCCCCTCCGCCGCCGCCGGCGGCGGCTTCGGACGCGCCTTCTTCTTTCGTCGCCGCGGCAGCTCCGACCCGGCGAGGCCGATCCCGGCGCTGTCGTTCTCGTCGAGCTCGACTATCTTGACCATCGGACGATCGATCGGTGCCGGCCTCAGATCAGATCCGTCTTCTTCCGATCCCCGTCGCGCGTCCCTCCCTCCCTCCGCGCCTCGCTCGCGCTCCGCCGCGCTCGTCTCTCTCTCGCCGCCGGTCCACCGAAGCTCGCCGAAGACGATTCCGCGACGCGCGACGGCGTTTCCGCGGCGGGGGTCGCGCCCGCGCTCCGCGAAGTGGGGCGGGGGTACGGACGCGCGATCTCACAGTCCTCTACTCGTCGCGCGAAATAAATCGTCGTCGTTCGCGCTACTCCTTCCATTCATTCCTGCCGCCTCCGTCGCCCCCGCGGATGTCGTCGTCGAGGCGCGGGTTCGCGGGTCTCCTCGCCGCGGTCCGCGCGGCATCGCGCGCGCCGTCGTCGACGGCGCCGTCGTCGACGATCGACGCGTTTTCGCGCTCGCACCGGCGCTTCCTGCGCACGACGACGACGCCGCGGTGGCGACGGCTCGAGACGACGACGACGACGACGACGCCGGCGACGATCTCCGTCTCGTCTCCCTCGCTCCTCCTCCTCCGCTCGCCGCCGCCGTCGTCGTCGACGCGCGATACGCGACGAGGCATCGTGTACCGCGCCGGGAAGAACAAGATGAAGACGCAAAAGGACGACAACCTCGACACGGGGAAGACGAACCAAGGGCTGCGCGTCAACTCGCAGATCACCGCGCGGCAGATTCGACTCGTGAACGTCCCCGACGGCGACGACGACTCTGACGACGATTCTGACGACGATTCCGACGACGACGACGCCGCCTCGGAGGACGCCTCCAATACCTCCAATACCTCCTCCTCCTCCTCGAAGCCGTCGCACGAGATCATAAGCACGCTCGTCGCGCTCCGACGCGCTCGCGACCTAAACCTGGACCTCGTGGAAGTGAACCCTCGCGCGACGCCGCCGGTGTGCCGCCTCATGAGCTACGACGCGTATCGATACGAGCTGAAGCTGAAGGATAAGGAAGCGCGTCGCCGCGGCGTCGACCGACGACGCCAGGACGTCATCAAGACGTTGCGGCTGAGCGCGAGGATCAGCGATAACGATCTGAAGACGAAGGCGGTCCAGGCGACGAAGTTTATGGCGTTGGGGCACGGCGTTCGCGCGCGGATCGAGTTTAAGAAGAACGACGGCGTCGCGCCCACCGCGGCGATGCGGCACGCCGCGGGCGAAATCTTGTTCAAAGGTGCGCGCGTCGTTATTGTTGCGCATTTCTGACCGTTCCCCGTATGTTGTGCGACCCCGTTCGCGCGGCGCGTCCATCGCGAAAGACTTTCGAAAGACATTCTTCTGACTCTCGCGTTCGTTCGTTCTACCGTCTCGTTCGTCGTTAAAAGACTTTCGAGAGATGTTAGGACCGCACCGGCTGGACATCGACGGGAGAATGGTCGGGCCGTCGCACATGATCCTGCAAGTGTCGCCGATTCGCGTTCCGAAAGGGCACAACCCGAAGAAGGAGAAGAAGAAGGAACCTGAGGTGCGTTATATACACTGGTCCCCATACGACCGCGTTCGCGTTGTGAACGCCGATCCTTAAGGACTTTGCCCGGCGCATCTCTCCGCCCACCCCTCGCGTTCAATTCCCGACCGCGACGCCTTTCAGCTCCAACTGACGCCTTTTAACTCCACCCCGACGTTCTCTCGTATAGAACGGCCCTGACGAGAAGGAGAAGAAGGACGCGAACACCGCGCCCGAGTCAACCGCGCAAACAGCCGTCAAGCTCGCCGCCGCGTCCCGAGCCGCGACGGGCGCCGTGAAGGACGTCGCGATCGAGGACCTCGCCGCGGCGATCGAGGCGAAAGCGAGCGAGGTGAGGGAGCTGAAGCTGAGGGCGAAGGGCGAGGGCGGCGAGGGCGTCGAACGCGGGGCGATCGAGCGGGAGGTGGATCTGTTGCTGGCGCTGAAAGAGAGAGCGGCGGCGGCGCGAGGGGCGGCGGACGGAGAGGACGGATAGCGCCGCGGTAGTACGTGTAGTATTAGGTCGTTCGTTTGATATGACAACACCAAACGCGCGCACGTATCCCTTCCCGTGATCTGATCGTACAACAGCGCGCGAGGTCCTCCCCGAGAAGAGACGCGTTCATCGTTCAAAAGCGTTCGATGCACCGCGTCGCCCCCCGGTTTTAACTCTCTGAATCGCGCCGTCTCCCTCCATCCGTTTCCATTTCCGTTTCCTTACCCTCCTACGATCGCCGCCTCCGCCAGACGCACCACTGGTCGCCGTGCATCGCGTACTCCCACATCGTCTGATCCTCCGGCGCCCAGTCGTTCGGCCCGATCTTCATGATGAGCAGCGGCTCCCCGTTTTCGCCCTCGTCGAAAATCTCCGCCGCGTACACCGCCTGCTCCGCGCACAAAATCTTCACCCCAGACCGGCACTTGATCCCAACCTCCTTCCTCAACTTGATGAGGTCCAACAGCGGCTGCTTCAGCTCCGGCCACTCGAACAGATGGTCCCAGAAGATCGTCGGCGTCCCCGGGTGCGTCATGATGTACGCGTATCCTTGCATCTCGAACCCCTCGGGGAACCTCCAGTGCCCCTGCGTGCTCCCCGTGTCGTGGTTCTCGATGAACGTAACCGCGCGGCTCGGCCAGCGGCCGACGACGCCCGGCGGCTTCCCTTCCGTGTCCGCGAGGCGCCAGTACTCCTGCCGCTCGAACACCGCGTGAAGGATGCCCTTCGTGGTGACGTCGAACGCCCCCGCGGTGGCGTCCGCGTCGTCCATCCACGACACGATGCGCTGCCGGTGGTCGTCCTGGTTATACGCCGGCTCGTCGTAGTTGTACGCGAGAGTGTCCCAAAACTCCCCCACGGCGAAGTGGACGTCCGTCGCCTTCATGTAATCCGCGACGTGCTTCCCGCTGAACCCGCGGACGTAGTCGAGGCGCCAGCCGTCGTACCCAACCTCCGCTTGCATCCACTGCATCCACGTGCAGATGTCGCGCTTGACGAAATCCTGCGAGTGGTCGACGTTGGGCGCGGCGTGGAAAAAGTCGCCGCTGTGTCGTTGAAAGGGGTGGAGTTGAAAGGCGTCAGTTGGAGTTGAAAGGCGTCGAGGGCGGGGATTGAAAGCGAGGGGTGGGCGGAGAGAGACGCCGGCAAAAGTCCTTAAGGATCGGCGTTCACCACGCCGACGCGGTCGTATGGGAACCAGTGTGAGATAGAACGCGCCTGCTGTGATTGCCTTGCCCGCCGAAATGCGGGTCGTCCTTGACGATGGCGCGCGCGTCCCAGTCGAGCTTCCCGCCGTACCTGTTCCACAGACCGTCCGGGCCTTGGAACTGCGCGCAGCGGTGGTTGAGCACCGCGTCGCCGAGGGCTTTGATGCCGTTCTCGTGCAACGCGTCGATGCACCGTTTGAGCTCTTCTTTGCTTCCGTACCACGAGTCGAGGTCGTACAGATCGCTCGGCATGTACCCTTCTTGGCTGACCGAGTTGGTGGGTGGCGGGAGCCAGATCACGGTTATCCCCATCTCTTTCAGCTTGGGCGCGAGCGTCGTGACGCGCTGGTACCACGCCCTGCCGCCGTCGACGCGGCACGACTCCCAGTTGAACCCTTGGAGCAAAATCTCCTGACCGGTTCCCGTGGGTTGCTGCACGCGTTCGCCGATCCGCGCCGGCGGCGGAACGGCCGTCTCCGTTTGCGTTTGCGTTTGTAACACCTCCGTTGTAACCACCTCGGGCACCTCCGCGACCGGAGGGAGGGAGGAGAAGTCGGAGTAGACGACCGGCGGCGCGATGTTCACGCCCGTGCTCGGGGGGGCGATGTTCACGCCGGTGGGGATGGGCGTCTTGGGCGCCGCGGGCGCCGCCGGCGTCGGCGTCGGCGCCGGCGTCGGCGGCGCGGGCGGCGCCGCCGCGTCCGCTTGCTTCTGCAGCTCCAGAAGCTTCGCCTCGATGGACGCGAGCACGTCCAGGTCCGCGTCCGCCTTGACGGCGTCGTCCGCCTTGATCGCGTTCAGCTGCTTCTCGAGATCGATCTTCGCGCGCTCGCGGAGCCGTTCCTCTTCTTGCCGCGTCTCCGCCGCCAGTCGCGCCGCCTGCGTGGGTGAAGCGATCGGTCAGTCGAACGTCTTACCGGTCAAACGTTGAAAGGGAAGCGCGGGTGAAGAGTGACGACGGGAAAAGTCCTTAAGGAACGGCGTGCACCACGCGAACGGGGTCGTATGGGAAGCAGTCTCACCGCCGCCGCCTCCTCCGCGGCTTTCACGCGCGCGGCGATCTCCTCCTCCGCCCTCCGCTGCATCTCGATCCGCTCTCGCTCCACCTCCTCGATCCGCTGCTTCTGCGCCTCCATCGCGAACGTCTCGAGCTCCCCCGCGCGCGTCACCGCCTGCTCCGTGAGCATGAGCTCCGACTTGTCGCGCCACGCCTTGAGCGTCTCTTCGTCGATCTCCATCGTCTGCTTCAAGTCGTTCTCCGCGGCGGCAGCCTTGGCCTTGTCCGCGTTCGCCTTTTCGTTCGCGGCGTCCTGCGCCACCTTGGCGAGGTCGTCGAACTTGGCGTCGCGCACCGCCTTGGCCTTATCCGCGGCGGACTGCGCCTCCACCGCGGCAGCCTCCGCGTTTTGCTTGGCGATGACGGCTTGCGCGATGAGCCGCCGCGCCTTGGTGTTCGCCTCGCGGTTCGCCGGCACCTCCTGCGCCGCCTCCGTCGCCTCCATCGACAGCTTCTGCGCATCCTTCGCCGCCTCCAGCGCGAGCGCGGCTTTACGCATCATCTCCGCGATCGCGCCGTCGACGTCGACGCCGACGAGCGCGGCGACGGCGGCGTTGCCCATCGCCATCGTCGCCGCGTCCATGTTGGCGACGCCGGCGGCGTCGGACGCTCTCACGGGCGGTCCCCCCGCGTAGAGCTGCGAGCTCAGCGCGGTGGTCTCGGGGAGCTTGATGTAAAAGTCGCCGCCGCGGTTGTCGAACCAGCGGTTCTTATCGCCGTTCTCTTTGAGGCAGAAGCGCAGGCCCACGGGCGCGGCGCCCATGTCGAGCTCGACGTAGCCGAAATCGCTGGCGAGGCCGCCGCTCACCTTCTTCATCGCCGTCTGAACAGCCTTGCCGTCGCCGTACTCCTTCGTCCCCTCAGGGCGGTTCTGCGGGCTCGGCAGCGCCCACTGATCCTGGCGCGCGCCCCTCGGGACGACGCCCCAGTGCAACAGCAGCGAGTCCACGGGGAGGTCCGTCTCGACGCGCACCTTGCACGCCGCGTTCATCGAGCCGGCTTCTGTCTCGACGCGGACGCCGACGCGCGCGACGACGTCGACGTCGGTGTGCGAGAGCGCCTTGTGCTCGTGGGTCGCGTGCCACGGCACCTCCACGGGGGGAGGCGGGACCTTGAGGACCATCTTCTTCTTCTTGGGACGCACCTTCTTCGGGACGGGCGCGGGCATGTACGACTTCGCCGGCGACTTCGCGGGCGGCGGCGCGGGCGCAGGCGTCGCGGGGACGACGTTGTTGACGTCCGGGGGGTTGACGACGGGAGCCGCGGCCGCGGCGGGAGGGGTCGTCGTCGCCGCCGCGGAAGCCGCCGCCGCCGCATCGCGCGTCTTCTTCCCCGCCGCCTTGCGCTGCAGAAGCGTCGCCACCTTGCGTTCCTTCTCCTTGGCGCGTTCCTTTTTGAGCGCGTCGCGCGCCTTTTTGGCCATCGCCTTGGCCTCCTCCCTCTTCGCCCTCGCCTCCGCGCGCATCGCAGCCTTCGCCGCGATCGCCTCCGCGCGCGCGCTCTCCCGCTCCTGCTTCTTCGCGTCGCGCTCGGCAATCTTCGCCGCGCGCGCGTCCTCGCGCTTCTTCGTCTTCTCCTCCTCCGCGGCGGGATCCGGCTTGGTGTACGACGACAGCTGTCCGAGGAGCGCCGCCATCCCAGTCACGCCGCCGCCGCCGCCCTCGTCGTCGTCGTCGTCATCCTCCTCCTCCTCCTCCGCGTTAAGCGCGTCGTCCTCGTCCTCGGACCCGAAGATTTCGTCCTCCTCGATTCCGAGCTCCGCGTCGACTTCGGCCTCGATGCGCGCCATCGCGGCGCCGTCGTCTTCGCCGTCGGCGTCGGAGTCCGAGTCGGAGCTGGCGCCGAGATCGGCGTACTCCGCGTTGATCGCCGCGATCTGCGCGTCGAGCTCGAGCTCCTCTTGGGCCATCGCGTCCGCGGCAGCCTTCGCGGCGAGTTCCTCCGCGGTCGGCGCGGCGGCGGCGGCGGCGGCGGCGGTCGGGGACTGGTGCGGGTCGAACGCGATATCCGCCGCGTCCGAAATGCCGCCTGCGTGGGTGAAGCGATCGGTCAGTCGAACGTCTTACCGGTCAAACGTTGAAAGGGAAGCGCGGGTGAAGAGTGACGACGGGAAAAGTCCTTAAGGAACGGCGTGCACCACGCGAACGGGGTCGTATGGGAAGCAGTCTCACCGTCGATTTCGTCGTCGTCAACCTCCTCCATCTCCGGCTCCGGGAGCGCCGGGCACGGGATCTCGAACGGCTGGTGATGGTTCCCCGGGTCGTGGTACCACTGCCCGTGCGCCTCGTCGTGAAGCACGAACTTGATCATGTGCGGGCAGTCCTCGATCGGCCCCTCGATGGCGAACTTCACGACGCGTACGCCGTCGGGCGCGCCGAGCGCGTCGAGCTCCTTATCCGAAACCGGCTGCAGCGGCGACTGGCACGCCTCCTCCAGCGTCTTCGTCCCCAGCGGCAGCGCCTTCGCGATCGACGGCGGCGGGACGCACCACTTGTGCGGGTTCGCCTTCGTGACGCACCCCCAGTGAATCGTCAGGTCGCCGTTCTCGACGTCCTCGCGTTCGCACTCCACGTCGACGCGAAACGTGATTCCGTTGCTCGTCGCCTTCATCCTCACCTCCGTGGGCTTCGTCTCGCGCATCGTGATGACGTACTCCTCCTCCGCGAACAGCTCGCGCGCGCCCTTGTTCACGCGCGCGTCGTTATCGATCCGCTGGAGGCGCCGCTGCTGCTTCGCCTCCTCGGACTCCAAGATCGCCGCCGCCTCGGGCGAGATTGGCAATCGGGGGTCGCCGAGCGGCGGCTTCGAAGCCGACGAAGCCGTCTTCTTATCCGCGGCGTCGTTGCCGGTGCTCACCGCGCGGACGACCCCGACGAGCGGGGAGCGTCCGAAGCCGCCACCCGATCGGGAGGGACGGACGCGTCGCCGCGCCGCGGTCGAAACGACCGAAGACGAAATACCCCGGCGGGGGTGGGCGCCCGCGACGGCGACCGAGGGCGCCGTCATCGCGGTCGCCGCCGTCGCTGGCATGCTGCAGCCTCGCCGCTCGCCGCTGTCTTCACGTGCGGACGCGCGCGATGCTGCGAGAGGGGAGGGGAACGAACGAGAGACGAGAGGAAATAAGGGAAGGAAGGGTCGACGTCAGAGAGACGTCGTCGCGTCGTCGGGGGTCTCGGCGATCGCCGCGGAAGGATTATTTATTATTTTTCAACGTAAACGCGCCAGGTTGTCACCCGCGAATAAAGCGCGGGGACAACTCAGCGACCGTACCCCCGCGCGCGGCGGCGCGCGCGGGGGTACGACGAGCGAACACCGCGATGGGGACGCGCGAGTCGCGGCCGCGACGCGCGGGAACGACGCGAATGGGCGTCGTTCGCGCGCGGACGCGTCGCGCGACGCGTCGAGAGCGGGATTCGCGCCCCGCGCGGCGCCCGCTTTCGGCGGTCGTCGGCGCAGTTTCTCGGCGATCCGCGTCGGTCGATCCGAGCAGGGATCGAGGGCGCGCGCGACCGCTTCGGAACGCGCGGCAAAGCGCGATGAAACCCGCAGATCCGAGACGCGGGGCCCTCCGCGCGCGATTCGCCGCGAAGGCGGCGCATCGCGCGCGCGCGCGCGGCGACGCGGCGCGCGCTGTCGCGCGCGCGAGGACGATAGAAATCACACCGCGTTTTCCGAGTCGCAGGGATGGAAAAAAGATTGCTTGCTGACGCGCGCGAGGTTCGAGCGCGCGCGCACCGTGTCTCCGCGCGCCTCCCGCGGGTTCTCGTGTGCGCGCGCGAGGTCTCCGTGCCCCGTGCGATGTCTCTTCGCGTGCCTCTCGCGCGTTCGCCTCCGCGCGTCGCGCTCTCCCGCGCGCGATGGAATGCCCCGAGCGAGCAGCCGCCCGCGCTCGAGCCGTCGCTTGAAAACTTGAAAACCGGACTCGTCCCCACCGCGCGCGCGATTTTCCCTCCACTTTTTTCGCGGCTCGCGAGATCTCCGAGGCTATCCGCGAAGCGTCGTGCGCGGCGCAGCGCGACCGCGGTCGGTCGCATCGACCGCGATTCGCGGTTCAGAGACTGGGAAACGCTCGAAAACCAAAACTCGCGCGGATCGATGAATTTCGACCGCGACGCTTCGATCGAGCCGAGCGATCGCGCGCGGTCGAACCGTCGGTTCATCGGATTTGGGGGTCGCAAACCCTCGATCGCGCGGTCGCGCGCGGGATAAGTTTAGGCTTCGAACGACGCGCGCGCCGCCTTTGAAAAGGAGGCAGCCCGGCGCTTGGGCGTCTCTTCGACTCGGCTTCCGACGCTGACGCGGATTTTGTTACGTTCTCCCCCCCCCCGCCCCCGCCCCCGCCATTCCCTCCGCCGCCGCGCTTCCGCGTTCCTCCATCATGCATCGCATCGCGAGCCTCGGGGACGTGCAGGAGAGCAACAAGCACGAGCGGCACCACGCCGCGCCCGCCGAGCGCGCGCGCTTCGGACCGTGGGCGGGTCCGTCGTCGCCGCCGCCGCACGCCAAGCCCGACTCCGACGCGTACGACGAGCAACGCGCGGCTCTGCTGGATCTCGGGAGGCTGTTCGAGGCGTGCGTCAAGGCGGTCGTCGTGACGCCGCTCACGGCGGCGTGGCAGTCCGTCGCGGGGTTGTACCACGTGACGGCGAGGAACGATTTCGAGGCGCTGCACGACGTCGCGTGGGAGCTGGGGATGGGGTCGCCCGAGTAACGCGTATAAACACAGAAGAGGGGAAGGGGGCACTGCGTGCACGATGAGATCTGACGAAGGAAGCGAGAGAGACGAACCTAGCTAGGAACCAAGCGACCGCCGGCTACAGCTCGTCGCGCGCGGCGTTCGGGGACGGGGACGACGCGCGGCGCGCGGCGTCCGCGTCGCCGAAGCCCGGTCCTCCATGTAGAGCTTCGCGTCGGCGCCGGCAGCGATTTTTACGGATTCCTTCTTCTCCCTCGAGGCTTCGTCTTCGTCTTCGTCTTCGTCTTCGTCTTCGTCTTCGTCTTCGTCTTCGTCTTCGTCCTCGTCTTCGTCTTCGCGGTCCCTCAACGCCGCCGCCATCGCGCTCTCGCCCGGTCTCAGATCCCCCGCGGCGATAAGTCGGTCCTTCACAGCACGTGAACACGTATTAATCTACGACTGATTGCCCATACGAGTACTTGTAGTACTCGTAGGTCTGTTTGATCAAGCGGACGACGACCGCCGTCGTCGCCGTCGCGCGCGGGGTCACACCGCGGGACGCGCGCGAGGGTCGCGCACGGCGCGCGAGGAGAAGACGGACGCCGGGACGGCGCGCGCGCGGCGGGGACGAGCGCGATGGCGTCCGCGGCGGGATCCGTCGCCGCGGCGTCTGCGACGACGACGGCGTCGACGCGGTGCCGTCGTCGTCGCGTCGCCGCGAGCGTCGGCCCCGACGCGACGCGATCGCGCGCGCGCCGCCCGCGCGTCGTCGCGCGCGCGAGAGGCTTCGGCGTCTCCGAGGCGGACGACGACGCGACGACGGACGGCGACGGCGACGGCGAGGTCGGCGAGGTGGGCGCGAACGACGACGCGAACGACGCGTCGTCGTCGTCGTCGTCGTCGATCGCCGGCGCGCCGTCGCGCGCCGCGGCGTCCGCCGCGGTGCGCGCGCTCGCGGACCGCGTCCTCCCGAACGGCGCGTCCGTGAACGACCGCGACGACGAGACGGGGGAGACCGCGCTCGTCGTCGCGAGCGAGCGCGGGGATCTCGACGACGTCCGCGCGCTGCTCGCCGTGGGCGCGGTGCGTTTCGTAGTTGGTTTTTTTTTTGGTTTTTCACCCCACCCCCGGTTTCAAATTTCATCGCGTCGCGAGGTCGCTGCCGTTCAACTGACCGAGGTTTGGTTTCAAAAACGCGCCGCGCGCAGGACGTCGCGATCGCGTCCTTCTCCGGGTGGACCGCGCTCCACGGCGCCGCGGAAAACGGCTCCATCGCGTGCGTTAAAGCGCTCATCGACGCCGGCGCGGACGTGAACGCGGTGACGAGCAGCACGGGGAAGAGCGTCCTGGACATCGCGCGGCAGTACGGGCGCGCAGACGCGGAGGAGGTTTTGGCGTCGTACGGCGCCGCGTTCGCCGTCACGCGTCGTATGGACAAACAGTCTGACGAGGAATCCGACGCCGACTACGAAGTGCTCGACGACGACGACGACGACGACGAGAGTGATACTGCCCTCGACGCGCTCGAGGCGCTCGTGCGACGCGCGCGCGAAGACCCGTCCTACGCGCCGACGGTCGCGGACATCGAAAACTTGAACGCGTTTCCGTTTGATCCGTTTCAATCGGAAGCCGCCGAGGCGCTGATACGCGGCGACTGCGTCGTCGTGTCCGCGCCGACGGGGAGCGGGAAAACGCTCGTGGGCGAGGTCGCGATCGTGAACGCGCTGTTGAGAGGACAGAAGGCGATATACACGACGCCGTTGAAGGCGCTGTCGAACCAGAAGCTTCGCGAGTTTCAGAAAATATTCGGCCCCCGACGCGTCGGCCTCAAGACGGGCGACGTCGAGATCAACGCCGCGGACGCGGACGTCGTCGTGATGACGACCGAAATCCTTCGCAACATGCTGTACCCGAGCGCGGGCGCGGAGGACGCGGGCGGCGGCGGCGTGACGGTTGACGTTCCATCTTCCGCCGTCGTCATCGGAGAAGACGCCGGCCGCGCCGACGGCCGACTCGAAGGCGTCGGCGTCGTGATCCTCGACGAAGTCCACTACCTCTCCGACGCGTCGAGAGGCACGGTGTGGGAGGAGACGATCATCTACCTCCCGAGCGCGGTGCAGCTGCTGTGCTTGTCCGCGACGGTCGGGAACCCCGACGACTTGGCCGGGTGGATAGAGGACGTGCACTGTCGCGGCGGGACTCAGTGCGAGGTCGTGCAGTCGGACTACCGACCGGTGCCGCTGACGTGGCACTTCTCGATGAAACCCGGTCACATGTACCCGGGACTGGGGCCGCTGCTGAACCGCGCGGGGACGCGGTTGCACCACGAGCTGTTTCCGTTCACGAAGGAGGGCGCGAGGGAGTGGGCCAACGCCAACGGCGGCGACGGGTACGGATCCTACGGGAACTCGTTCGACGACCGCTACGGCGTCGGCGACGACGACGACGGGTACTACGAGGGCGGGTTCTTCCGAAGAAACAACAACGATCGCGGTCGCGGTCGCGGCGGCGGCGGCGGACGAGGGCGGCGCGGCAGCGGCGGCGGCGGCGGCGGCGGAAGACGTTTCCCGCCGCCGCCGCCGTCGCCCGCGACGGATAAGCAACAACGCCGCCGGCTCGTCCCGCACGTGGAGACGACCGTCGGGCAGCTCGTCGCGGGGAACATGCTCCCGGCGGTGTGGTTCGTCTTCTCCAGAAAAGGCTGCGACCAGGCCGCGGAGTACTTGTGTAGGTGCGGCGCGAAGCTCGTGACCCCGGCGGAGGAGCGAGAGATCGCGGCGACGCTCGACGCGTTCGCGAGGCAAAACCCGGACGCGATCCGCGACGACGCGATCGAGCCGTTGCTGCTCGGGATCGCGTCGCACCACGCCGGTTTACTCCCCGGGTGGAAAGGACTCGTGGAGGGGTTGTTTCAGCGCGGGCTCTTGAAAGTGGTCTTCGCCACGGAGACGCTCGCGGCGGGGGTGAACATGCCGGCGCGATGCTCCGTGTTATCCGCGCTGAGTAAACGCGGCGACGCGGGGCCGCGGATGTTAACCTCGAACGAGTTCATGCAAATGTGCGGACGCGCGGGACGGCGAGGGTTCGACACCATCGGGCACGTCGTCGCGTGCCAGTCCCCGTTCGAGGGCCCCGAGGAGGCGTTCGATTTGGTGACGTCCCCGCCGGATAACCTGCGGTCGCAGTTTTCAATATCCTACGGCATGGTCCTGAACCTCGTGCGCGCGGGACGGCCGCTGCCCATGGTCCGATCGATCGTGGAGCAGTCGTTCGGGAACTACCTCGGCGGCAAGGCGAAGCGCGAGCAGACGAAAGAGCTGCGGCGGCTGAAGCAGCAGGCGGACGCCTTGCGCGAGCAGATCGAGATGGGCGAGTCGATCGTCCCGCAGGATGAATGGCGGCGGTACGTGAAGCTCGAGGAACGACTGAAAGAAGAGCGGCGTCTGATGAAGATCATCTCGAGACAGAGCTGGGACATGAAAGCGGAGATGGCGCGCGCGGCGATCAGAGATTTTCTCGAGATCGACGAGGGGATCGCGCTCGCGCTCGTGGAGCTGGACGACGTCGCGGAGGACGGTCAGGTGATTCGACCGGGGCGGAACCTCCCTCCGTCGTTTTCGAGAGGCGCGAGGCCAAAGTCGAAGACGATCGGGCTCATGCCGGACGGGTCGTGGTCCGTGGAGGATCCCGACGCGGCCGAGGATGACGTGGCCGATGGAGAGGATGACGTGGCTTCCGCTGATTCGTCGAACGCGGTGACGCCGAGAACCGCGGACGCGGCGGACGCCGTCGCCGCGTTTGACGACGCCGACTCCGACGAGTCACCGCACGCCACGCCATCCTCATCGTCGTCCACGTCATCTGCGTTCAGCCGCCCGCGCGGGCGCGTCGCGCTCGTCGCCGTCGTGGACGCGATCGCCGCGGATTCGGACGGCGTCGGCGACTTTATCGGCGTCGACCGCGACGGCGCGTGGTATCGGTTCGGCGCGGAACGCGCGCGGCGGGTGCTCAACGAACCGCTCGTGCTCGCCGCGGACGTGGACGCGTGGCCGCCGCGAGCGCCGCCGGTGCGGTCGTCGATCGCGTGGCGCAGGGTCGGGGACGGACTGTGGAGGGCGGAAGGGAACGCGGACGCGATCGCGGCGGCGGCGGCGGCGGGGGTCCCGCGCGCGGATGACGATTCAAATTCCGACGACGACGAATCAGGTGCGTCCCATACACTGGTTCCCATACGACCGCGTTGGCGTGGTGAACACCGATCCTTAAGGACTTTGCCCGGCGCATCTCTCCGCCCACCCCACGGTTTCAATACCCGCCCTCGACGCCTTTCAACTCCACCTGACGCCTTTCAACTCCACCCCGACTTTCGCTTGTATAGAACGGCCCTCAGAGATCGCCGCGTCGGTCGCCGCCGCCGACGACGACGACGCGAGCTTCGGCCTGGACGAGACGCTGCGCTTCCTGACCGAGCAGAGGGCGAAGGTCGCGGCGACGCGGCGCGAGATCGACGAGATGAAGAACGTCGCCGAGCTTCGACGCGCGGTGAAGTTGAACAACCGGAAGAGGGAAAAGTTGTCGACGCTCGACAAGCGGATTTCGCGGCTGGAGAAACGCGTCGGCGAGTACGCCGCCGCGGGTTGGGCGGAGTTCCTCAGGGTCGTGGACATCCTCGTGGAGATGGGCGCGCTCGTGGACCCCATACCGGAGGAGGAGCTCGCGCGGGAGGCGGAGCAGGCGGAGATGGAGGCGGCGGCGAAGGCGAAGGCGGCGGAGGACGACGCCGAGTCTTCGAAACCGAAAGACCCCGTCGCCGCGTCCGCGTTCGGAGACGATTTTTGGGAGCCGGACGCGCCGTTCTCGCTGTCCGCGCTCGACGACGCGCACGACCTCGCGCGCGGCGTCGACGTGAACGCGGAGCTCGCGGGGAGAGCGGCGGCGTTCGCGAAGAAGAAGAAGGACGCCGCCGTCGCGCGGCGGCGTCGCGAGACGCGCCGAAAGATGCGCTGGCCCTCAGGTGCGTTCTATCTCACACTGGTCCCCATACGACCGCGTTGGCGTGGTGAACGCCGATCCTTAAGGACTTTCGCCGTCGTTTCTCTCCGCCCACCCCTCGCTTTCAATACCCGCCCTCGATGCCTTTCAACTCCGCTTCTGACGCCTTTGAACTCCACCCCGACGTTCGCTCGTATGGAACGGCCCTCAGACGACGACGACGACGCGCGGGAACGCGGGGACGGTTCATCGCGCGAACCGTCGTCGTCGTCGCGCGTCGACACCCTGACGCTCACCCCTCTCGGGGAAGTCTGCGCGACGCTGCGCGGCGAGAACGAGCTGTGGCTCGGCGTGGCGTTGTCCGACGCGTGCGTCGCGGACCTCGACGAGTATCAGGTGCGTTCTACTATGCAAGCGTTTGGAGCACCCATCGCTCGGTTTCAACACTTGATCGCGTGGGTCCCTTTCAACTGACCGATGAACTACATTTTTTTGTATGGAGCGACCCTCATCAGCTCGCCGGCGTCTTCGGCGCCATCTGCGCGGACGCCAACCGCCCGGCGTCGTCCAGCTACGACCCGAGCGCGAAGCTGCGAGCGGCGCTGAGGAACCTCGAGCCAATCGCCGCGGGGGTGATGACGGTGCAGTACGAGGCGGGGATGAGCTCGAGCGTGACGTTGAGCGACGGCGTCGCCGCGTTGTGCGAGGCGTGGGCGAGCGGCGCGACGTGGGATCAGATCCGGCGGGACACGAACCTTGACGAGGGCGACATCGCGAGGGTGTTTCGACGCACCGCGGAGCTGCTCGCGCAAGCGCCGCGGACGAGGGAGCTCCCGGAGAGCGTGCGGAAGAGAGCGAAAGCCGCGGAGAAGCTCGTCCTGCGCCCTCCGATCACGGACCTCAGCTAGCTTCCTTCGTACTAGACTCTGATATCTTATACGAGTACGAGTACTGTACCTCTATCGATATCCCCCCCTCAACTCTGATATCTTATACCTCTATCTATCGATATCCCCTCAACACAACCTCACGAAGCCTCCCACCGGGGTCGACGCGACGTTCACGACGTTCGCGAACCGCTTCACGCCCTCCACGACCGTGGCCTCGTCCCCCGCGACCGTGACGCGAAACATCCCCGGTCGCGCGCACCCGCACAGCGTCCCGGGGACGACGAGAACGCGCGCGGCGGCGAACGCGTCGAAGAGCTCCGCCTCGTGTTCCAGTGTCCCCCGCCGCCCGTCGCCGCCGTATCCGCCGCCGCAGTCCACCCACAGCGCCAACCCCCCGCCGATCATAACATCGCCGTCGTCCACGGAAATCTTCCCGGACGCGAGCAGCGGCTTCAACAGCTCCAATACCTCCCCGCGTCGCGCGCGGACGACGTCGACGTGATGCCCGAACGCCTCGCGCGCCGCGGTGCCACCGTCGCCGAACAGCATCGTCAGCGACTGCGCGAAAGGGTCGCTCCCGGCGCGTCGACGCGTCGCCTCGTCGCGAGTCACCAAGACGCACGACGTGCGGCCGCGAGCGAGACCGCACGCGGCGCCGAACGCGGCGACGACGTGCACGCGCGGGTCGTCGTCGTCGCGCCACAGCGAGCTCGCGCTGACGAACCCGGCGGCTCGACCCCACGGCTTGGGATTTCTGGTTTCGGCGTTTGGTCTTTTGGCGGCGGCGGCGGCGGCGGCGCGCGTCTCCTCCTCCTCTCCTCTCGCGCGAAATTTCATCGCCGCGTCGGTCGACGCCGCCGCGAAGTTCGTCTCGTCCACGACGAGATGCGCGCCTCTCCGCGCGCACCACGCGCTCGCCTTCACGACGCTCGAGACGCGCGCGAGCGCGCCAGTGACGGGCGACGGATTGGACAAAACCACGGCGCCGACGCGCGTCGTCGTTCCCTCTCGGACGAACCGCTCGCGCGCCGCGTCCAGCGCGTCCGCGACGTCGACGCCGTCGCCCGTGACGTCCACGCGGACGACATCGACGGACGGACGCGACAGAGGGCCGTCGGCGGACGGCCACAGCGGTCGGTACGGTCCCAAGACGACGACGCCGACGCGCGCAGTCTCGGACGCGGTTTCGGACGCGTCGTCGTCGTCGTCGTCGTTGTCGCCGTCGTCGTCGTCGTCGCGGGCGTCGTCGTCGTCGTCGCGGGCGTCGTCGCCGTCGTCGTCGTCGCGGACGACCGCGAGCGCGGCGGCGACGACGGTCTCCACCGCGTCCGCCTCCCCCCGTCCACGCTGCCTCAGGAACGAGACGTCGTCCGGGGCCAGCCAAGAACCGCCGGCGTCGCGTCGCAGCGGCGACCCGAAGCCGCCTTCGATGAGGAGCTCGGACACCGCGCGCTTCAATCCCGCCCCGCCGACCGGCGACTTCCGCTCCGCGCCGACGCCGCTCGTGTCGTACCCGTCGAGCAGGCGCGAATTCGCGCTCGCGAGGTCGCACCAGCCGCGGACGCGGACGTCGCTCTCCGCGTTGAACGGCTCCGCGAAGCACGCGGCGGCGGCGTCCTCGAAGCGTCGCGCGAGGAGGACGACGAGATCGGCGTCGTCCGTCGTCGTCGACGACGACGACGACGACGACGACGACGACGACGACGACGACGCGGACGCGCGCGCGGCAGGGCGACGCGCGGCGGGGCGACGCGCGCGGTGCGACGGGACGGCGAAGGGCGCGCGCGCGCCGCGCGCCGCCGCCGCCATCGCCGCTCCTCCCGCGCGCGCTGCCGAGGTGTGATCGAGTCGTCTCGGAACCATCGAGGAATACTGTGATGTTAACAACTTCGGAGGTTCGCCGCGGAAGCCGAACTACTGTGCTCGCATGACATCAAACCGACGACACTCGACTCGACGCTCGTCGCGTGCCTCTACTCCTCCGCGACGACGGGCGACGGCCGCCACACCTGGCTCCCGCCGTCCATGAGCGCCACGCCCTTCGCCCCGAGCTCGTCCCGGATGCGATCGCTCTCCGCGAAGTCCTTCGCCTCCCTCGCCGCCTTTCGCGCCGCCACCGCGGCGTCGACGTCCTCCCGACTCAGCCCCGCGCGCGTCAGCGTCAACGCGCGCAACCGCTCGAGCACGTCGACCGCGTCCGCCTTCGCGCTCGGCAAACCGACCGCGTCTAACGTCTCCGTCACGGCGCGGACGAGCGCTTTCATCGCGGCGATCCTACCCTGGGCTTTCTTCCCCTTCTTCGTGGAGACGAAGTCGTTCAGAAGCTTGAGCGGCGACGACAGCGACGCGATCGCGAGGGGGGTGTTCAAGTCATCCGATAACGCCGCACCGACGGCCGTTTCCGTTTCCTCCGCGAGCGCGACTCCCTCCAGAGCTAAGCCTTGGAGTTTCTTCGCCGCCGTCTCCTCCTCCTCCGCGCCGTCCACGACGTCCGACGCTTCGGACAAGGTCTGGTACAAGTAATACAGCCGATCCGACGCTTCCTCGAGCGCGCGTTGCGTGTAGTTGATCGCCGCTCTGTAGTGCGTCCCGAGCAGCATCCACCGCAGCGCGGTCGCGTCGTACTTCGCCGTGACCTCGCGGATCGTGAAGAAGTTCCCCAAGGACTTGGACATCTTCTCCGAGTCGACTTTCACGAACCCGTTGTGGACCCAGTATTTCACGAACGGCGGCGCGTCCTTCGCGTCCTTCGCGTCGTCGCAGCAGCCGCAAAACGCGGTCGACTGCGCGAGCTCGTTCTCGTGGTGCGGGAACACCAGATCCTGCCCGCCGCCGTGAATGTCGATCGACTTCCCCCCGAACGTCGCGTCGATCATCGCGCTGCACTCGATGTGCCACCCGGGACGCCCCTCTCCCCACGGACTCGCCCACGACGGCTCGCCTGGCTTGGACGCCTTCCACAGCGCGAAATCCGCGGGGTTCTTCTTCCTCTCGTCGATCGCGACGCGCTCGCCCGCGCGATTATCCTCCAGCTTTCTCCCGCTCAGCTTACCGTACGTTGGAAGCGAGTCCACGCTGAAGTACACGTCCCCTCCCTCCGCGGGGTACGCGTGTCCCTTCTCGACGAGAGCCTCCGTAACCCGCAGGATGTCGTCCACGTGCCGCGTCGCCCTCGGTTCCATCGTCGGCGGCAGGCACCCCAACGAGCTCATGTCCTCGTGGAACGCGGCGATGAACCGCTCCACGAGCGCGTCGCATTCCTCGCCGTTCTCGTTCGCGCGCTTGATGATCTTATCGTCCACGTCGGTGAAATTACGGACGTACGTCACGTCGTACCCGAGCCGCGTCAGAGTGCGGTATAACACGTCGAACGCGACGTAGACGCGCGCGTGGCCGATGTGCGAGTAGTCGTACACGGTCACGCCGCAGACGTACATGCTGACTTTTTTGTCGTCCGGGTCGTTCGGCGCGAACGGCTCCTTCTTCCGCGTCATCGTGTTGTGAAGCGTCAGACGTCTCGCAGGGGACGACGACGACGACGCCGGCGCCTCGGCCTCCGCCGCCGCCGCCGCCGCGGCCGCGGCGGCGGAGGACGTGGACGGCGACGTGAACCGTCGTGTCGTCGTCGCGCGGCCGGCGAGCTTGATGGGTCTGCGAGCGTCGCGAGGAAGGAAGGAAGGTGGGTCATCAGAATCAGATGTTGGGTTTTGGCGTCGCTAGGGTTGTGGCGGTCGAGATGGGATGGGATGGACTCGCGCGACGACGGACGCGACCGCGCGCCGGCGCACCTCCTGCTCGTCGTGTCCTGCGATCCGTCCGACGCCGCGGCCGCGATCGCGACGTCGCGGTGCGCGTGATGCGCGCTCGCGCCGACGCCGCGCGGTCGCGGCGACGTCGCCGCTCCCGGGACGACGACCGCCCCGCGCGTCGTCGTCGTCGTCGCGTGTGCGTGATGCCGCTGGTGATGATAGCATCGCGCGCGCGCGGACGCCGCCGCGGACGCCGGTCGCGCGCGCGCGACGCGCGCCATCGTGCGCATCCCGCGCGCGCCGGACGCGAGCACGGACCCGCAGAAGGTCATCGCTCGCGACGCGCGGTGGTCGGCGCTGCCGTGCTCCGCGCCGGTCGCTCTGGCGACGCTGTGGAGCGAAGAAACGGCGCTGAGGCGCGCTGCGCCGATCGCCCGCTTCGTTCGCGCCGACATTATAGATTTGCACGTCGTCGATTCGCGCCGCCGCCGCCGCACTCTTCGCGAGCGCGTTGCCACACGCGTCGCCGTTCCCTTCTCTTCGATGTCGAAGAAGAAGAAAGGCCCCGGCGGCGGCGGCGGCAAGGCCAAGTCCAAGCACCGGTTCTCGTTCGCGAAGGGCCCCGGAGGGAAGGATGGCGCGGGCGCTGCCAGGGACAAGCCGTCCGCGTTCGAGACGCGAAGCAACGCGCCTCGAAAGTTCGACATCATGGGTCGCGTGTACAAGGGCGAGAAGCACAACATCATCGCCGCGCGCGCCGCGGGGAACACGAAGCGGAAGAACACGCTGCTGAAGGAGTACCGCGCGTCGAACAAGGCGAACGCGTTCGTCGACCGGCGCTTCGGCGAGGGCGACGCGACGCTGACGCCGGAGGAGCGTCAGATCGGACGACTCACGCGCACGCGACTCCGGCAGCTCGGGACGGGACGCGGCGGGAAGAAGTCGTTCGCGCTGGGAGACGACGACGACGGGAACGCCTGGATGAACGACGGCGACGGCGGCGACGACGCGGATGGGGGGACGACGCTCACGCACGGCGGCGTCGCGATCGACGAGGCGACGGAGAAGCGACGATCGGAGCATCATCTCGCGCGGCGGGCGACGACGACGCGGCGGAGCGCCCGCGACGGCTTCGGGGGGTCCGACAGCGACGACGATTTCGGCGGCGGCATGGACCGCGCCATCACCGGGGCTCTGCACTTCGGCGGCGGGGAGGGGAACGGGGACGACGACGACGGCGGGTTCGAGCCGTCGCTGAAGCGCGGCGACCACGGCGTGGACGGCGACGACGACGGCGGCGAGAGGCGAAAGACGAAAGCCGAGGTCATGACGGAGCTGATCGAGAAGTCGAAGTATCACAAGGCGCTCAAGACGCGTCAGAGGGAGGCGGACGAGGACTTGCTGGATAAGCTCGACGGCACGTTCGCGGCGCTCAGCGGCGATGGCGCGTTTCGAGCCGTCCTGAGCAAGGGCGTCGGGCACTTAAAGCCCGACGGGTGGACGCGCGACGGAAATCGACGCGACAAAAAAAACCAAAAGGGAGAAACAAACGCCGCCGCGCCGTCCGGGATCGACCTGGACGCGAAGGCGAAAGAAGCCGGCGAGGTCGTGAAGGACGACTACGATAAGATCACGCGCGCGCTCGCGCTCGAGGCGCGAGGGCGAGCCGCGGACAGGACGCGCACGCAGGAGGAAATCGACGCGGCGGAGGCTGCGAAGCTCGAGGAGGCTGAGCGGGGACGATTGAAACGGCAACGCGCGGGGGACAGCGACGACGATGTTGCGCTGTCGGACGGCGACGACGACGGGATGCGTGCAGGGGGCGGGTACGCCGCGAGACGCGCGAAGAGCAAGGGGAGTCGCGCGAAGGACGACGACGGGGACGACGGCGCGAAGAAGGAGAAGAAGAAGGCGAGGAAGGATGGAAGAATCGGCGGGGACGATCTCGGCGACGATTTCGCCGTCGGGTCGGACGGCGACGACGACGACGACGGAAAGGGCGGCGGCGGCGCGTTCTTCGGCGGCGACCCGCTCGCGTACGGATCCTCCTCCGAGGAGGAGGGCGACGTGGAAGGGCTCGACGCGAAGGAGGCGGAGAGACGAGCGATGACGAAGAGCCTCAAGAGGGAAGTCGGATCGATCAAAGACTTGGAGAGAGGGAAGAAACGCCTGAGGAAGTTGGGGCTCCTGGACGACGGCGGCGACGCCGGCGAAGATGAAGAGGACGATGGCGACGACGACGACGGCGATGATGACGACGACCAAGAGGACGACGACGACGACGACGACGACGAGGAGGAGGAGGAGGAGGATGAGGAGGAGGAGGAGGAGGAGGACGAAGAAAAAAAAGTGGCCGACGACGTCGACGACAAATCGGACATCGTCTCCATCCCCGATAACTCCGACACGTCCATCTCCGTGACGCCCTCGGACGAAGACGCGGGCGGCGCGGAGTCCGACTCCGACCCCGCGGCGCGGTCGAAGAAGACGGAGACGGCGTCGTCGCCGCCGAGACCGACATCGACATCGACGGAGCTCCCGTTCACGTTCCCGATGCCGGAGACCCCGGAGCAACTGAACGACATCGTCGGCGCGTTGAGCCCCGCGGACACCGCGTTGGCGTTGGAACGCATCCGGAAGTGCCACGCGCCGACGCTCAAGGAGGACAACCGGAAGAAAACGCAGACGTTTTTAGGGTTACTCCTGCAACGGTTCGAAGTCCTCGCCGGGGAGTCGCCTCTGCCGGCGGTGTACCTGGATATCCTCGCGGCGAACGTCGCCGCGGTGGCCGCGTCGGTGCCGTTTTTCGCGGCGACGGCGGCGCGCGCGCGGTTGGAAAAAATGTCCGCGCGTCTGCGCGCGGCGCTTCGCGACGACGAGACCGGCTGGCCGCCCGCGCGGACGATCCTCCTCCTCGCGCTCTTCGCGGAAGTGTTCCCGACCACGGACAAACAACATCCGGTGTGCACGCCCGCGGCTCTGTACATCGGGAACGTCCTCGCGCACTGCGCGATTCGCGGCGCGAGAGAGGCGGCGCTCGCCGTCGTGTTCAGCGCGTTGGCGGCGGCGTACAGGTGCGTTCTATCTCACACTGGTTCCCATACGACCCCGTCGCCGTGGTGAACGCCGATCCTTAAGGGCTTTTGCGGGCGCATCTCTCCGCCCATCCCTCGCTTTCAATCCCCGCCCTCGACGCCTTTCAACTCCATCTGACGCCTTTCAACTCCACCCCGACATCGCTTTGTACAGCGCTCCCGCCGGGCGCGTGTTCCCCGAGGCCGTGTCGCTGCTGTCCGCGGTCGTGCACGCCGCGGGCGCGGCGGGCACGAAGAGCGGGAAGTGGGACGCGGGTTTGCCGAGCCACCTGAGGGAGCAAGTCGGCGGGCCGTGGCTCGCGCCGAGCCTTCCGGGCGGCGGCGGCGGCGGCGATGCGACGTCGAAGAAGAAGAAGAAGAAGAAGAAGAACGACGCGGACGCGGACGCGGACGCGGACGCGGACGCCCCGACCACCGGCGTCCTCGCCTCCCTCGCGTCGATTCTCTCCGCCGCGCCCGCGAACGCGCCGAGCGATTGGCTCCCGAACGGCGACGACGACAAGCACGCCGTGTTACTCGCCGCGGTGAAAACGCTCCGGACGCTGTGCGCGCCGGCGACGAAGACGCCGTCGGCGCGGGAGTTCTTGGCCCCGACCGTCGTCGCGATCGAGCGCCTCGGCGCGACGCTTCGCGGTGTCACCGTGGAAGAGAACGACGCGAACACCAAGTCGAAAACGCCACCGCCGCCGCCGTTACTGCTGACGGGCGCGCTGAAACGCGCCGCGGAGGCGTGCGTCGCGCTCGAGGCGGACGTCGCGCCCGCGTTCGCGTCGTCGGCCAAACGCCCGCCGCTGACGTGGCGTCTCAAGAAGGTCGAAGCGATCAAGGTGTACAACCCGATGTACGAGATCGAGGGGTACCAGAAAGGGCGGGACTACGACCCGAACCGCGAGAGGGCGGAGGCGAAGAAGCTGCGGCGGCAGCTCAAGAAGGAGGCGCGCGGCGCCGTGCGCGAGCTCCGGAAGGACAACCGGTTCCTCGCGGAGGAGCGGCACAAGGAGAGCAGCGCGGCGGCGGACGAGCGCGGGGAGAGACAGAGGGACACGCTCGCGTTCTTGGAGAAGCTCGAGGGCGACCTCAAGAGCGGCGGGCAGGGTGGGATGATCGTGAAGACGCAGCGGAGGGTCAACGGCGGCGGCGGCGGGCGCGGGAAGAAAGCCGGCGGCAGAGGGGGCGGCGGCGGGGGGAAACGATAGGACAGCTTTTTGGACGACGAACGAACGCGATCGACGACGACAACCGCTCGAGCGCTCGCGCCCTTCAATCAAATCAACGCGCACATCAGACAACCAAACAACCTCGATCGTCACGACGTGACTCTTCTTCTTCTTCTTCTTCCCGCCCCGCGGCGGCAGGGGCACTCTCTGCGTACCACTGCTCCGCCGCGTCTCGCCCCCCAACCTCCTCACGTTTGTTTTTACACTCGAAAACAAAACGCGCACGCGTGGCCTCCTCGTCGCGCGTTCGCTCTCGAACGCGCACACGATTCGCCCTCTCCTCCTCTCCGCCTCACCTCCTCTCTCTCTCACCTCTTCGCCTCGCCTCCTCTCTTCTCTCTTCCTCGTCCGCCGCGTTTGATCATCGCTTGATGTTGTTCAGATACCGCAAGCACACGAGGGAAAAAATCTGAAAGAGCACCATTTCGAACAACAGCACAAAAAACGCCGCGACCGTGTGCGTGTCGCTGTAGTCGTAGTCGTACAGCTCCACGAGCGTCGGGTTCTCGGGGTATATCCCCGTGATGATCTGCTCGATCGCCCACGCCATGGGGGAGACGTACAGCGCCCATATCATGAAAATCGGCACCGTCGCCCGCGACACGAAAAAATTGTTGAAAAGAATGAACAACATGAGCCCCGGCATCGCGACTTGGAACGCCTGCGACGGCGTCGGCGCGACCGCGGCGACGACTTTAAAGTAGTTCGTCATCACCATCAGAGACATGAAGCTCCAAAAGTACAGCGTCCCGAACATCGACCACGACAGCCCGGACAGCGAGTACATGATGACGACGGTGACGAAGTTCCCGAGCACGGTGAGCGCGAACTGCACGACGGAGTCCACGAGCACCGCGGCGGACGTCTCGTACATCGCGTCGGAGGTTTCAAACTTAAACACCATCCTCTGCGCGATCATCTCCGGCATGACGATCATGTTCGCGACCGCGCCCATCTGCAGCATCATGAACAGGAACGACACTTGCTGCGCGGGGAGCTTATTGCCGATGTCCAGAAACGCGACGCCGATGACGAGCCCCTGAAGAATCGACATCATCACCCGCAGACGCAAGTGGCTCTTGTCTCGCGCGGTGAGCGTCAACCGACGCATCATGAGCGTCGACACTTGCGTCTGAAACGGCACAGAACACGGCGTGTCTCTCACCTTGTGCGTCTTGAACAGCTTCCCTCTGATCGCCGCGACGTCGTGCAGAATCTCCAACGCGCTCTTCCCCCCCGCTGCGATCATGTCGCCGACGTCGCGTTCCACGACGGGCGCCTGCCTCTCCAGATACGCCTTCGCGAACGTCTCGGACTTGGACCCGGGGACGTCCGGGGTGATGACGTCCATGAAATAATCCGTCGCGTTCCCGCCCTTCGGCGGCGCGCACCCGAGATCGGAGAAGTACTTGTTCGCGTCCGCGAACGCGCCGTTGTACACCACCCTCCCGGGATTACTCGTGATCAGCGTGAGGTGGTCGAACAACGCGGCGACTTCCATTCGCGGCTGGTGGATGACGACCACGAACGTCGTCCCTTGCGTCCTCGACGCCGCGGCGACGGATCGGATGCACAGCTCCGCGTCCGTGGCGGAGAGACCGGAGGTGGGCTCGTCCGCGAAGACGACTTGCGATCCGCCGACGAAGCCGCGCGCGAGCGTGACGCGCCTCTTTTGGCCGCTGCTGATGCCGCGCGTGCGCTCGTCGCCGATGAGCTGGTTCTTCACGCTCAGCAGGCCGAAAAAGTTTAAGATCTCCTCCACGAGCAACTTACGACACTCCGGGCTCATGTCCACGGCGTCGACGCGCAGCCGGTGGTTAAACTCGACAGCTTCCGACACGGTCCAGTACGCCGGAACGATCTCGTTATGCGGGACGTAGGACGTGACCCTCGAGTAGAGATGATCGCGCTTCGTGCCGTTGAGGAAGACCTCGCCGGAGTACTTCGTCGTCTTCTTCCCGGCGAGCATGTCCAGCAGCGTCGTCTTCCCGCACCCGCTCGGGCCCTGAATTAATTAATCGTTCGAGGAAGGGAACGGCGGGGAGGGGGGTCAGATTGGACACGTGCTCGTGCTGTGGTCGGACGACGCGAAAGCAAAAAGCATGATTCATTCTCGACGACGAGCGGTCGAGCGAGGGCGCACCATGATCGCGACCATGCTGCCGGCCTTGTACGCGCCGCTCGAGGGCGCGAGTATGAGCTTCTCCCCGAGCTCTTTCGACCTGATCGAGAACGACAAGTCTCGGAACCCCAAGGAGCTCTGCCCGCACGCGGTGAGAGGATCGCGTGGGAGCTGCGTCACGTCTCGGGTCAAAACATCGCGCGCGTTCGCGACCCGTCTCTTGATGATCCGCGTCCTCTCCTCCTCCGCGGTCGAGGCAGAAGGTGCGCCGTCCACCTCGATCGCGACCGCGTCGGCGGCCGTCATACCGCGTCGACGAACCCTCCGTTCGTGCTCCCGCGCCGCCGTAATCTGCAGTTACAATTCCTCGTTTTGTCGTACGTAGGGTTGTACGTAGGGTGAAACCCGTGGCGCGGTTTCGGCGCGGGTGCCGTGGGCTCACGTTGACCGACTGACCGACCGCGTTTTAACGGACGCCGCCACCGCCACCTTCGATGATTTATTTCCCACAGCAGTTCCGTCACTCTCGCGCGAGCGTCGCCCACGCGCGTCGCGATGTTCACCCTGAGCGCGTCCTCCCTCTCCTTTCGCGCGGCGCCGCCGTCCACGGCCGCGCCGTCGTCGTCCCGCCGTGTCACCGCGACGTGCGCGCGCGCGGGTTCGAAGCGAGGAGAAGATAAGATGACCGACGTGGACGCGATGGCTCCCTCCCGGCGCGGCGTCGCCTCCGCGCTCGCAATGGGCGTCCTGTCGTTCGCGGCATCGCGCGCGGAGCCCGCGCTCGCGTTCGGGAGCGGCATCCCCGGCTACGACATCAACGAGAAAGCGCGCTCCGCGATCCGAGACGCGAACAACAAGGAGCTGGACGAGCAAAAGCGCATCGCGCGCGAGTTTCGCGAGGCCAAGGCGAGGGAGCGAGAGGCGGCGGCGGCGGCGGCGGCGGCGGCGTCGTCCGCGCCCGCGACGGAGGCGGGGGAAGCGCAGTGAGAAGAAAGAGAAGAGGAAGAGGAGCGCAGTGATAGGGTGGCGGTCGCGTCGCTATTAAATGACAGATCGCATCGCAGCCGTCGTCGTCGCGTCGAAGGTTCTCCGTCAGAACGGGACGACGCGTCGCGCCACGTCCACGAGCAGCGACGGCAACAGCGCCGGCATCGCGGGCAACGCGATCTCACCCCCCCGAGGATCCTTTCTCCGCACCCACCGCACGATGTCCTCTAGAAGCACGTCGTGCCCGCCGCTTATCGGGTCCGTCACGAACGGATCCGTGTGCGTCTTCCCGTCGTAGTACCGCTCCGTGACGTCCTGAGGGTCGTTCCATACGAGCGAACGTCGGGGTGGAGTCGAAAGGCGTCAGAAGCGGAGTTGAAAGGCGCCGAGGGCGGGGATTGAAAGCGGGGGACCCTGGGCGGAGAGAGACGCCCGCAAAAGTCCTTAAGGAACGGCGTTCACCACGCGAACGCGGTCGTATGGGAACCAGTGTAAGATAGAACGCGCCTGAGATCCCGCGGCGCGCAACGCCTCCGCGAAGCGCGCGCTCTCGCTCGGCGGCGCGGAGCCGTCCGCGTTTCCGTGGCACAGCAGCACCGCGGGGAGCGACGACGCCACGCCGGGAATGTCGCGCAGCATCGCGCAAGGGGACGCGCGCGGGAGCGCCTCCTCCGCGCGCGCGCCGCTGTACCCCGCCTCCATGATGCTCCAGAAGACCTCCTTGTGTAACCCCTTGCGGTTGAAGTGCTCCGCGAGCGCGCGGTCGTCCGGCGCGTACACGCCGCTGATGCCCACGAACCCGGCGAGGTCTCTCGGGGACCACCGCGCGACCGCGGTGCCGTAGTCGATGACGCTCCCGCCGAGGCTGGTCTCGTACTCCGCCTGTCGAAGGATCGCGGACGAGGCTAAGTGGGCGCCCGCGCTCTGTCCGACGACGAAAATTTTCTTCGCGTCGCCGCCAAATGATCGCGCGCGCTTCGCGACCCACCCGATCCCGTTCGAGACGTCCTGGGTCATGTCCCCGACCGTGCCCTGCGGGAAGTTTCTGTAGTCTAAACTCGCGACGATGAAACCTTGTTTCATCAGCGTCAGCGACAGCAGCGCGCCCCAGGCTTTGTATCCTATGATCCACATCCCGCCGGTGACGAAGACGATCACCGGTCTCCCGCCGGATTCGTCCCCGGCGTTGTTGGCGTCCCCGCCCGCCGTCCCCGGGGACGTCCCCGATTTGTCGTCGACCGCCGACGCGTCGTAGTGGCACCCCTCCGGGAGGTACAGATCGAGCCGGTTCCTCGGGGAGCTGCCGTACAGGATGTCCCTCTTGACCCTTCTCGAGGTGTAGTACGTCCACGCGATGCGGAAGAACGCGGGGGACAAGACCGCGGCGAAGGCGACCAGCCCGCAGAACTTTATCAGCCACCCGACGCGCACGTACGCGATCAGACGCAGCGTCAACCACAGCGGGACGATCACGTTGCGGACGATGAATCGCAGCGTCGCTTTCGCGAACGCCGGGAGACGGATCCGTCGCGACGGCATGACGTGGCGCGATTCGATTATTCGGTCGAGCGGCGGTGCCGTCCCGGCGCCGAGGGGTCAGATCCCGCGCGCGCGACGCCGCGGGGGTGGAACGCGCGCGCCTCGGGCCTCACGAGCGCGCGCGGCGAGCGCTTCCTGACGCGCGATGCGACGTGCCCGCGCGCGGAGAAGTGCGCGAGGCGACGCGCGCGAGGCGACGAACGCAGAGGCCGCGGGTCATTATTTCGGTGGCTCGGCCTCGGACGAGAACGATCCAACGAGGAGTCGAGCGCAGGAAGGAATTCGATTCCTTTACTTCGAGGAGGTCGCCTTATAAGCCACCCTCTTCTCTAATAACGAGCGCGAATTCCCACTACAGTACACCCCCACCCCGCGATCCCTCCCTCGCCGTCACAACAGCTGCACCGCCGCGATCGACGGCATCTTCTCCCGGAGCTTCTGCGTCACCGCGACGCGAACCGTCATCACGCTCGCGGCGGGACCGCTCAGTTTTATCTTCACGATCGGCTCCTCGATGTCCACGAGCTCTAACTCGCCCCCGCCCGTGCCCTTCAGATACGGCCTGATCTCGTCCAACGTCGCCTCGACGTTCGCTTCGTTCAACTCCAACCCGACCTCTTCTTCGGTGACTTGCTCCACCTCCATGATCTCCGGGATGACCTCGAGTAAACGGCGTTCGATCCCCATGCGCATCGTGACCGTCGACGACGGGCACGACCCGCACGCGCCGTTCAGCTTGAGGCGGACGACGAGGCCGTCGATCTCGACGAGCTCGACGTCGCCGCCGTCCGCGATGAGGTACGGGCGGACTTCGTCTAGGACTTTCTCCACGTTCTCCGCGGTGAGCTCGAGCTTTTCGGTCGTGGACGACGTAGAAGAGGGGCTGTCCGTCGCGTGCCTCGGCGCGAAGCGCGGCCGGGGCCCCGACGCGGGGACGCGCGCCGGGGCGAATCGGGGCCCCGGGGCGGCGGAGGCGGCGAGCGCTGCTGACGTCGAGCCGCGATGCGCGGCGGTCGCGGTCGCGACGCGCGCGAACGCGGTCGCCATGACGTTCGGGGGGTCTCGACGCGGGCGGGCGGCGCGCGCTCGAGGGAGTGCGCGCGTCGAGGGAGCGCGCGCGCGGGTCGTCGCGTCTCGAGCGAGAGCGAAGGGCACGTGGCCGCACGTCTCGCGTGATCCCTCCAATCACGCGTTTGCGTCTCGGTGAAAAGTTCGAGAAAAAGCCACGACGACGGACGCACAAAACGACGCGCGCGCTCTCCCTCCCCTCTGGAGCCCTCTCCCCTCTCCGCGAACGATGACCTCCGAGACGCACTCCGTGGGGATGCCCCCCGAGCTCGACCCGCACGACACGGCGCCGCCGCCGCTGCCGCCCTGGCTCAAGGGGTTCTTGGTCACGAGCAAGAACGCGGCGGACGTGAAGCGCGCGGGCGAGGAGGTCGCCAAGCTCTGCTCGGACTTTTGGTTCAAAGCCGCGTACGACGAGCAAGTCCCCGCGTCGATGGTCGGGCAGCCGGGCGTGACCGCGGTCCCGTTTGACACCGCGGAGTCCCTGCACGTCCCCGGGTGCAAAGGCACCGTGTTCGTCGCGCTCCGACCGGACAACACGACCGTGGACGTGCGGTTGCTCGCGAAGGGGCTCATAGAAGAGAGCGACGCCGTCGGCGGCCCGGACGCGAAAGGCGAGGCGTGGACGAAGACCGCGCACACGCGGCGGATAATTCCGATCGAGAGGATCGCCCCGGAGACGGACTTCGACGAGCTCGCGGAGAAGGTGATCTCATGGCACTTCCCGGAGCTTCCGCCGGAGAAGCGTAAGGACCCGCTGACGACGTTTAGGGTTCACTTCGAAGAGCACTCGCCCGCGTTGCACTTGAAGAAGCTCGAAATCGCGAAGAAGATCGCGGACTTGGTGCCTGAGGACTCGTACAAGGTGGACCTTAAGCACGCGGACCTCGTGATCCTGTGCGTCGTCGCCGGCGGCTGCGCGATGATGTCCGTCGTCGAGGGCTACGACGACCGGATGCACCACTTCACGATCCATCCGGAGAAGCAGCCCGCGTCGCCTCCGGCGGCGTAAGTAACGTACGACACGCTTACGTTACAACCTGAGACTACGTCTACAAACGCACGCACGAAAGAATAATGCACGAACGAACGAAAGAACGAACGAACGAACGAAGAAGAAGAATCACGCGAGACCCGTCTTCGCGCCGCCGCCGCCGCCGCCGCCGGTGACGCGCGATATCAAAAACTGCACCCCGGCCTGTACGAGCCCGGACATCGACGCGACGCCGCCGACGATCGCGCAGACGCTCGTGATGAACTCCGTCATGCTGTTGCGACTCTCCACGTAATCAACCTGAGAGCGGCGGTGGGAAGGTCAGAGGAGGATAGATAGAACCGCGCGTCGACGACGAAACATGTTGAAAAAAAAACTAAAAAAACAAAACGAAACGACGCGCACCCGCAGCGGACTCAAGTCGTAGTTGAAATACACCCCGCTCGGCTTCGACCCGACGACGTTCAGCGCCTTCGCCGGCGCGCTCGCCTCCGTGACGCTGTACTGATTCGACTGCAGATACTCCCCGCGCAGAGGCGTGAACGACGTCGGGACGATCTTCAGAAAGTACTGGTGCACGTAGTTCGGGTCCAAGTCCCTCGCGTTCCCGTCCAACGGCGACACGAACCCGGGGAAACTCTTCCCGAACGCGAACCTGTTGATCGTGTGCGACATGTTCAGCCTCGACTGCACGTTCAGCTGCACGTGCTCCATCCCCAACCGGATGCTCTTCCCCGGAGAGACGCTGAAAGACCCGGGGACGCGGTTGACCTCGAGGTACCCGATCACCTCGCACCCTTCCCTCGCCTCGTTCTTGAACGCCTTCTCGATCCCGCCCGGGAACTGCTTGTCCAGCAGCTGCTTCAGGTTGAACATCGTCAGACCTTCCTCCGGCATCAGATCCTCCTCGGAGGTTTTATACTCCTCGTCCCCGGAGAGCGCGAGCGCGTGACTTTCGATGTCCTCGCGGATCTCCTTATGCGCGTTCGCCTTCTCGTGCTTGAACACTCCCTCGAGCGGCTTCCCGTCGGAGTCGAGCCTGCGCTTCTTCAGGTGCCCGCTGTGGACGTCGTGGAACGCCTCCCCGGCCTGATCCATCGTGTCCATGTTGATTATGTCGCACGGGAGCTGATGGAACGTGATGTCAATCTCGACGTGCAGCCGGTTGCTGTTCGCGCTCGTCTTCGCGTCCAAGCCGGTCGCGTCCACGGTCAGCGAGCTCTTCACGACGGGCGTGCGATGGTAGAAGTACTCGTTCACGAACAGGACGAAGCACAGGAGCGCGCATGCGCACGTGATGATCCCGCCGGACATGGACGAGCTCTGTCGAAAGTCCTCGATGACTTTGCTGCTGCTGTACACGTCCATTCGTCGCAGCGTCTTCGCGACTCTCGATCGCTCCCCGCCGGAGTGGTCGCTCGGCGCGGCGGCGACGTTGCGTCTCCGCATGGTGAGTGACCGCGGGGGTTGAGGGCTCGCGCGCGGCCGGCGCGCGGGTCGGTCTGGTCGCGCGAGCGCGCGCGCGATCGTCGACGACGACGACGGACGGGAATCGAAACTTTCTCTTCGTTCGACCAGTGCAGACGCGCGCTCGACGAAACGGCGCGAACGGGGGGGGATCCGCCCCTCGCCGCTCACAACGCGCCGCCGCCGCCGCCTCCTCCTCCTCCGGGCGGTCGCGCGCGGGTTTTTTCTTCTTCGCCCGCGCTCACGCGCGCGCCATCGTTCGCGCTCGCCGTCGCGCCGCGCTCGGGGGTCGACGCGTCCGCGACGGGTGGCGGGGGAGAGACGCGAACGGAACGTCGGACGTCAAATCTCAACAGATCATGAGCCGCTCCGCGGTGGAGCTGCGCGCGTTCGCGCTCGTCTCGAGCGCGTGGGGATGGGTCGAGGAGAACGGGTGGTACGTCCTCGGGACGGTCATCGCGTGCGCCATGGCGTGGGGGCGCTTGAGAGGAGCGCTCGGGAGTGCGCGCGCGCGCCTCCGGAGCGGCGGCGAGATGCCGAGCGCGTCGTCGTACCAAGAGCGACAGCGTCTCGCGCGTCGGCGACAAGAGGAAGCGACGCGAGCCGCCGCGGAGGCGCATCACGCGCGCGAGCGCGAGAAGCGGCTGCGACTCGCGGAAGAACGACGCGCGGCCGCGCTCGGCGGCGGAGGCGGGATGCGCGCGGGAGGACGACGGTTAGGGAGCGGCGCCGCGGACGACGACGGGGCGTCGTCCGCTTCCGCGTCCAAGCCGAAGCCGAAAGCGAGCGGCGACGACGATCCTTTCAAGCGTCTGAGGGACCGTAACCCGCTCGCGGGGGATCCCTCGGGCGGGGGATTCACCTCTTCGCGTCGGCGGCCGCCGGGCGGCGGATGAGGACGGTAGGCGCGACTTCGACGTACACTCGAAGCGCGCGACGTCTCCGCGCCACGCGAAAATCTTAGGAATAGCTCCTTAGCCGCGGCGGCTCGCGCTCGCTCGGTGACGCCGCGCTCTGAACGTCGAAACACGTCGACGGGAGCGCGGCCGATGAAGCGAGACCGCGAGCGCGCCGCAACACGTTGTTTGCACGCATCACGACGCCACGTCAATCATCCTATCCTATGCTCCCAGTATTATAAATAGACCTAGCTGACTATCTACGCGCCCTCGCGCGAGCGCAGCCGATCGACGATGTAGTCCATCTTCATCCCGCGGCTGCCCTTGACGAGCACGCGCGCGTTCGGGCCGATAATCTGCGTGCCTTCGATGATGTCCCAAAGATCCTCCACGTCCTTCGCGATGACGACGCTCTGGACGTTTCGCTTCGGGAAGAAAACGCGCAGCGCCTCGACGAACTCCGGTCCCGCGAGGCCGATTTTGTCGAACCCGGCGTCTAAACACGCCTCGATGACGTCTTCGTGGTGCTGTTTCGACGCCTCGCCGAGCTCGAGCATGTCGCCGAGGAGCACGAACGTCTTGGTTTTCTTGACCTTCGGCGGCCTCGGTTTCGTGGGTTTCTTCATCTGCGGCTTCGGCTTCGACTTCGACTTGGCTTTGGCTTTGGCTTTCGACTTCGACTTGGCTTCGGACTCCGCCTTCGGCTCCTCCTTCTCCTGCTTCTCTTTCGCCTCGAATTTCTCCTCCTCTTCCTCGTACTCCTGGTCCTGATCCATCGCGTCCTTCATCACCCTCAACGCGGCGAGAACGCTCGCAGGGGAGGCGTTATACGCATCGTCTACGATCGTGAGCTTCGAACCCGGAGTCTCCACGACGCGCAGCCGCGCCGCGTCGTCCGATTCGAACGCCTCGACGCCCTTCGCGGCGTCTTCGAGACTGACGCCGGCGGCGACCGCGCACGCGCACGCGGCCGCGGCGTTCGACGCCATGTGCGCGCCGGGCGCGGGCAGCGACACCGCGACCTTCTCGTCGGATGCCGCAGCGCGCAGCGTGAACGACAAGCCCTTCAGCGCGCGAGAGACGACGTCGTCGTACGACACGTCCGGCGGTCGTCCTCCGCCGCCGCCGTCGCGCTCCGTTCCTCCCGCGGCGGCCGCCGCCGCCGCTCCGAACGTCACCACGCGGACCCCGTCCGGGATCGTCATCCCCGCGACGTGCTCGTCGTCCGCGTTCACGACGCACACGTCCCCTGCCGACGCGCCGTCGAACATCTCCGCCTTCGCCCTCGCGACGCCGCGTATATCTCCGCCGACGCCGCTCAGGTGCGCGGGCGCGACGCGCGTCACCAGACGCACCGTCGGCCGCGCGATCTTCGCGAGCGTCGAGATCTCCCCGAGGGCGCTCATCCCGAGCTCTAACACGCACGCGCGAACGTCCGGCGGCGTCTTCAACAACGTCAGCGGCAGCCCGACGTGGTTGTTGAAGTTCCCGGAGGTTTGATGCACGACGCCGAGCGACGCGAGCGCGCGCGCGGTCAGCGCGCGCGTCGTCGTCTTCCCAACCGACCCGGTCACGCCGACGACGACGACGTCCGGGGGGAACCGGTCGCGGACGTCCGACGCGAGCCGCTGCAGCGCGGTCGTGGGGTCGCACGCCGTCTGGACGTATCCCTTGCGCCACGAACCCGGCGGCGGACGCGAGGATATGACGCCGACGCACTCGGTGTTTTGCAGCTCGTCGTTCACGAACTCTTCGTGCGCGTCGCGCGTCTCGCCCACGAGCGCGAGGAACCACTTCCCGCCGGCGACGTCGCGCGTGTCCGTCGTCACGCTCCCGGCGGCGGCGTCGCGCACTAACGTCCCGCCCGTGGCGGACGCGATGTCGGACGCGGTGAAGACGACGCCGCCGCTCGCGTCCGTCGTCCACGGCGGCGTCGTCGCGTCGGCGGCGTCGTCGGTGCCGACGCCGTCGTCGTCGCGCCGCGATCGCGTCGCGTCGGCGTCCGTCGCGGCGCGTCGGACGTCGCGACGCGCGTGCGCGCGGTCCGGGGCTCCGAGACGCGCGGCGCGGGTTCGCACGAGGCGACGAAGCCACGACGCCGGCGCGGGGAGCGTCGAGCACCGCGCGGCCGCCATCGCAGCCCTGGGCGTGGCCGGTGCTTTCGAAAACTGACGACGACTGGGACGAGCAGAGAACGAAGCCGGCCGCGAGGTTCGAGCGCGAGCGCCCGGAAAAAAGTCGAGAAAATGCGCGATAAATCAAAGCTTTTTGGGTCATCACGAAAGGGGTGCCGGTCAACTTCGACCCTGACGATGGTATCAAGCTATGAAGTTCATCGGAGAGAATTGTCGATGATTTTCAGATTCTTTTCAGATGATTTTGGATTTTTGTGACGTGTCCACAAGTAACTTCGGGCCATTTCGGAGGCCGCGGGGGCCGCTTCAGAGATGAGGGAGACCTCGCGCTCGAGATGCGGGCGAGGTCCCCTCCTCGTCCTCGTCCTCGTCATCGCGCTGGGGTGCGTCACCGGCGCGGAAGCGCGAATCGGCAGCGTCTCGCAGACGCTGGCCGTCAGCGCGGCAGCATCGTACGAGCAGTTCACCGTGTTCGGTTTTAAGAAGGGCGGGACCGCAGAGTTCAAGGTCGCGTACGAGTCGCTGACGAACCCGAGCGGGTCGTCGAGCAAGCCCCAGCACGAGACGTGGATCGTCGGATGTAGTGGCTCCGCAGAGCTCGAGATTGAACGCATCTCGGCCGCGAAAGATTGCTTCGCGCAGACGCAAAACTCGAACAGCTGGATGAGAAACACGTGCGAGAACTTTCAAGTCGGGAACGTGTCCACGGACCCGAAGAACACGGTGGACACGATCATCACGTTGACGCAGCGAAAGCGTCTGCACTGGGGTATCTTGATGTGCGGGGACGGGAGTGCGACCGTGGACGTGGACTACATAATGAAGAACGGGAACGAGTATCTCGGGACGGATTACGACGTCCTGCCGAATTTTTACCTCGCGATGACCGTGATCTGGTCGGTGTTGCACTGGGCCCACGGGACGTACAACATGCTGTACCACTACTCGAAGATATCGAAACTGCACCAGATGTTCATGTCAGTGCCGGTCGTGAAGATCCTGTTCATGGTGGCGTGTTTCGTGAAGTGGGATTACATGTCTCGACGCGGGTACGAGTCGGATGATTTATACGCGGCGCACGCGGTGTTGAACACGCTGAACCAAGCGGCGACGTTCGGGGCGTTGTTGGTGATATCCAGAGGGTGGTGTTTAACCCGGCACTTGTTACGCAGAGGGGATTTACTCACGGTCGGAGTCGCGACGGGCGTGCTCGCGGCGTTGCACGCGGGGTATCGGTACTTTGCGGTGCCGAACCTCGCGTTTTTCGCGCTCGTGTTACATGACGTGCGTCGCGATGACGCTCGCGGGGACGACGCGGAACATGCGCGAGCTCAAGGCGCAGCTGCTCATGATGCGCCAGGCGGATATGAACCCCGCGCAGTCGCTGCAGCAGATGAAGTACATAATCTACAACCGGTTTCAGCTCAACATGTTTACGTTCGTGAGCGTGTCGATTCTGATGGAGATCATCCTGCTGTTCCTGCCGCAGTACCCGTACTTGAGCAACGTGTTCATCGAGCTCGTGGACTTGATATTTTGCGCGAGCGTCGCGTACGCGTTCCGGTTGCGAGACCCGAACCCGTTCAACACGCACGAGCCGGAGTTCGACGTCCTGCCGATCAACCCCGCGACTCTGGACGCCGGGAACCCGCGGCATCAAAATTTGATCCAACGCATGGGCGAGATGGGGATGCCGGTGACGATTCCCCTCGCGCGCATCTACGAGACCGAGGTTTTCGCGGCGAAGAAACCGGGCGACGCGGAGGCTGGCGGGGACGTAGATATTAAGAGGCACGACAACGACGGCACCGAGGAGATTCTTCTGCAAGGGAAGAAGGTCGTCGTCGTGGAGAATCCGCCGAAGCTGGGGAAGGGCGGGGACGTCACGGAGAACATCTCCCTGGGGAGTCGCGACGCGTGCGGTGAAATAGAGACCAGCGCGGTCGCGTTAGAAGTAGCAGACATCGAGGAGGAGGTGGTAGAAGAAGCGTCCGAGGACGCCCCAGAGATGGCCTCAGGCGGGGACATCGAGATGGGCGAGGCGACGAGCGAGCGAGCGGAGTGATTTAAATTCGTCAACTATTCCTTCTTTATTCCGTCGTGTTTGTTCGTCGTGCTAGGGCTATTCCTCGAACAAAGCGATCGATCATCAGTGCTTGCGCTCTAGCACGATCACGAGCGCGGCGAGCAGTATCGCGACCAGGACGGACATGTACACCAGGAGCTTGCAGTTCTCCGCCTTCGAGAACACGCGCTTCGCGATTCTCAACGCGCGTCGCAGCGCGCTTCCCGTCCGAGACACGTCCTCGTCTAATTCGTCCAGCAGCCTCGATTGGAGATCGATCTCCTCGCCCACGGCCAGACCGATGTGCTTCGTGCTCGTGACGATCCTCGACAGGTCGTCCAAATCGTCGTCCTGCTCCCGCATCGTGTTCCGTTGCAGCTGAAGGAGGCTGTCGTCGTCGAGCCCAGCCGTGCGCGCCGTCTCCGGCGTCCTCGACCGCTCGCCTCGCTCCATCCTGCTCGCGTCGTCCCGTGTGGTCGCCGCCGCGGCGACGGCGACGACCTCGCCGCCGCCGGAGGGGTTCTCGCCGAGTAAACTCACGACCTCCTCGCCTCGGACGCGCAGACCGCGCATCAAGTCCCTCCTTCGCGTCGTCTCCTTCTCGTTGATTCGCGTCTCGGTGAGCAAATTCTCCAGCTTGTCGAGTTTACCATCGAGCGCTCTCGCCTTCGCGTTCACCGCCTCCGTCAGCTTGGAGACGTTCTTGCCTTCCATGAGGCCATCCTCGCGCTCGTACACGATCTCGAACGCTTCGTTTAAGATCTGCTCCGCCTCGTCGAACTCTTTCAGCCACGCGTCGTCCTTCAAGAACTTCGGGAGACTCATCTCCGTTCGCGGGATCTGAGCTCGACGCGCGCGCGCGCGCGGGTTCGTCGATCTTTCCGCGCGCGCGACCCTAGGTTAACACGAGCGGGCTCGAGCCGCTTCTTCGAGGCGGTTCCGGCGCGGTATCGATCTCGTCACCACCCCTACGAGCGTGCCCCGCGAGCGATCGAGTGCGCTGTAAACGGCGCTGAAGCGACGTCTCGCGGAATGTCCCAGACAGACCAGACCGGTCACGCGAAAAAGAATTCTCGAAAAAAGAATATTTTCTCGACAGATATTCGACACTATGGCCTACGCGGAGCCTTCCCTTCGCTTTCCTCACTTCCTCAACGGTGGCGGCAACCCAAACGGGGGCGTTACGCACGTCGACGGATACACGATCCCTTGCCTGTTCCCGTTATCGAACCACACGCTCGCGCTCAGCACGTTTCCTTTCCACGGCAGAAAGAGCTGCGTCGGGTTTCTCCCGACAAGCACGGGGTCCGACGGATACGTTGCGAATTGCCCAGCCGCCGGCAGCGACCAATCCTTTTGAATGTACAAGTTCGCGTCCGCGACCAGAAGAACATCCTCCTCGCCGCTCGAGTTCGTCCCGCTGGTACCACCCGTCGCGGCGAGTACCTCCTCCGCGGTCGGGTACGTCGTCGCCGTCGGCACGCCGCCGCGTGAGTGCAGGGCGTGACCCAACGTCACGCTCTCGAAGAGGTTATCGCTCACGTTCGCGAACGGCTGGAACACGTACTGTCCGATGTCGAACGGGTCCGCAATCCCTCGGAGCTTATCGTTTATGTAAATTTTCGTGCAGTTGCACAGCCCTGCGGTGACCGGAACCGTGAGCAACGTCGATGCGTCGAGACGTGAAAAAACAAGCATACAAACAAAACGCACCGTCGTAAGAGGCTAGGACCTTGAAAACCTGCCCGTCGTGGACTTTGAACCCTTTGGCTGGGACGGACAAGTCCACGGTGCGCATCCCACCTCCGATGAAGATCGGAAGAAGCGAGAACGACTCGATGAACGTCTGGAAACCGAAGCGAACCTCTCCCGCGTCGGTCACCCATATCGAAAGTGCTCCACCGCAGTGGTGCTCGTTTTGAAAGGGCGCGCAACCACCGATGGTTAAAACATTTTGAGCGTAAATGCCCGTACACGGGATACACCACTGCGTACGTTGTCGTGCGTCAGTCGCTGAAAGGAAAAATCGATCGAGAGAAAAACAAAATTATCGATCAAAACTCACCCAGAAGGAACTCGGCGAACACCAGGGATCGCACAGCGGAAGGACAGATTTATACTGAACCGTGGCTTCGACTGATAATCTGAAACCAGCTCTTCCGTACAGTCCTGGAATTTCATAAGTGCAAGGAAGCCTCTCGCAAAACGAGAACGCGAGCGCCCTCGGGACGATGTCGTTAATAGGTTGCCCGGAAATATCAATCCGCGTCGTCACGAGGCTCGAGAACGCGAAACCTTGATAGAATTCAAAGTCCCCAGCGCGGCAGAACGCGTTTGGATTCGGCACTAAAACTTTGTCAACCTGCGAAAATATTTAATCAAAATCCCGCGCGCGTCGCGCTGATGTTTCGTTTTAATAAATTACGCACCACATGCAAATCGCCGTTTAACGCGAATTGTCCAGCCCTGGTCTCTGGCGGAATAATTTGCGCGACGTTCGGTAAAAAACCCGGCCACGAAAGATCGTTCACAGTGGACTCGTTCCTGCTTGTGAATATTGAACTTGACAAAAAAAGACGTCAACGAATAAGCAGCGCACCTGAACCAGTCGTAAGCAGGACCTCCCGATGCGAAAACTTGTGTTATAAGCGATCCTCCCGGTTTCCCAATGGTATCATGCCGTAAAAATGTGATATCCGCCGGCGATTGCCAATAACGAGAAAGTGTGGTTGGGAAAAACTCCCCGTTCGCAATAAATTGTGGTTCAAGCGGTGGATAAACGAAATCTTGCTGCACCGCCTGCGCGGGGTACACGTTCTTGAATATCAAAGAGGAGACGTTACGAAAAATCAAAACTTTCCTCGTCGAGTAGAGGCAAAAACTCGTTTGGCCGATCGGTAATGGTTGAAAATAGAATCACATCATACAAAATAGCTGTGTGACTTTCGAAAATAGCCTCTCTTGAAAGCGCGAGCTTCGTGAAAAAGTAAAGCCAAGCGATGTCAACAGCTGCGAAGACACTTGCGTCGCCGGGCGGCAAGCATTGTCCTCGCATTTCCGGCTGGAGTCCTAAAACTAAGACGATTTCTTCGTAGACCTGATACTTAGAAAATTAGAGCGAAAATTAATCACGTTTTTTGATTAAAACTTTCCTTTAGCCACGGTGTTCTCGATATTCGATCCATGATTGTAAGACCAAGCTCTGCGGTTGGAGGTATTAACATCGTATCGATGACCTGAACGACGCCGTTTGACGAAACGAGGTCGGGAACGATGACTTTTCCCGCGTTCAACCTTCCCTCGATGAAAATACTTCTCGCCGGGTCTGGCAGTCCAGGAGGCGTTTTAGAAGTCACAGAACGAACTCCTTGCACGCGAATTCCGACTTGTATTATTATGCTCAGCCCGAGGAAAATGTTACACGGCTTCGCGAACAGCGGGTACGCCAGTCTCGTGTCTGTGTTGAATTAAAATCGTGATTTCCGGCGCGTAACGTGATTAAAAAAATAAAATTCGCGCACCGAAAACGTCCGTATTCGCGAGAAGGCATAGTCTGAAATCTTCCTGTGGAATCAACCCTCCGCGCGGGACGAGATCGAGTATCAAATGATACTCCGCGATTTGTTTCCGTATCAAAAATGCGATGAAAGGATCGATGAATGGTTTCAAAATGTCGTCCGGGGTGTATCCCTGCGATCGAAAAAATCAAATCGCGTCGTGGAAGTCGTCGCGTTTAAAAAGCTTTTTTCACCTACCAGGTACGCGAGCGTTCCTTCGACCGCCGCGTTCGTAGGCGCGAAAATCGCTATTCCGGACACTATTTGCCCTAAATTTCCGACCTGGTCCAAGTCCAGGGCTAAGAGCTCGTTCCCTGGACTCGTCACGATTTCCGTGAACAGAGAGAGCTCCGGTCGCAAAGAAAGCTGTCGCAGCGTCGTCAACCCGGGAGTTATCAAAACGGAGTCGACGACGTGCACGAGCCCGTCGCACGCGACGAGGTCGGGAGCGACGACGACCGCTTGATTCCTGCCCAAGACCGCGTACCGCTGCCCGTCGACGGTCACGATTCGCTTGTTCCCGACGCACGTGATGTCCATCACGAGGTCGAAAAAGTTCAGCGCGCCTATCGAAGGACCGAGCAGCGGCGTCACGAAGAGCAACTCGGGTTGCACGCTGCTCTGCAATATCTCCAGAGGGTACATGTTCCACGTGAAGTACCGGCTCCCGGCCAGGATCCCGTCCGCGCCGATCGGGGACAGCCCGACGGCAGAGATCACTTCGGAGTACTGCAGCGTCGAGAGCAAGAGCTCCGGGTCGGAGAACACTTGCTCTTTCGACAGGCCGACTCTTCGGAAGAAATTTTTCCACGCGAGGTTCGTCGGCGCGAACACCGTTCGCATCGCGGTCCCGTCTATCACCTCCCCCGGCGTGCACATCCCGGGCTCGGGTAACACCGGCGACGGAAGCGTCCCTCGAGGAATGAGCGGCGGAACGATGACCGCGCCCGGGAACTGCTGCGCGGTGACGTCCGACGTTCCCTGTACCTGCGCGAAAGGCGTCGTGAGAAAGCTCTCTCGCAACGCGCGCGTCAGAAAAAACGCCTCCGCGGTGATCGACAGCTCCGGGTACGACTCGATCACGGACTCGACGGACGAGTAAAACGCCGCGGCGGGGACGAGAACGTCGTCGATCACGTGCACCGCGAGACCGGGTCCGAAACCCAGCCCCGAACACATCACGACGTTCGGCCCGATCACGTCCGCGCCGCGTTTCAAATAGCCGTCCACGCGAAGTTTTCGCGTCGACCCGGCGTCTTGCGACGCCGCGACGAACAGCAGCGAACTCGCGGTGCCGATCCCGGAGAGATCCAATCCCGCGCTCAGCGCGTCGTCCCGGAACAACGTCTCTAACGGCTGCCCGTCGATGATGTCTTTCGTGAGCAAGAAGCCGCACGACCGTCGCCACAGCGCGTCGTTCGTCGCGCCGCACGGGATCGTGAGGTGATACGACACGATCCCGCACAGCAGTCTCGCGTCCGCGAGAATCTCGTCGAGGCCTCTCCCGAGGTTGATGAACAGCTTCTCGAACGCCTCGTCCGTGGGCGCGAACAAGGTTTGGCCTCGCGCGGTGGTGTAGTAGAACGCGCGCTCGGGGCATCGCGTCCTCGACGCGAGAATCAGCGCGTGCAGGACGCGGAACGAGTGCGAGGCGTCGCTGTCTTTGTTCAGCGACGAGTCCAACCAGATTCCGGTGCCGTCTTCGAACGGGCACCCCGCGTCCGCGGCCTCGAAGGACGCGACGCGGGGCGCGCGCGCGTGCGCGAGGACGACGAACACAAGGACGATCGACGCGTGTCGCATCGCGCGCGATGCGCCGCGATGCGCGCGTCGTGCGCGCGCGCGCGAGCGAGGATGTGTCGTGGTTGCTGGAAGCCGAAACGTCCCGAGGTGACATTTTCCTCGGAGCCGGAACCCGAAAGCGACGAGAAAGCCTCCGAAAAATTCGGGAAAAAAGGCTCGAAATTCAAACATTTCGACTGCATTTCGAGCGAGAGCGACGAAGAGAATAATTCCTCGGAACTGAATTCACATCTCTCTCTCGCGAAATGGCCGCCGCCGCCGCCGCCGCCACGGTCCGCGGCCGCGCGCCTGCCCCGCTCCCGTCCCGCGCTCGGGCGCGCGCGTCCACCGCGCGATGCCACCGCGCGGCGACGCGCGCCGCGGGGGGGCTGTGGTACGTCGACGAGGGTAAGCCGAAGGGGAAGAGAGGCGCGGGGGACGCGAAGGGCGACGTCGTCGTCGAGACGGACGCGCTCTTCGCGTCGAAATACGACAAGCCCGTGATGCGCGTCGGCGCGGAGGGTCAGTCGCTGCCGCTGCCCGAGATGCGCATCGTCTCGGACAAGAAGATGCGCAAGGTGCAGTTCGTCAGCGCGACCGAGGACGCGGACGACTGCCCCGCCCCGGACGGCCTCCCGGAGGTGGCGCTCATCGGCCGAAGCAACGTCGGGAAGTCGAGCCTGCTGAACCTCCTCACCGAGGGCGCGTCCGGGGCGTTGGTCTCGTCCAAGCCCGGGACGACGCAGCGGATCAATCACTATCTCGTGAACCACAAGTGGTGGATCGTGGACTTGCCCGGGTACGGGTACGCGGAAGCGACGGAGGACGAGACCGCGAAGTGGGAGGCGTTCACGAAGGATTACTTCGTCACGCGCTCGAACCTCGCGGGCGTGCTGTTGCTCATAGACGCGTCCGTGCCGCCGCAGGCGAAGGACGCGGAGTACGCGGACTGGCTGATAGAGAACAACGTCCCGTTCACGATCGTTTTCACGAAGTGCGACAGGGACAAGCCCGGGATGCCGAGCGTGGAGGAGAACAAAGCGGAATTCGAGGCGAGGCTCGAGGAGCGGTGGCACCGCTCGCCGTCGATGATTCCGACGTCGAGCGTGAACGCGGACGGGCGCGAGGACGTTTTGAAGTTCATATCGTCCATAATCTTATTCCGAAGAAGGAAGAACGAGGAGCTCAAAAACTCGAAACGACGCGCGAGGGTGAACGCGATGAAGAACGCGAAGCGAGAGGAGAAGCCGCAGAGGCACAGAGAGAGAAAACCGAAACCCGCGGGCGTCGACGACGGGCCGCTGCTTCCGAACCAGGCCGGGTACGTCCCGCGGGTGAAAGGGAAGAGCAAGGGCGCGGGGGGGGAGTGGAGTGAATCGTCCAAGGAGCGCGTGTCCATGGAGTCGCTCATCGCGCAGGAGCTCGCGGACATCGAAAGCGAGAGGCGGTGAGGCGTCGCGACGAATACGAATATCGTTTAGGTTTATCACAACGCACCCGGAAGTGAACGCGTCGTCGCCCCGATCGCCCCCCCGCGTCTTCTTCCTTCCCTCACTGCACGCCCGGGGGACGTACCCGGCCTGGTCCGGGCAGATACGGGTCTATCGGCGGCGCCGGGTATTTCGATTTCGGGTTCGGGTCGGGCTTCTGGAAGAGATAATGCGAGACGTACCACTCGTTCCCTCTCCCGTTGCCGTTGTCGTAGTTGAACATCTCCGCGCACGACAAGAAAAACAGACGCCAGTACACGTACCACTTCGTCTTGTTCTCCTTGCCGTACGTCGCCTCGAGTATCGGTTCCGCTTTCGCGTAGTTGCTATCGAGCTTCTTGAGCCAGTCGTTGCAGGTTCGGTAGTAGTGGTTCCCGTTCAAGCGCCACTGCGTCTTGAAGTGCAGCTCTTTCGCGAAGAAGCATAGCAGACGATCCGACGGCATCGTCCCTCCGGTGAAGAAGTGCGTCGACATCCAGTCGTCCTCGTCGACCGCCTCGAAGTGATACGGGCGCGACCTGTGCACGAAGATGTGTATGAACATCAACCCGCCGGGCTTCAACCACTTCGTGCACCGTTCGAACAGGATGTCGTAGTTCTTCATGTGCTCGAACATCTCGATCGAGACGATGCGGTCGTACTCGCCCGCCTCCGGGGCTTCGAACGACACCATGTCCGCGGTGATGACAGTCAGGTTCTTAATCCCTCGCTCCTTCGCCTGGGCGTCTATGAACTCCTTCTGCGTCTTCGAGTTCGACACCGCGGTGATCTTGGAGTTCGGGAACGTCGCCGCCATCCACAGCGAGAGCGAGCCCCAGCCGCACCCGAGCTCGAGGATGTTCAGTCGGTTCCAGAGCTGCGCGCGGCGCGCGTACTGCGAGAACATGCAGAGCTCGGCCTCGTCGAGCGTCTCGTTCCCGCGCTCGTAGTAACAGCAGCTGTACTTCAGGTTACTTCCGAGGCACAGATGGTAAAACTCGGTCGGGACTTCGTAGTGCTGCTCGTTCGCCGCGCTCGTCTGCTCCGCGACGGGGCGTCGTCGCAGGTCCTCCACGAATTTCAGCTCCGCGTTCACCTCGTCCTCGGTGTTCTCGAACTTCTTGATGCACTTCGTCTTCAGCAGGTACCGGATTCCGCGTCTCAAGATGAAGTCCGGGACCATGTTCGCCTCGACGACCTGCGGAATCGCGCGCGAACGACGGGGTGGTGGGGTCAGGGTCAGAGCGAGGAGGCGACGTCGTCGAACGAATCGAATCGAACCCTGGTTTCTCGGCGGCGGAGGATCGATCATCGGTCGGAACGACGACGATCCGACGCCTCGAGGTCGCGCGCGCGTCGCACCTTCATGAAGTTCGCGTAGAACGCGTCGTACGCGGGTTTCGTGATCGACCCGAACATGATGTAGACGCGATCGTGCGCGTACGTAAACCGCGCGCGCGTCCGCCGCCGCCGCGATGAGTGCGCGCCTCGACCTTTCCAGTCGCTTCTTCTTCTCCGAACCGCCGGAAAGAAAAAAAGTGACCGGACACTGCACTGCTCGCGCTTCCAGGTGCTTCCAGTTTTGAGCGCGCGCGATCGATCGCGATGGGCAAGCGGCGCAAGGTAAGTTCTTCTTCACACTGGTCCCCATACGACCCCGTTGGCGTGGTGAACGCCGATCCTTAAGGACTTTGCCCGGCGCATCTCTCCTCCCACACCTCGCTTTCAATCCCAGCCCTCGACGCCTTTCAACTCCAACTGACGCCTTTCAACTCCACCCCGACGGTCGCGTCGCAAGGCCGCGGTCGAGGACGACGACGAGGACTGGGGCGCCGGGTCCAGAGCGCTCGCGGCGTCGAAGCCGCAGAACGGCGACGTGAGCGCGCGAGAGAACACGTGCAGGGCGCACCTGCGCGCGCTGAACGAACAGTTCGCGGAGTGCGTCCCCGATCGATCGGTCGATCCGCCATCCAACCATCCCTAGAGCTCGACTCAAATCGATCTCCCCCACGCGCGCGTTCCCGCCAACGCCGCCGCGTCGCCCTTCGTCCGCCCCCCGCCTCGACGGACCTCCCACTCTCGCGTCTCGCCGACCGCGTCGTTCCCACCCCGCGCGCTCTCCTCTCGCGACAGGTGGGTGAGCAAGCAGTCGTCGTCCAGGCCGGTGAAGTCGTGGGCGGTCGGGTGCGAGGACTACCTCGCGCACGTCGCGAAGATCAAAACCGACTTCAAGGACGTCCTCGAGACGGACGCCGCGGGGGCGAAGCCGACGATTTCGGCCGCGCCGACGCCTTCCGCGGCGGCGCCGACCTTGTTCGGGTCGCTCGCGACGCCGACGCCGATGAAAGACGCGCCGCTGTTCGGCGCGTTCGCCGCCGCGAAGAAGGACGACGACGCGTCCAAGCCCGCGCCGGCGACGCCGTCGCTCTTCTCCCTCGGCGGCGGCGCGGCCAAGGCGTCGACCGCGCCTTCGACCGCGGCGCCGAGCCTGTTCCCCGCGGCCGCGAGCAACCCGTTCGGCGGCGGCGGCGGCGGCGGCGGCGCGGGCGCGTCGACGCCGAGCCTGTTCACGCCGGCGCCGTCGGGGGGAGGCGCGGGCGCGGGCGCGGCGCCGCCGACGTTTGGCGGGTTCGGGATCCCCCCCGCGACGGGCGGGACGCCCGTCGGCGGCGGCGACGGCGACGACGACGACGAGCCCGCGCGGCCGCCGTCGCCGTCCGTCGCCGCGAAAGAGAAGACGGAGGACGACACCGAAGACACGCTTCTGAAGGTGAAGTGCAAGTTCTTCACGAAGAAGGACGCCGCGGACGCGTGGGGGGATCACGGGGTGAACCACCTCGAGTTTTTGAAGGAAAAAGTCGCCGTGGACGGCGTGAAGCGCGCGCGCGTCGTGTGCCGCAACAGCATCGGGAAGGCGGTCATGAACGCGGGCGTGTACGCGAACATGGGCGTGCAGGTCGTGGAGAAGAAAGCCCCGGACGGCTCCGTGAAGAAGAACGGGATCATCGTCCAGCTGTTCAACGCCGTGGAAGAGAGCGCGAAGACCATCACGCTGTTTCGGTTGGGGAAAGAAGACGACGTCGTCGCGCTCAAGAAGCTGTTCGAGCAGTCCGTCGCGGAGATGAAGTGAAGCGAAGCGAGCGACGACGGTCTTCTCGCGACCGCGTCTCTCTCTCGCGCGCGCGAGCGGGCGTGTTGAATGAATGACGATCACACGTAAACCCAATGAAAACGGAAGCGCGCGCGCGCTCGCTTCTCACTTGCCGCCCTCTTCCGCGCGTTTTTTCCTGTTGGCGCTCGACGACAGCTCCTCGACGACTTCCCACGCCACCGCGCACTGCGACGCCTCCGCGCCGGACTCGCACAGCGATATCGCGACGTCGACCGCGTCCCTGATCGCCCCCGCGAGCGTCTCGTCGTCCGCGTCGCTCGCGTCCCCCTCGGACCCCCCCTCGCCGCTCGACGCGGCTTTCAGCGCGTCTTCGAGTCTCGCGCGCGCGACGAAGGTCCCCGCGGCGGGTTCGCAGCTCTCGTCCGCGCACGGCATCACCCCCGCGAGCGGGTCCACGCCCGCCATCGTCGCGGGATTGCTCATGCGCCCGGAGCCGCTCGATTTCGGTTTCGGTTTCTCTTTATCTTTCGATTTCGCGTCCGCTTTCCCAGCCTTCTCGGGCGGCGGCGGGGCTTTGTACAGCGGCGAACTCTCCGGCGCGTTTTGCGTCATCCCCGCGCGCATCGCCGCGTCTTCGAGCCCGTCGACTTCCTCCCACGCGATCGAGCACTCCACGGTCGCGCCGCCCTTGCACGCCTCGTTCGCGGCTGCGTGACGACGCGCGGACGATGAGCGGGTGAGGTCGGCGAAGGGCCGAGCGATGCGACGCTTCGCGCGAGGGAGAGAACGAATGAAGAAAGAGAGCCGCTCCGCCACGACGACGAGAGATATTTTCGCGCACCTTTGATGGCCTGCTGCAGCTTGAACCTCAACCCCGGCCGCTCTTTGTCCACGAGCATCTCCTCCAAGCTCTCGGCCGCGTCCTTCTCGTACAGAACCTCGAAGGCGATCGCGGCGATGCGCGCTTGGTCCTCCGTGAGCTGCACCGGCGGAGGCACGTCGTCGTCCTCCGGTCGTTTCGAACTCGAGACGTCGTCGTCGTCGCCGTCCGAGGGCGACGCGCGCGCTCGCGTCGCGAGACGCGCGGGTCGGGATCGTCGAACCGCGGAGGAGGGCGCGCGCGACGACGCGCATCGCGTCGGGACGAGCGCGCGGGCCCGGACGGCGTGCATCGTGAGACGGCCGCGCGGGCGATCTTTTGACGACAAGTCAGCGTGGACGGAATAAATGGCGCCAAAATCACTCAACTTCAGTCACACGAAAAGCCGGTCACTCGCTCAGCTCGCCGTCGTCGCCGCCGTCGTCGTCTCCTCCGTCCTCTTCACCTCCGCCCTTCTCGCCGTCCTCCTCCATCTCCCCCGCCTTGCGCTTCCGCGTCGGCACCGCCCGGTCCAACGCGGCGGCCCAGTCGCCTAGCTCCATCTGCGCGTGCGCGATGTCGAGCGTCTGGTTCACCGTCAAGACGTGCGACCCGGTCATCTTCAGGTGGTCGCGTATCGGCAGCCGCGCGTGTCGTATCCCCTGCGCGTTCGCCTTGTCCAAGGTGAGGTTTTTGTGTTTGTTCCGGTCCACGATGCCGCCGATGACGTACACGTCGTCCTCAGAGAACGCGGTCAGCTCGTTCTCTGCCGGGGCGATTCCATGCAAAAAAACACGTTCATCGGTCAGTTGAAAGGGAACGCGATCAAATGTTGAAACCGAGGGATGCTGTGGGTGAAAACCATTAAAAAGAAGCACGCACCCGAGTCCGCGGTCAGGTACACGAGCTTAGACTTCTGTTCCGCCAACAGCTCGATGTACGGCTTCTCCGACGCGATCACCGCCCAGTTCGCCATCCCGGAGCAGCACCGCTCGACGACCTCGCCCATCGCGCCGGTCAGTCCGGTCAGGTACAGACGGCACGGCGTCGCGGCGCGGCAGTTGGCGACGTAACAAAACGACAGCTGCTTCGCGAGGGACTTGAGGGTCGTTCCATACGAGCGAACGTCGGGGTGGAGTTCAAAGGCGTCAGTTGGAGTTGAAAGGCGTCGAGGGCGGGGATCGAAACCGAGGGGTGGGCGGAGAGACACGCCGAGAAAAGTCCTTAAGGATCGGCGTTCACCACGCCAACGCGGTCGTATGGGGACCAGTGTATAGAACGCACCTTGAGCGCCTTCTCGTCCATGAGGTGGCCGAACTCGAGGTCGACGACGACGCCGCGCTTGCTCTGCAGACTCGACTGCTTCTTCACCTTGGCGTCGTTCGCCTCTCGTTTGCGGCGCTCTCTCTTCTCTCTCTGCTCCGTCTCGTACGCCTCGCGTTCCTCCGCGGACATGGCTTGTAATTTCTTCTGGTGCTCCTCCTTGAGCATCGCGCCGCGCGCCGCCTTCTCTTCCTTCTCCTTCGCCCTCTTCGCGGCTTTCTTCTGAAGGAACGCCTCGCGCTTCGCGAGCTTCTTCCGCGCGTTCTTCGACATCGGCACCAGCGTCGACGGGTCGGGGGAGGACTCGCGCTCGGCGGCGGCGGCGGCGGCGGGGGCGGGTTCGTCGGGAGGATTCCCCGAGTCGTCCGCGGCGTCCGCGTCGTCGGAGACGGTCCACAGCGTCGGGACGAACTCCTCTTCTTCCTCCCGCACCTCGGGTGTCGTCGTCGCCGGCGGCGGCGCTTCCGCGGGGGCGCGCGCGTCGTCGGCCATCCCTCCCTTCCTCGCGCGGCTCGCACTGACGAGCGCGCCGAAACATTTCCGCGACGTCCGCGTCCAGTCGCGTCAGGCGCTGAAAAGTTTGCGGAAATCCTCGGAAGGCGCCGTCATTGCGGCCGCCGCGGCCGCCCCCGCCGCGTCATGGCGGAGCACGTCCAGGACGACGACTCCCCCTGGGTCGTCGTCAAGCTCGAGCCGACGTCGGACGAGGAGCGGTGCGAGGAATACGACGAAGAGCCGGAGGGTGAGCCAGACGAGACGGACGAGGACGAGGGCGACGACGGCGACGACGCGTCGCGCGGAGTTGAGAAAGAGTCTAATAATTCCGACGACGACGACGACGCGCCGGACGCTCCCACGGTCGCTCCCCGCGACGTCGACGTCGACGACGACGCGGTCGCGACGCGCAGTGACCTCCCTCCCGCGGCGACCGTCGCCGCGGAGACGACGCCGACGGTCGCCGCGACGTCGACGTCGCCGGTCGATCGCATCACGCACAAGTGCACCGTGAAAGGATGCGTCTCGAACAAGGCGAGGCACAAGGGGTTCGCCGCGCTCAAGTCTCTCGTCGCGCACGTGATGATCACGCACAGCAAAAGCGCGCAGGCGAAGGCGTACCGCGAGGAAGGGTGGGAGAAGCGACGCCGCGTGCACGAGGTGACGCTGAACAAGTCGAAGAGAGTCGAAGAGAAGGCGGGACCCCCGAGCGGCGGCGGCGGCGGCGGCGGGGAGAAGGACGAGAAGACGCCTTCGAGCGCGTCGGACGCCGAGTGGCGGGACGCCACGGCGCCCGCGGAGACGACGGACCCCGCTACCGAGACCGCGGCGCCGCAGAGAGAGAAAGAAGAAGAAGACGAAGAAGAAGAGAAGGTTGGGTACGACCCGGACGAGCTTCTCAACGAGCTCAGGGCGGCGGCGAGCGTGGACGTCGTGAAACCGCCGACGCGCGCGACGCGGCCGCTCGTGGAAGCCGTCGCGTTGAAACGCGCGTGGCGGCTGACGACGGAGGCGGCGACGGTGAAAACGGTTAAGGATAAGCCGTTACTCAATCCGCGGCAGCGCGCGCAGAAGCAGCGGGAAGAGAAGTTTAAGAAGATGGAGCTGAAGCTCATCGAGGAGAAGGACGCGAGACGTAAGGCGGAGGAGGAGGCGGAGCGGTTGCGTCGGTGCGTTCTATACACTGGTCCCCATACGACCGCGTTCGCGTTGTGAATGCCGATCCTTAAGGACTTTTCCTTCCTCGCTCACAACGTTCGACCCCACGCACGCACGACGCCTTTCAGCTCGAAACCGCCGCCGCCGCGCGGGGGCGGCGGGGGACGCGGTGACAACCCCCGCCACTCTTGGAAGCCGCCGCCGCCGCGTCATTACCAGCGATACCAACACCAACAGCACCGAGGCGGCGGCGGCGGCGGCGGCGGCGGCGGCGGCGGACGCGACGGATATCGCGGGCCGCCGCGGTATCCGCATCCGCGCGGACGGGGAGGCGGCGGTCCCGGCGGGGGGAGAGGCTTCGGCGGCTTCGGCGGCTTCGGCGGCTTCGGCGGCGGCGGGCCCGGGCCTGGGCCCGGCGGGGGGAGAGGCTTCGGCTTCGGCGGCGGGCGCGGAGGCGGCGGCGGCGGCGGCGGGCGCGGAGGCGGAAACTTCCGCCACCACCATAAGGGCGGGTCGCGTGGGTACGACGGCGGCGGGCCGAGGCACCACGGGGGTTCGAACCACTCGTCGCGGCCGCACGACAAGCCGTACGACCATCCTCGGCACCTAGAATGGCATAGGACGGGCACCTAACTAAAATGGCATAGACGTTAGACAGACGACATAGCGCGCGCACGTGACGACGACGAACGAAAAATTCGGAATAACACCGCACCGAGACGTTTTCGCACTCGCGAGCGATCTCTGCGCTCCTCCTCCACACCGCGACGCGCGCGCGACGCCTCGCGGTCCGTCAATCGCTCGCGATGGTGTACGATAGCAGCAAGCTCGCGCGCATGGTCCCCCCCCAAACGGAGCAGTCGCTGCCGGTGATGAACGAGCAGTGCGACCGCGTGTTGCGCGCGCTCGAGGCGGACATCTCGAGCGCGGGCGAGCGACGCGCGTCGACGTCGCCGCCGCTCGCGGACGACGACCCGGTGTACGGCGCGCCGAAGCCGGGGGAGGATCTGTGGGTCGCGTCTGTGTCGGGCGGGGGGAAGCGCGCGGCGAACGGCGGCGGCGCGGAGAAGGCGAACCCGCGAGGGGAGGACGCGCGTCCGACGAAGACCCTGGGCGGAGAGAGACGCCGGCAAAAGTCCTTAAGGATCGGCGTTCACCACGCGAACGCGGTCGTATGGGGACCAGTGTGTCCGACGGGCGGGGGCGAAGACGATGATTCGAATCGACGACGATGACAGTGAGACGACGCGCGTAGGATAGGCGGATAGGCGGATAGTCTAATAAGTTATCGAAGAATAGGTACGTAGGGCTACGACCGAGAGTGATGACGTGATGCGCACTCCTCGCGTTCACAGCCTGTTGCTCTCGTAAATCTCCCTCGCGACGTGGTGCAGCACCGCGTGCCTGCGCGCGAGCGCGGCGACGTCCGCGTCGTACCTGGGTGGAGTCGGGTGGAGTTGAAAGGCGTCAGAAGCGGAGTTGAAAGGCGCCGAGGGCGGGTATTGAAAGCGAGCTGTGGGCGGAGAGAGACGCCGCCGGGAAAAAAATTCCTTAAGGATCGGCGTTCACCACGCGAACGCGGTCGTATGGGGACCAGTGTGTCCGCGTCGTACCCGCCGCCGACGAACCCCGCGATCGGGATCCCGCGTCCGACGACGGTGTCCAACACGAGCGCCTCGCGTCGTATCAAGCCCTCGTCCGTGAGCGATAAGCCGCCGAGAGCGTCCGCCTCGTGGACGTCCACGCCGGCTGCGCGCGATGAGAATAAAGTACGTGAAGAGAGAGAGGAAAGGGAGGATGAGAAGGTCGGGAGCGGGGAGGAAGAGAGCGGCAGACGCGACGGATGAAAACCAAAACGCCGAAAATCAATCATCGAAACCGGGACGAACGCCGAACCGAACGCGCACCGTCGTACAGCACGAGCTGCGGCTTGAACTCCTCCAGCACCTCCCTCAACCCTTCCTCCACGGCTTTCATGTACGCGTCGTCCCCGGTCCCCTTCGCGAGCGCGATGTCCCGACTCGCGGTGGCTTTTTTATGTGGGAAATTATCCGCGCAGTGCGCGTCGAGCACGAACACGCGGTCGTCGTCCTCCACGATCGCCGCCGTGCCGTCGCCCTGGTGGACGTCCAAGTCCACGATCAACACCCTCTCCACGGCACCGCGCTGTAACACCCGCTTCGCGGTCACCGCGAGGTCGTTCAGGATGCAAAACCCGGACCCGTGCGCCCTGTGCGCGTGGTGCGTCCCCCCTGCGGTGTTCATCGCCATCCCGCACGTCAACGCTGAGGGGCGGAGTTGAAAGGCGTCAGTTGTTGGAGTTGAAAGGCGTCGAGGTGTGTCGGGATTGAAACCGTGGACGGACTGGGCGGAGAGAAAAGCTTTTCGGGCGAAGAACGTCCTTAAGGAATCGCGTTCACCGCGCGAACGCGGTCGTATGGGGACCGGTGTGACGACTAGCTAGCTAGAACGCACCCAAGTCGGCGGTGAGGATCGTCCCGCTCACCTCGTGCAACGTCCGCTCGACCAAGTCCTCGGACCACGGCAGCCCGATCTTCCTGGACGCGCCGTCGTCGAGCGCGCCCACGCAGAACGCGTCGACGTACGTCTCGCAGTGCGCGGCGAGGAGCTCCTCTCGCGACGGCGCGCGCGCGGGTTGGAACAGATTCTTCCCCGGGACCGCGACGCCCTCGCGGATGAGGCGCTCGTAGAGCGCTTTGAACACGGTCATCGGGAAACGGTGTCCGGTCGGCAGCGCGGGCTTGGAGTATGACGGGTGGTACACGATCGGGAGGCCGTGATCCCCGGGCTTGACCCTCGCGCATGATGATGACTCGGAGGAGGCCGAGGCCGAATCTGCGGGCGAGCCGCCGAACGCGCGCGTCGTCGTCGTCGTCGTCGTCGAAGACGTCGTCGTCGTCGGCGCGCGCGCGGGCGCGGCGACGATTCGACGCTCGGCGACGTCGTGGGCGCCGCGCGCGGCGACGCGCGGGCGCGCGGACGCGAGCAGCGCTCGGCACGTCGCGCGCATCCTCGTGTGCGGAAGGGCGGGGCGGATCTCCCCCTTCCCCCGGGGTCGGCACCTGCCCCGATTTTTCCTCTCGACGAACGCGCCGCGCGATCTGATGCCCCGTCATCACTCCCGCCGCGCGCGGATCCCTCCCTCCCTCGCCCGCACGATGCGCGGGTTACGGCGGCTGCTCGCTCGCGCGGCGTCCGCGCCGCGCTCCGCGGGGCCGTCGTCGCCGCTCGCCGTCGCCCCCGCGGCCGGTCGACTCCTCGACGCGGCCGCGTCTCGCGCGCCCCCGCCGGGGATGAGGGCGGTACCCCCCCTCCAAAAATGTCTCCTCCTCTCGCGCAGATCGATGGCGTGACGCAGCTCGCTCGACGCGCCGCCGCCGATCGTGGTGAACGTCGAGTACGACAGCGACGGCGTGAACGCGTTCATTCAGCTCGCGGACGTCGTCGAGGAAATCTTCCCGAGCGTGATGGTCCAGGAGCGCGAGGGCGACGGCGCGACTTCTGCGAGGGACGGAAGCTTCGAGGTGACGCACGAGGACGACACCGTGCTCTTCTCGAAACTGAAGGAGGGGCGGCTGCCGCGCCCGGAGGAGATCTTGGAGGCGCTGGAGAAGAAGTTCGAGGCCGACGGCGTGGACGCGATGGGCGGCGGCGGTTTAGGCGGCGCGGGGTGCGGCTAGCGCGCGCGGCGCGCGAAGGGCCGCTAAACCCGAGAGATTGATTATTTAACGAACAACCGGCGCGGCGGCGGCGGCGGCGGCGGCGGCGGCGGCGGCGGCGGCGGCGGGACGCGCTCTCACATGACGCCGACGGCATCCGTAAATCCGCGACGCTCGTGGACGGACGTCGGCCGATGCACGTAAAGAGCGCGCTCGCGCTGGCGAGCGCCCGCGCGCGGGTTGACGTAGGACGAGTATCGTATCCGTCTATAAGTAGGCACGCGAGGGAACCAACCCCTTCAGTTCTTTCGCGTTCTCGCTCTCGCTCAGCAGCTCGCGCGCGCTCTCGCTGAAACACCTTGAAACGACGGCACCCGAAGCATCTGGAAGGTCAGATCGGCGCGGCGGCCATCACTCGTCGCGCGCGCCGCACACGGTCGCAGCCACGATGTCGCGCGCTCGACACGCCCGGCGCATCCTCGAGCCGATCGCGGCCGCGGCGAAGCGCGGCGGCGGCGGCGCGTTCGCCGCGCCGCGCGTCGCGGGATTCGTCGCGACGCGATCCGCCGCCGGTTCGTCGTCGTCGTCGCCGTCGCGGATCGGCGGATTCTTCCGATGCGATCTCGTCCCGTCGTCCGCGCGCTTTCGAACGGATCATCGCGCGCCGCACCTCGCGCGCGGGATCGCGGCGTCGCCGCACCTCGCCGCGGACAACGCCGCGGACGCGAAGAAGAAGGCGGACGATGAAGACGCGAAGACCCCCGCCGCCGATCCCACCGATCCCACCGATCCCGACCCCGACGCGACGACGCACGCGTTCCAGGCGGAGACGCGCCGACTCCTGGACATCGTCACCAACTCGCTGTACACGGACAAAGAGGTGTTCGTCCGCGAGCTCGTGTCGAACGCGTCGGACGCGCTCGAGAAGTGCCGCCACGCGCACCTCGCGAAGGGCGAAGACCCGGGCGAGCTCGTCGTCGCCATCGACGTCGACGACGAGAAGCGCACCTTCACCATCTCGGACAATGGTCTCGGCATGACCGCGGACGAGCTCCGCGAGAACCTCGGGACGATCGCGCGGAGCGGCTCGAAAGCGTTCGTGGACTCGATGAAAGACAAAGACGCGGAGGGTAATAAGGACGCGTCCGCGTCCGCGTCTTCAACGGCGGCGACGAACATCATAGGCAAGTTCGGCGTCGGCTTCTACTCGTCGTTCATGGTGTCGGACGTCGTGGACGTGTACTCGTCCGTCGGCGACGGCGTCGGGAACAAGTGGAGCAGCGCGGGGGACGGGACGTTCGCGCTGTCGAAGTGCGAGGTGGGCGAGGGCGACGGGAAGGCGCCGAAGCGAGGGACGAAGATCGTGCTGCACGTCAAGGAGAAGGATAAGACGATCGCCGCGTCGAAGTGGGCGGTGGAGTCGACGTTGAAAAAATACAGCGCGTTCGTCGGGTTTCCGGTGCTCCTGAATGGTAAAAAAACGAATGATATCGATGCGTTATGGACGAAGAAAGCGAGCGAGGTCAGCGACGAGGACGCGGCCGCGTTCTACCGCTTCGTCGGCGGCGCGATGGACTCGCCCGCGTTTCGGTTACACTTCAGCGCGGACGCGCCGTTGACGATTCGAGCGTTGCTGTTCGCGCCGAGCGAAAACCCGGAGAAGGGGTTCGCCGCGCGGCAGCTCGAGAGCGACCAGAGCGGGTTATCTCTGTACTCGAGGCGGGTGTTGATTCAAGGCAACGCGCGCGGGCTCTTGCCGCCGTTCATGCGGTGGGTCCGCGGCGTCGTCGACTGCGAGGACGTCCCTCTGAACATCTCTCGAGAGTCGCTTCAGGATTCGGACTTGATTCGCCGACTCGGCGACATCATCGCTAAGCGCATGATCAAGCACCTCACAGAGCAGGCGAAGAAAGAGCCGGAGAAGTACGCTGAGTGGTACGCTAAGCTCGGCGTGTTCTTGAAGGAAGGCATCTGCGGCGATCAGAGCTACCTGTACAAAGACCTCCTCGTGCCGCTGTTGCGGTTCGAGACGTCCGCGGCGAAGGACGAGAAGAAGGACGACGCGGAAGACAAAGACGCGAAGAAGACGTCTTCGAAACCGCCGCAGTCGTCCCTCGACGAGTACGTCTCCCGGATGCCCGAGGATCAGAAAGCCATCTACTACCTCGTCACCACCGGCGGGCGAAAGCAGGCGGAGGCGTCGCCGTACCTGGAAGCGATGAAAGCGAAAGGGTACGAAGTCTTATTCCTCTACGCGCACGTGGACGAGTTCGTGATGCAGCACGTCAGGAAACACAAGGGCAAAGACCTCGTCTCCGTGGAGATCGCGGACGTGTCCAAGGACGGCGACGACGACGACGCGAAGGATGAGGAAGACGGCGCGAAGGATGATGAGGATAAGAAGAAGAAGAAGAAGAAGAAGAAGAAGAAGAAGGACGAGTCGCATACCGGGCCGAGCCTCGGGGAGAAGGAGATGACCGCGTTGTGCGACTGGTTCGCGACGGAGGCGCTGCCGGGACGCGTCACCGGCGTCAAACCCTCCGCGCGCCTCGTCGGCTCCCCCGCGCTGCTCACCGGACACGAGCCGGAGGCGATGCGTCGGTACCGCATGATGCTGACGATGATGTCGGACGAGGAGACCGCGGGGAAGCTGAACGATCTGCAGAATAGCGCGGCGTTGGAGTTGAACCCGTCGCATCCGGTGATTCGCGCGATCGAAGCGGCGCGAAACAGCGACGACGACGGGCTGAAGAAAGCGGCGAAGCTCGCCGCGGAGCAGGTGTTCGATAACGCTCGAATCTCCGCGGGGGCGATGGACGACCCGCGGGAGATGGTGGGGAGGATACACGAGCTCTTAGAGCTCGCGTTGCCCAAACCGAAGGACTGATTCGAGGGAGGCGCGCGAGTATTCTTAATTATTCTTTGTGACGAGTTTCGCGTTCAACATATTCATTTACCCCACAGGGCGGCGGTTCTACCCCCCTCGCTCGCGTCCTCCTCCTCGTCAACAAAACTTCCACCGGTTGTCGCAATTCACGCACGTCACGAACGTCGTCATCGGCTCGTCCGCGCTCCGCGTCTGCAACTGATAATACGTGCACTTCCGCTGCTTGCACTTGCCGCACTTGAACGCGTCGGTGGACGCCTCTTTTTTCTGCCCTCTCACCGCCTCGTTCGTCGCGTGCTCGCGAATCTTCGCGTTGCTGTTCCGCCGCTCGTCGCTCCCGAGCTCCTCCGGGGAGAGATCCAGCAGCACCGCGGGGGAGATGAGCCCGTCCGCGACCGACCGTCGAAGGTCCGGGTTCTTCGGGTCCTTCAGGTTGAACGAGAGTTGCCGAAACTTCGCTTTGTACTCCTTGCCCGTGTCGCTCCACTGCGCGTGCATCGCGTTCTCGATCGCGATGGCGGTCTGCGCGACGTCCTCCACGGACGCGTAGACGTCCGGCGCGCCGATCGCCTGCGCGATCGCCTCCGCAAGGAGCTCGCGGGTGCGATCGCGGAGGGGGTCCCCGAGCGCCGGCTCGAGGAGCTTCTTCAGGTTCGTCTCGCCGTCGCTCGCGTCCTTCTTCTCGCCGTCGCCGTCGCCGTCCTCCTCCTCCTTCTTCGCGCCGCCGCTCTCGCCGCCCTCCACCTCCTTCTTCGTCGTCGTCGTCGCGGCGGCGGCGTCAGCGTCCTCCTTGTCCTTGTCCTCGCCGCCCTCCACCGCGCCTAGCATGATCTTCTTCCACGCGGCGACGCACGCGCTCGCCTCAGCCTTGATCGCGTCCGTGGGTCCCTTCTTCGCGAGCTTCTTGATCGCCTTCGCGGCGTCGCCCACCTCCCCCGACACGAACAGCTTCACCGGGACCTTCATCGCGGCGAGGGTCTTCAGGACGTCCACGCATCGGTCCTCGGACGCGGTGTTCGAGCCCGCGTCCTCGGACGCTTTCGCGAGCGACGCGTACGCCTCGTTGACGTCCGCGGCGGAGACGGACGCCGTCATCGCGCTCTCGATCCGCGACGCGACGCGCGGGGTGATCGACGATCGCGCGGGCGTGGGCGTGCGTTCGCGTCGCCGTCCGTGCGACCGCGCGCGCGTTTATGATGAGAGGGCGGGGGCGGGGGAATTGGATCGGAAAACCCTCGCGCGCTGCGCGCGCCATAACAGAACGCGAGATGGCCGTTTCGCGAGGGTCGGCATCATCGACGGCACTCGCTCCCGCGCGACGCACGCGGCGCGGCGCCGTCCACCCGGCGCTCCCTCCCGAACCGGTCCCGCGCGTCGTCCGCGGTCGCATCGCGAGCGCCCCGACGCGCCGCCGCCGCGCGATACCCCCGCGTCGTCCGCGCAGGTGCGCGGCGTCGGCCGTCTCGCGCGTCTCTCGCGCGCGTCTCGTCCCCCCGACAACCGCCAGATTCGCGAGAGAACGTTCGCGCCGCGCGCGAACGTTCCGAGACGTCCGTCGCGTCCGCGGTCGCGCGTCCGCCTGCACGTCGTCGCGCGCGCGAATCGTCGTCGTCATCATCGTCGTCGTCGTCGTCGCCATCCCTCTGACGCCCGCGTCCGTCCCGCGCCCCGCGCAGGTCCACGCGTTCGCTCCGCCCCCGCGAAAGTCGTTGAGCTCGCGATCGATAATCAGTCATGCCGCCGCGCAAGCGCGCCGCCGCGGCCGCGAAGGCGACGGACGCGACGCCGAAGGACGTCCTCACGATCGAGATCACGGACGGGCCCGCGAAGGGCACCATCTTCGACAAGAACGTGCGTCCCGCGCCGCTCGCGTCCCGTCCCCTCCGTCGTCTCGTCTTCGTCCCGCCGTCCCCCGCGCTCTGTCTGTCTGACCCTAAACCCTAAACCCTAAACCCTAAACCCTAAACCCCTCCCCTTCCTCGCGACGCACAGCTGGACACGATGCAAATCGGACGCACGCGCACGTCGCAGCTCCACGTCAAGGGCGACCCCGCGGTGTCGCAGAAGCACGCGGTCATCACGTGGGCGTACGACCAGTGGTGGATCCAAGACGTCGGCAGCTCCAACGGAACCGCCATCAACGGCGAGGAGCTCGAGCCCGACGATTCGCCGACGGGGTTGAGAGACGGGGACGTGTTGACCATCGGCACGGACACGACGGCGAAGGTGACGATCGTGAAGGCCGCGGCGGCGGCGGAGGGACCCCGTAACGGCGGTGGCGCGGCGAAGAAGAGGAAGCCCGCGGCGAAGAAGGCCTCCGTCAAGGAGAAGGAGGACGCGGCGGCGGCGGCGGAGGAGGCGCCGAAGAAGGCGCCCGCGAAGAGGCGAGGCCGGCCGCCGAAGAAAAAGCCCGAGCCCGAGCCCGAGCCCGAGGTTGAGCCGGAGGAGTCGGCGGCGGCGGCGGCGGAGCCCGAGCCGGAGAAGCCGAGAACGACGAAGGCGAGGGCGAAGCCCGCGGCGAACAAGCCCGCGGCGCCGGAGCCGGAGATCGTCGCGACGACCGAGGCGGCGGCGGCGGCGGAGGAGGAGGAGGAGGAGGAGGAGGACGAAGACGACGAGGACAACAAAGAAAACGCCCCCGCCGCGCCGCCGCTGGAGACGGTTGAGGATTACGTCCGCGCGACGTGCGACGCGCTCGTGGACGACGTCAAGCGCGAGATTTTCGCGGTCGTGAAGCGGTTGAAAGACGACGCGGAGGGAATCAAGAGCGAGCTCAGAGGGTTAGTGGACGACCCGGAGGGTTTGGCGAGGGTCGCCGCGGAGGCGCCGCCGGCGGTCGAGGCGACCGCGTGATGTGAGGAGGAATTTTTAGAGGACGTATCGGGTTGAAGTTGTGGCGGCAGAGCGCGGGCGGGGGCGGGGGGGTGAAGCGCGAGGAGGGTGTGGTCGAGTTGGAGATGTGAGGCGACGCGCACGTAGTAGTCTCGTCGTCGTCGTGTGATGATATCGTGAAGCGCTGATAACCTTATTTCTATTCTAGTAGCGAGCAAGTCTACGCTCAGCTCTCTCGGCTGGAATGCGCGCGGCAAAAGGTCTTATGGTCCTTCCAGTGTGCTCTTTGACAGTCCACCGAACAGTATTTAACCGACTCGCAACCGCCGCAGCGCTTATAAGACGCCCTCCCTCCAGTTTCTCGCAAGCCGCAACACGCGCAGTCGTCCTTCTTGCGATCAGATCCTAGTGCTTCTTTGATGAATCGTCTACGAGGATTCGTCTCCGCGCTCGTTTGTATTTCGTCCTCATGAACCGGCTCCTGCGATTTCTTCTTCGCCCTCTCCTCTTTGATCGCCCGCAGCATCACGCACGTCTCCTTGTGGTCGCTTCGATGCGCGACCTGGCACTCCTTCCCGCAATACCTCGCGACGTCGCACTCGGGGCACTTCTTGAAGCTGCTGCCGTCTGGCGGTACCGCATAGCAATTCGCGCACTTGCCGCCGCCGAGTCGAGCTTTCCTCGAGATCTTTAACGATCTCCAGTCCCACGGCTTGTCGTTCGGCGCCTCGGGCGCTTCGGAATAGATTGCTTCCAACTGGAACTGCGGCAAGACGACGAATTCCGCGTCGTCGACGTCTCGCAACGCCGCGTAGCGATCCTCGATTTTGTCGTACCGTCGTCCGCGCGCTTCCATCGGTTGACGCCATCTCGCGAACTTTTTGAACCTGTAGTAACTGTCGTAACTGACATGATCGTACCCCGAGGGGAGCTGTAACACCTTAGGATCTGCCGCCTCCGTATATTTCTTCATCGACTCGGAACCCTTCTCGCCCGGTTTGCGCATGTCGCGAATCCACTCGTGATCATTCACGTCGTCGCACGCGAATTCGATGACGCTGATGGCGCGGCCCGTCTTCGCGGGCGTCCACGTCGACTCGTGCTTCGCCGTCGCCGCCTCGACGAGGCTGTTGAATCGCGTGAGCTTTCGCCGCGCGTTGCCGTCCGTGAGGAACAACTCGTGATCGGCGGCGTTAAATTGCATGAACTCGCGCGCGTCCTCGCACGGGTAAAATCCCGAGCCGAGTACCAACCGAAACAGGGAGTTCCAGGATTTTGAGTCGGTTTCGGTCAGTTTGACGTCCATGGCCAACGGCCTGTTGCAGAACCTCTCGTACGTCATCGCTTTCATGGTCGCGCGCCAAAACGTCGGATTATCGAACATGGCGTTGTCGTCCTCGATAGACTTCAACATGGCGTCCACGTCCTCACGTTGGACGAATTTGATTCCCCCGGTTTTTTCGGGTTTCACGGTGTCCATCATGTTGGCTAACATCTTCTCTTTCGATACATCTTCCTCCTGCGCTCGCTTCGCCAGGAGTTTTCTCCCCTCGCGGGTCGGGCGCGCGCTCTCCGTCTCCGAGATTTCGTCCTTCTTCATCAGTTTCTGCACCTTCTTCGCGAGCTTCGCTTCCTCCTCCTTCTCGACGCTCTTCTTGGCCATGCCCATCCTTGTGTAGTCCATAGAAGCTTCAAGACACGTTTCGTCCATTTCGTCGTCGGCATCTGGCTGGTAAATCCCCGTCCTCGCTTCCTCAGCCGCGATATCGCACTCCATAACGACGAGCGTCAGGAGATTATACCACACGGCCATGTAAGCTTCGTGGTTCAAGTGCGTCTCCGCCGGTGACGGCGACGACGGGTCGAGCAGACCCTCGGTCACCGCGGCGATCGCCTCCACTCGATGATGCGGCGACATCGCGTTAAAGAACGGTAACTGCTTTTCGAACAGGTCGGCGTTTGCTTGGACGATGTCGCGTAAGACAGACTGCGCGGCGAGCGCGAACGCCCTCGCTTCTCCGCCTTTGAGCTTCCCGACGTACGCGAAGCCCTCTGGTGGTGACGTGCTTTTGACGATTGAGTCCTGCTTCTCTAAAAACCTGTTCATCCTGTCCATCACTCGCCTATACTCTGCCGGGTTTGCCATCGCCTCTGCCTCCGAGCCGCAGTTACCAAACTGTAAGTCATCTATCAAGCCCATCATTTCCTTCATATACTCGGGGGTCATCCCTCTCGGAACCGCCACGTCTACCCCCCCTTCGCCGGGGGGCAAAAAGCTCGGTCTGCGCATGCCCCCACTCATGGGTTGCTTTCCCTTAGGCCCGCAGCACTTCTTGAGCTTCTTCCTGAACCACACGGACACGGGTCGTTTCGCGAGGGCGCCATCGCCGCGCCTCCCTCGGCCCGGGTCGCGTGTATATCTGATTACAAAAACCCGGGTCGCGTGGAGGTACGTGCAGTCCAGGCCGGGTCGCTCCGCGTCGCGAACTGCCGAGAGTTCTTCTTCCTCGCGCGGCGATCGACCCGCGCGTGTGAAGCGCGCGCGCGGGGGGGGGGCGATCGACTGGATCGCGCGCCGCGGAGTGAAGCGGGGCGGCGCGGTCAACGCGCTACTCTTTCTGATTCGGACAGCTGATCTGGCTGACGAGTAAGGTTACGTTGTCAACTTTAGAAAAGCTCCTGCCGCGTCAGATCGTCGGCCGCGCGCCGCCGCGCGCGAGGGTCATGTCCGACGCGGACCCTCGACGACTGACGTTCGAGGAAGCGACTACTCGTCGCGGCGACGGCGCGGACGAAGACGTCCCGGAGTGGCTGCGACTGAAGCGCGCGAAAGGCGCGGCGCTGCGCGAGCGGCTTCCGAAGCGTTCGTCGGGGTCGACGACCTCGACGCCCCCGGTCGCGGCGCGTCGCGCGTCGCCGCCGTCGTGGACGCCGTCCCCGGGGTCGTCCGGCGGAAGGCCGCGGTCGTCATCGAGCCGCGTCGTGGAGCTCGGCGTCCTCGACCGGTTCCGTCTCACCGCGACGCTCGTGGAGGAGGACGAAGGAGGGGGGGAGGAGGAGGAGGAGGAGGACGGCGACGTCGACTCCGATTCCGCCTCCTCCTCCTCCGGCGGCCTCGAGCGCGAAGACCTCAGGATGCGCGTCCCCGAGGTCTTCGACGCGGACGCCGCGACGCTCGCGGGCGGCGTCCCCGCGCGTCCGTCGCGTTCGCCGAGGAAGGTCGAGCCGATGGATGGGTCGACATCGTCATCGCGCCCGCCGCCGCCGCCGACGGCGTTGACATCGCTGGAGTTCCCGGAGACGGACCGACGCGCGGCGGCGTTCCAGGCCCGATGCGACGAGGTTCTGCGCGCGGTGGACGAAGAGATCGAGCGGCGGCGCGGGATGACTAGCGGAGTAGCTAGGATAGCGTAACACGTAGACTCCGACGACGATAGACGACCAAAACCGAAACCGGTTCAAAAAGAACGATTCATCATCACAACAGCGGGGGCAACTCCTTCCGACGCTCGCAACCTCTGCGCATCTGCCGCACGCCGACTTCCTCGTCGGTCGCGCCGCCCCACCGCTCGACGCCGCCGTACGCGTCCAACGCTTGCATCAGACGAACGACCTGGTACCCCAAGACCTCGTCCGCGGCCCCGGCGGGCACGAGCGTCAGCGCCTTGACGTTGACCTCCTCCTCCGCGAGTCGCAAATCGTTTCGCGCGCTCGCGTCCACGTCGTCCTCCGCGGTGGAGGAATGCGTAACGCTCACAACGTGTCCGTTACCACCGTTCGCCTCCGCGTCGAGGTCCGACTTCGGCAGCGGCTTCGGCGGCACGCCGCGCGCGAGCTCGAGCGAGAACGACGGCGGGCGGTGCGGGTAGTCCGGGTACACGACGACCCTCGCTCGCAATTCGGGCGGCGCGCTCTTCGAACCCGACGCCGCGGCGCTCTTCGATCGTATCGTCGCGTCGAACGTCCGCGCGCCGTCGCCGTGGCCCGCGCTCCCGGTCGTCGTCTCCTTGGCGTCGTCGTCGTCGTCGTCGTCGTTTTCCTCAGCGGCGGCGGCGGCGGCGGGCGTCTCCGCGACGATGACTTCGCCGTCCTCGTCGACCGGCGTCGCGGATGCGGCGGCGCGTCGCGGCTTCGCCGTCGCCGGCGCGCGCGTCGTCTCCCTCCACTCGCGAAGCGCGCACTTCGGGTGCATCTCGAGTCGCTTCGCGACGCTCAGGGCGTCGATGTCCTTCCGACCCAGCGCGTCGAGCTGGCTCCTGAAGAGAGAGAAGGAAGGAAGGAAGGAAGGAAGGAAGGAAGACGGCGAAGGCGTGAGCGGCGCGAGCGAGCGAGGCGAGTCGTCGTGTCGTTCGTTCAAATCGTCCAAGTCGCGGCGCGTGTGTGACAGACGAGACGAGACGCGCGACTCACTACGTGACTCCGTGACTCACTCGAGACCGCGTCTGCTCGCCATGCGCGCCCGCAGCGCGCGCAACACGTTCCTCACCCTCCGCTGCTTCGTGTGCTCCTCCACGCCTCTCGCCGCCTCCGTCGCGTCCGGCGGCGCCCTCCCCGCGGGCACGGGGGGCAAGAAATCCAAACCCGCGAGGTGCTGTACGTCGGGGTTGAGTTGAAAGGCGTCAGTTGAAGTTGAAAGGCGTCGAGGTGTGTCGGGATTGAAAGCGAGGGACCCTGGGCGGAGAGACACGACGGCGAAAGTCCTTAAGTATCGGCGTTCACCGCGCCGACGCGGTCGTACGGGAACCGGCGTGAGGAGAACGCGCCTGCGCCCACTTGTACGGCCGATCGCGCCGCGTCGAGACGTCTGGATACGCGAACCCCGCGGGGTACCGAAGCTTGTTCGCCGCGTTCGGCGTGTCCAGGCCGTCGTCGTCCGGGAACAGGTTGACGAGCAGGTCGCCCCTGGTGAGGTCCACCGGGGGGGGGGCGTCCGCGGCGTTCGCGTCGCCGCCGCCCCGCGCCCGCCCCTTCTCCTCCTTCTCCTTCGTCGCGCGCCCCGCCCTCTTCTTCTTCTCGTCCGTCTTCATCGCCTCGACGGTGACGACGTGGAGGTTCATCAGGTACCGAAAGACGAACGAGACGCCGTCGACGTCGAGGACGACGACGAGCGGATGCTGCGCGTACGTCTCGTTCGCGTCGTCGCCGCCGCCGGTTCCGGAGGTGCGCCCTGGGTGGAGTTGAATGGCGTCAGTTGGAGTTGAACGGCATCGATGTGTGTCGGGATTGAAAGCGAGGGACCCTGGGCGGAGAGACGCGCCGGGAAAAGTCCTTAAGGATCGGCGTTCACCACGCCGACGCGGTCGTATGGGGACCAGCGTGAGATAGAACGCGCCTTTTCCTCCGCCGCCGCCGTCGCTCGCGCCGCGTTTCGCGCGCTTCTTCGCCCTGCCGCCGCCCGCGTCCGCGTCCGCGTCCGCGTCCGCGTCGCCGCCGTCGTCGTCGTCGCCTTCGCGTTTATCGCGGATCTCCCCGCGGATCTCCCCGTCGTCCGTCTCCATCGCGTCCGCCGCCTCCGCGTCGTCGCCCCCGCGCTCTCTCGCTCTCGCCGTCTCCTCCTCCGCCGCGGCTTTCCTGACCAGCGCCTCCGCGTCCGCGATGGACCCGTCCACGTTGACCTCGTACGTGTCCTGAAACGCCTCCCTCGCCGCCGCGAGCTGCGTGTACGCGACGTACAGCGGCGGCGGGAGCAGACGCGCGGCGCGTTTTTGCCGATCGTCAAAGGCGATGGGGAGGTTCAGGTGCGACTGCGGCGGCGCGGTGCGGGGTGGAGTTGAAAGGCGTCAGAAGCGGAGTTGAAAGGCGTCGAGGTGTGTCGGGATTGAAAGCGGGGGGCCTGATGGGCGGAGAGAGACGACGGGAAGTAAAGTCCTTAAGAAACGGCGTTCACCACGCCGACGCGGTCGTATGGGGACCAGTGTGATGAGAACGCGCCTGCAGCGGCGCGGTGGCGCGTTTCAGGGACTCGAGCTGCGCGCCGAGGCCGTCGAGGAACTTTCGGCGCTCGTCGATGCCGTCCTGCAGACGCTTTCGCTTCGCCTGCGGTTATTTTGTTTTCGGGGGTGGGTGGGTGGGTGGGTTGTTTTTTCGCGCGGTGAGCGACGAGCGACGCGACGCGACGCGAGACGTTTAGGGTTGACGAATCGATTCGAATCTCGATCTCGGGATCTCGGGATCTCGGGATCGATCGATGATGGAATGATTCTCTTCGCACCTTGAGCTCTTTCTCCTCCTCGCACAGCGCCTTCCTCTCCGCGAGCTCGCTGCTCAGTCGCTTCAACATCAGCTCGTGAGGGTCTAACTCCCCTTCCTTGATCCCCTCTCGCTCCATGAACTCCTTGACGTCGCGCAGCCCGATCTCTTCGTCCGAGTACGCTGACGTGAAATCCTCGCACGCGCGTATCTCCTTCTGGATGTGCAGCTTCTCGTACAGGACGTTCTGCAGCTGGAGACGCGCTTCATCGAGCTCCGTCTTGTGCGCGCTCGTCCTCTCCCTGGTCTTCTCCAAATCGTTCAGGACGTCGCGGTTGACGGCGCGGATCTTCAGAAACGCGAGCGACGCGTCCGTCTTCGCGGCGAGGAAGGTGGGATCGTCCGCCTTCCCCGGTCCCACCGCCGCGAGGCGCTCCGCGCACGCGCGCAGGTCCGCGAGGATGACCTTGAGGTCGTCGAGGGTCCCGCGCGGCGCGGCCATCGCGGCGACGCGGCGAGACTGGAGACCTCACAGACCTCGCGCGGAGATCTCTGATGATCGAGAACGGCGCCACGACTTCTCGTACGGTCGATCAACCCTAAACCCGAACCCTAAATGTCCGACCGACCGAACCCGAATTACCGGAACCTCGGAAGCATCGTCAGCGTTTCTCGTCAGTGCTTATCCCCCCCGAAGCGCCGACGCGCCATCACTCCCGACCGGCGCGTCGGCGGTCCGGACGCGGCGGTCGTCGCGAAGGATGGGCGCGTGCGCGAGCAAACCTCCGAAGGAGATTAAGGCCGAGCCCGCGTTCCCCAGGGACGTGGACCCGGACACGAGCGGAAGCCGGTCGTCTCGCGCGAGCGGCGCGACGAACGATGGGAATAAACCCGAGCGCAGGCTCAGCAAGAAGGAGCTGAAGCGACAGCGCAAGGCGGAGCTCGCGGCGCTGCCCCCGGAGTACCACCAGCCCCCGCCGCCGCTCAAGTTCGGCGGCGCGGTCGTCATGCCCCCGCCGCCGATATCCCCGCGCCCGGGGGAGCACCCGGAGCCGACGAACCCGCGGATTTATTTCCACGCCTATCTCCTCCACTTGGCGCACGCGGTGTTAAAGCGCGACTACGACGACCAGGAGGCGCACATCGGGCACGCGCCCAAGGTGGACGAGACGTGGCAGCGCGCGATCGCGCGCGTGCGGTGCGACTTCACCGTCTACGTGAACGGGACGGAGCATCACGTGCGCTTCGACCACGAGGGGCCGCCGCCGTCGGACGTCAAGGCGTACCTGCGATCGGAGCCGGTGTGCGTCTTCGACGACGACGCGCTCGGGATGTACCATCCGGAGGTGCGATCTAAGCACGATAAGAAGGAGGACGCCGCGCTGCTCGCGGCGTTCGACCACGTCGTGACCGAGTGCATGCGAGAGCACAAGGAGCAGTTGGATCCGTACAGGGACATAGTCAGGGTGTGCGTGATATTCGACCTCATCACCGCGGTGGGCGCGAGGATCGAGCACGTGCACAGACACGAAGGGGGGCCGGACGACCGCGTGTGCGCGTATCAGATCGCCGCGCGACGGGTCAGGGGGTGGTGACGTATCGACGTATCGAGGTGAGGGAAATAACGTTTATTATTATTTCCGCGGGCGCGCGTCCTCGCGTCCTCGCGCGAAGACGGCGTCCGCGACGACGACTGTATTGCTAGTTACTATCACGACGGTAAGATTAAGACGTACTGTCAATTCACTTCCGCGCGTTTGTGCTCTCGAAGATGGGATCCGCGTTGCCCACCTCGAACCCGTCGCGTCGCTTCGCTTCCGTGATCGTCGCGTCGCCCGCGAACTGCGGCAGCGGTAGCCGCTCCGCGAACTCGACGTAGCACGACGGCACGTCGAGCGCGCCGCCGTCCTCGAACGTCACCGACGCGACGTCCGCGACGGTGGACGACTGCCGCAGCAATCCGTCGGGGGAGACTTTCACGACCGAGTCGTCCTCGGCGCCGTTGAGCGCGAAGCCGTACGGCGGCCCGCTCAACAGCGCGTTGACGTCCTCCAAACACGTCAGCACTTTGGCGGGCCTCTTCTTCTTCGCGTTATCATCAGCGTTATCATCAGCGTTATCAGCGTTCGCGTCCGCGTTCGCCTCGCCGCCATTCCCGCCGCCGCCCGCCGCCGCCGACTTCATCCGCCCCTCGACGTCCATCCGCTTCGCGCCCTCCGCGACCAACCGATGCACGCTCACCGCGACGTGATTCAACGAGTACCCGTGCACCAGCACCCACGCCGCGTACTCGCTCTCCGCCGCGAGCGTCTCGTAGTCCTCGCGCGTCGGGACCAGCGCGCCCCACGGGCGGCGCGACCCCGCGGCGGCGGCGGACGCGATGGCGCCCGGGACCTCCGCGGCGGCGGTCGTGTACTTCGCGACGACGTCTTCGGGGTGGAGTTGAAAGGCGTCAGTTGGAGTTGAAAGGCGTCGAGGGCGGGGATTGAAAGCGAGGTGTGGGCGGAGAGACGCGCGGGATGAGAAAGTCCTTAAGGATCGGCGTTCACCACGCCGACGCGGCCGTATGGGGACCGGCGTGATGAGAACGCACCGCGCGCCGCCGGCGACAGCCGGTCCGCGAGCACGTGCGATATAAACACGCGCGGATGCGTCGCGCACGGGTCGCCGCCCGGATCCGGATCTGGCGGGGCGTACCACCGCGCGAGGAGCTTCTTCTTCGGGAATCTCAGCTCGTCTCGCGGGACGTAGCCGAGGTCGAGGAAGACGCGCGCGACGGCGTCGACGCCGCACCCGTCGCGATCGAACGATCGGAACGCGAGGTGATCCCAGTGGACGTCCGCCGCGCCGTTCGGTGCCGCGGAGGCGAGCGCGTCGACGGCCGCGCGCGCGGTGGGGTTCCGAGCGAGGTACGCCTCGACAAAGCGCGATACCGTCGCGCGTATCGCGTCGTGGTCGACCGACGCCATCGTTCGTTCGTTCGTTCGCGGAGGAGGAGGAGGAGACGGAGGACGACGAGAGGAAAGCGCGTGAGATCGATCGACGCCGGCGGGGTCCGAGCTCACGACAACCACCGCCGGAGCTTGTTGTTGAAGGCGAACCCGACGGCGACGCCGAGCGCGAAGGACAGCGTGCAGAGCTTAGCGCACGTGGTCTCCGTGACCATGCACGGCGGGAGCGGGCGCGCGAGGCGGCGCGACGGCGTGTGAGGACTCGCTTCGCTGGAGGAAAAACCGACGAACTGGAAGAAAGCGCGGCCTGAGCCGCGGCCAGCTGTCGTGTTTTCGCCGCGCGCTGCGCCGCGCTGCCGCACTCTCCCCCGCGCGCCGCCGTCCGCCGCGCTCGGAGCGCGTCCGCCGCCGCGCCCTCCCGCCCCCCGATCTCGCGCCCGCGCGCTTCTCGCGATGTTCTCGTCCCCGCGCGTCGGCGGCGACGCGCGCGACGGCGCGCGGCTCTCGTCCCCGCTCGCGACGACGACGACGACGCCGGCGAAGACCGCGGAGGAGAACGCGCGCGTCGTCGAGGCGACGCCTCTGCGACGGACGACGCGACGGACGACGTCCACGCACACGTCGGACACGTTCGATAAGCTCGCGCCGAAGCCGGAGCGCGTCGACACCCCGCGCGCGTCCGAGGTGCGCGAGCGCGCGTCCAGTCCCGGTCCCCCTTCCTCGACCTCGTCGGCGTACAGTATCGGTCGTCGCTCTCTCTCTTCTTCGACGCTCACGCTCGCGCTCCGTCGTCCGCCGTCGCGCGTCGCCTCGCCCGCGCCGCCGCCGCCGCCGCCGCCGCCGCCGCCGCCGCGAACGTCCTCGTCCGCGCGCAACGACGCGCCGCGGACGCGGCGACGTCGATGCCCGCGCCGCCGCCGGCGTCGCTCGGGGCTGGACGCGGCGGGGGGAGACACCGATCGACGCGCGCGCTCGCGCTCGGCAAGGGAGGAGGAGGAGGCGGAGGAGGAGGAGACGACGAAGTCCTTAAGGAACGGCGTTCACCACGCGAACGCGGTCGTATGGGAACCAGTCACGCCGCCGCCGCCGCCGCCGACGCCGTCGACGCCGCGCGCGCGGACGCGCCCCCCGCGGCGACCCCGAAGCCGAAGCCGAAGCAGAAACCGAAGACCGCGACGGCGACGAAGCCGAAGAAGACGATCGCGAAGAAGAATACGGCGATGAAATCAACCCCGAACCCTCCGAAGAAGCGCTCGCGTCTGACGGCGGCGGAACGCACGCGCGAGCGGAACCGCGTCAACGCGGGCGCGAGCCGCGATAAGAAGGAGAACTACGTCCGGTACCTGGAGCAGAAAGCCGGGATATCGCCGCTGACGACGCAGGGGAGCAAGGAGCGGAGGGACGCGGTCGAGCGCGCGTGGGAGGAGACCGGCGGCGGCGGCGGCGGCGCGCTCGCGGGACGAAAGGAATAAATGATGACTGATGGCCACTTCGTGGAAAACGACAGATGGCTGGCCGTGAGGACGAGGGCGGCGTCGCGCGCGACGGCGGTCCGCGCTCGCCGCCGACGACGAATCGACGCTCACTGTAATGGCACTCGCGCGACGCGCGCGACCGAACCACGCCGCCGCGTCGACCCCCGCGCCGCCGCCGTCTCGTCGTCTTCGTCTTCCTCCGCCGTCGTCGTCAAAATCATCCTTCGACGCGTCGTTCGCCTTCTTCGCGCGGCGTTCCTCCGCCTCCTCGTCCTCCTCCTCCCCGCGCCGCCGCCGCTCGCGTCGTCGTCGTCGTCGAACCGCGCGACGGGCTCGCCCCCGTCCTCGTCGTCCGCGGGGTAATTATGCCCGTACCCGACGAACCCGCTCGCGACGCGCCCTTCCTCGATGTCGCCGTGATGATCTTCGTACGCGCCCTGATGCCACGGCAGCACCTCGCGGTTTCGTCGCGTCTCGACGACGTAGTTCTTTATCGCGAGGACCAGGCCGAGGAGAAGCGACGCGCACACGAGCGCCCTGGCCTTGCCCTTGACCTTCGGCACGCGCGGGCATCGCAGCCGGCGGAGGAGGCGACCCATCGTCCCGCGCGCGGCCGCGCGCGGACTGATCGTTCGGCCTACGGTTCGGCACATTATTTATTTCATCAACGCTCGCGTGAAGAGGAACGCCAGCGCCAGGCAGCACTCACAGCATCATCAAAACGATTCCTCTAGCTAGCTAGCGGTCTACTCGCGCTCGTCGTCACGCGAACCACAGGTTCCCCAACCGCCGTCTTCCCTTCGCCGCGACCTCCCCCCCCACGGCGTCGAACAGCGCGACGCACAACTCCCGCCCAGCGCTCTTATCCCCTCTCTTGACGATGTCCAGCGCCGCGTCGATTGCGGCGGCGCCGTCGCGCCGACGAAAAAAATACGTCAACGCGAGCTCGGCGCGTCGCGCGTCCGCGGCGCCGCCGTCGCCCTTCGCCGCCGCCGCCTCGATCGCGACCTTAATCGCGCTTATCTCCGCGTCGATAGAGTCGGCGTCGTCGCCGAAACCCGGTTTGACGCCCACGCCGCGCCGGAGTGCCTCCTCGACGAGCGTCACGACCGCCGTCGCGCGCGTCACATCCTCCGGCGTCGAAAAGTTATTTCCGTCGCACGCCGCGATCGCCGCCGTCAGCATCTCCTTCGCGCCGTCCACGTCCGGCGGGTCCGCGCGCGTCGCGCAGATCGCGACGCCGGCGTACGCCCTCGCGCGCGCCGCGGGGCCGGCGCCGCTGTCGCCGGCGAGGACGCGCGCGAACGCCGCGCCGGCGGCTGAGGGTCGTTCCATACGAGCGAACGGCGGGGTGGAGTTGAAAGGCGTCAGTTGGCGTTGAAAGGCGCCGAGGGCGGGGATTGAAAGCGGGGGGTGGGCGGAGAGAAACGCCGGCAAAAGTCCTTAAGGATCGGCGTTCACCACGCGAACGCGGTCGTATGGGAACCAGTGTATAGAACGCACCTGACGCGGCGGCGGCGTCCGCCGACGCCGCGAGGACGCCAAACGCGGCGGCGAGGACGGCGTCGGGGTCCGCGACGGGGCCCGCGCCCGCGTTAACGCCTTCATTTTGAGCGTTTTGACCACCAACATCACCACCACCATCACCCCCATCCCCGCCGCCGCCGCCTAACGCGGCGCTCTTCTCCACGTACGCCTTCAGCTGATCGTCAGGGAGCACGCCCTGAGGGTCGTTCCGTACGAGCGAACGTCGGGGTGGAGTTGAAAGGCGTCGAGGGCGGGGATTGAAAGCGAGGGACCCTGGGCGGAGAGAACCGCCGGGAAAAGTCCTTAAGGATCGGCGTCCACCACGCCGACGCGGTCGTATGGGGACCAGTGTGGACGTGAACGCGCCTGAAACGTGTCCACGAACTTCCCTCGGTGCATCGTCATCACCGTCGGCAACGACGTAATCTTCAGGTGGTCGCTCACGCTCGGGTGCGCGTCCACGTTCAACTTCACGAGCGTCAGCGTCCCGCGCGGCCGCGACGCGACGAGCGCCTCGAGCTTGGGCGTCAGCGTCTTGCACGGACCGCACCAGTCCGCGTAGAAATCGAAGATCAGCGGGATCCCTCGCGCGTCCGCGGCGTCGACGACGTCGCGGAGATCGCTCTCCTCGATGATCTCCACGACCGCGGGGAGATGCGGCGCGCTCGCGTCGGACGACGGAGGAGGAGGTGGTGGAGGAGGAGGAGGAGGCGCGGGCTGGGACGACATGCGCCGCGCGGAGCCCATCGCGACGGTCCACGACGACGATCGCGACGTGTTCGGGAAGAGATCATCATCGTGACGTCGTCGCGTCGACGACGCTTCGTCGGCGGCGTCGCGAGGAGGAAGTCGACGCGATCCGCGCGCGGGCGACGACGCGGCGACGGCGCGATGGGCTCCGCGCGCGGACGCGACGGCGTCGCGACCGCGTCGCGCGATCGACCGAAGCATCCCTGGAGCGCGCGAGTGTGTCGTGCGCGCGACGACGACGTCGACGACGACGACGACGAAGAACGCGAAACGAAAATGCTCGCGAACCGAAGAAAATGAATCAAACGATGGGTCCCTCGCCGACTAAACCCCCTCCTCATCACACATCACACCGCGCGCGCTCGCGTCGCCCGACGCGCCGCACACATACCGTACCGCACCGCACCGTCGTCCTCCCCGCGCGCCGCCGCGCCGGAGATAAAGAATCGCATTCATCGCGATCGATCGTCTCACGCAGAAATCATCTCTCACGCCCCCACGCTCTTCTGGAACGCGTTGATCTGGTCGAGGATGATGAGCGTGAACATCGCGTGCGGCGCGATGCGAACGTAATACGTCGGGAACCCGGTGTAAAACTTCAGCGGTCCGCCGCTCGCCATGGTCTTCCCGCAGCAGTCCATGAACCCCTTGAACGGCATCGTGCCGTCCGGAAGCGGCTTCTGCTTCTGCAGCTGCGTCTTGACGTAATCGAACGGCAGCGAGAAGAAGGAGGCGAAAAACCCGGCGATGGCGGAGGCGCCCAGCGTCTTCGGGAAGCCGGTTATGCCGTTCGCGTCCAACATCTCCTTCGCCTGGTCGTTGGACGCGAGCATGCCCATGTTGAGCGCCATCGCTCGCACCGCGGTCGTGGACGCGCCGACGAAGAGACCCGCGGGGCCGTCCTTCTTGACAATGTCCGTGAGCGCGTGCACGACGCCGGTGTAGTTTCGACGCTCCGCCGCCGGCAGCGTGCCGTCCGCTTGCATGCGGATGAGGGAGAGATCCGCGGGGGAGCCGAAAATCGCGCCGAGGCCGCCCGCGGCGAGGCCCGCGCCCGCCTTCTGCGCCAGCGGCAGCGGCGCGCCCTTGTTCTGTTCCTTCAGGAAGTCGACGATCTTCGCGTGGATGCCGAGGCGCGCCGTCGTGTACGTCGCCTGATGAGATGAGATTGGTCGTCGAGGGAAGCCGCGTGACACGTGTCAGTCACGCGTGATGTGATTGGTGGATATCATTCCCACGTGTCGAAACGAACGTGAGATCGACGGCGCGCGTGAGGAAAGAACGCCTTACGAACGAACGCGGTCGTACGGGGACCAGTGCGAGGACGACTGACTACGAGTCGGACGCGCCTGACGCAGGAGCCCCGCGGAGAGGCCGGTGTAGAGCGCGCCGAACCCTTCGTTCTTGATGATGCCCGCGGCGACGCCGAACGGACCGCCGGTGGAGCCGAGCTGGAGGCGGACCTGCGGGGGTGATTGTTTCGAGGGAGGCCGGCGGGCGGGCGGGGCGGGAGAGACGGTCAACACACGCGAGCGAGGAGGAAAACGATGCGCGATGAAGACGGCGCGTCGTTTCGGGGGCGCGGTGGCGGCCGCGCGGCGACGCGCGCGCGATCGCGCGTCTCCGCGCGGCGTCGCCCGCCGGCGCGCGTCGCCGCGCGTCGCGGGGGCCTCCGCGTCGCGCGCGCGGTCGATCCGCGGCGGCGGCGACGCGGCGGGAAGGCGGAGGAGAGGGGGCGACGCGCGCGCCGACGCTCGGACGGCGGACGCCGCGCGACGAAAAGGTGAGGTTTTATGCCCGATCGATCCGATCGATCGCTCGCTCGCTCGATCGGAGGCGCACCTTGACGATGTCCAGCGGCTGGATCACGCACGTCGCGCCCATGCCGGAGAGGCCGCCGTTCATGAACGGCTTGACCGCCTTCCAGACTTCGTTGTCTTTGAGAGCCATTTCGATCGGTGTGCGGCGGCGTCCGGAGTCTCGCTCGGGGATGAATGAATGAATGCCGCGAGAGGCGCGACGACCGCTCGAGCCCGCTCGCCGCAAGTTTTCAATAATCAGATCTGGCGCGCTCGCGTGCCGCCGACTTGAGACAGACACGCGCTACGCGCTTACAATGCGGTCGGTCGACAAAAGAGGTTTTTTCCCGTGACGAGCCGCGCCCACCCATCTCGAGGCGCGCCGTTCGGACGCGCGAGAAGAGGACGCGCCCGCGCGGTCGAGCCGAGCCCGAGGTCGCGCTCCGCGCGCGCTCGGACCGTCGAATCGAACGCCGAGTCGACCGCGCGCATCGACCCCGGATCTGAGCGAAGAGGCGTCGGGGCGACCGATCGATCGAGAGCGAGAAAGACGACAAACACCTCATCAACAGGCCCGCCCGCCGATCGACCTAAACCACCTCGACCGCGCGAAGATCGAAGATGGTGCTCGGCGAGCTCGGCACCGCGCTCGCGGGCGCGCTGAAAAAGCTCGGCGAGCACACGGTCGTGGACGAGGAGATCATGGAAGCGTGCCTGAAGGAGGTCACGAGGGCGCTGCTCCAGGCGGACGTCAACGTGCAGTACGTGGTCAAGATGAAGGCGCGTTCTATACACTGGTTCCCACACGACAGCTTTCGCGTGGTGAACGCCGATCCTTAAGGACTTTGCCCGGCGTTCCTCTCCGCCCAGGGTCCCTCGCTTTCAATCCCGACACACCTCGACGCCTTTCAACTCCATCTGACGCCTATGAACTCCACCCCGACGTTCGCTCGTATGGAACGACCCTCATCAGAAAAACATCGTCAAGCGCGTCAACATCAACGAGCTCGCCGCGGGGCTGAACGCGCGGAAGCTGCTCGAGAAGGCGGTGTTCACGGAGCTGGTAAACATGCTCGAGGGAGAGGGCGCTCAAAACGCTCAAAACGAAGGCGTTACTACGAAGAGGGAGAAGTACGCGCCTAAGAAGGGCGTCCCGAACGTCGTCATGTTCGTCGGGCTGCAGGGATGCGGCAAGACGACGACGTGCACCAAGTACGCGCATCACTACCAGAAGAAAGGTTTCAAGCCCGCGCTCGTGTGCGCAGACACTTTCCGCGCGGGGGCGTTCGATCAGCTGAAGCAGAACGCGACGAAAGCGCGGATACCGTTTTACGGATCGTACACGGAGACGGATCCGGCGAAGATCGCGAGCGACGGCGTCGAACGGTTCAAGGCGGAGAAGAACGATCTCATCATCGTCGACACCTCCGGGCGGCATAAGCAAGAGTCCGCGCTGTTCGAGGAGATGCGCGCGGTCGCCGAGGCGGTCAACCCGGACATGACCATCTTCGTCATGGACTCCTCGATCGGCCAGGCCGCGTCCGATCAGGCCGCCGCGTTTAAGAACACCGTGGACGTCGGCTCCGTCGTCGTCACCAAGTTGGACGGTCACGCCAAGGGCGGCGGCGCCATCTCCGCGGTGGCCGCGACGCGCGCGCCGATCGTCTTCATAGGCACGGGCGAGCACATCGACGAGTTCGAGGCGTTCGACGCGAAGCCGTTCGTGTCGAGACTACTCGGCTTGGGCGATTGGACCGGCTTCATAGACAAGATCGCCGACGTCATCCCCGCGGATCAGCAGCCTGAGCTGTTGGATAAGCTCGCGCAAGGGCAGTTCACGATGCGCATCCTGTACGAGCAGTTCGCGAACATCCAGAAGATGGGGCCGATGTCCGCGGTGATGTCTATGATCCCCGGGTTCGGTAACGACGTCATGCCGAAGGGTCAAGAGAAGCAATCGCAGGCGAAGATAAAGAGGATGATGTGCATGATGGACTCGATGACGGACGAGGAGCTGGACACGACGTCGCTGAAGCTGCTTCAAGACCCGAAGCGCATGGAGCGCATCGGACGAGGCGCGGGGCGGTCGCCGATGGACGTCGTAGAGTTGATCGAGGAGTACAAGCGGCTGGCGAAGATGATGGGGAAGATGAAAGGGTTGAAGGCGCCGAAGAAGGGCGGGTACGGCCAGTCGCAGGCGCTGAATCAGGTGCGCGGCGTACGGTCGCGTTTGTTTTGTTTTTCACCCGCAAGCAGTCCCTCGGTTTCAACACTCGATCGCGTGGGTCCCTTTCAACTGACCGATGAACTATTGAACTTTCATCAGAATCTGGCGCAGATGGCGCAGGCGATACCTCCCGGGATGCTGAAGCAGATGGGCGGCATGGGCGCGCTGCAGGGGATGATGAAGCAGCTCGAGGGGAAGGATATGGGGGAGATGGAGAAGATGATGGGGAAGATGATGGGGGGCGGGGGGAGGAGGTAGGTAAGGTTAGCGGAGAAGTTCGATCGACTCGACGGGAGAGTAGAAAGATTTGGCAGTGCCAAAATAAACTTGTCATCATCATCGTCCCTCGGGAAAAAAACACACACGGTGACCCTCGTCGACGTCGTCGTCACAGCGCAGCGAGCGTCCCCGTCGCTATTCTCGCCGCGCGGCGCGCGCGAACGACCCTCCTCCCTCTTCGCGAGGCGCGCGCGGAGGGATAGCGCGTCGCGCGTCGTCGTGAATGCGCGGCGGAGGCGCGGCGGTCATCGCTCGACGCGTCGTCGTCCTCTGTTGGATTCCGCGCGGGGGGTCGTCGTCTCGCGTCTCATTGACATCTCGCGGAGGAGGCGCCGCGGCGCGCGCGACGGCGGGGATGACGACGTCGGCCGCCGCCGCCGCGGCGCGCGCGCCGCTCGGCTCGACGCACCACCGCGCGCGCGCCGCGCGTCTCCTCCTCCGTCCGCCGCCGTCGCGGAGTCGCGCGCCGTCGCCGCCCGTCGCGCATCGGAGTTCTCGACGATCCTTCGCGCTCGTGTCGACGTCGTCGGCGTCCGATGATGCAAAAACATCACCCGAAGAGGACGCGTCCGAGGACGCGCCAGGCTCCGATAAAGCGACGCTCGCGGAGAACGCGCGATGCCCCGGGACGGTGATCACCTCTCAGGCCAACTTCCTGCGCGTCGTCGTCAAGCCGGACGCGATGACGCCCGCCAAGCGCTCACTCCGCGACGCGCAGTTCGACGAAGCCATCGCGCGCGCCTCCGCGGCGCGACGCGACGACGACGTCGCGCGCCTCGAGCGCCGCAAAGCCGACCACGGCCCGCACGAGCTCCTGTGCGTCGTCCGCGCGCTCCTGAAGAAGATCAAGCAGCGCGTCCTCGTCGGCGACGGCGTGGACGTCAACACGATCGACTGGGTCGACGGCCGCGCCGTCGTGGAGCACGTCCACGCGCGCTCGTCCACGGTGCGCTCTATACACTGGTCCCCATACGACCGCGTCGGCGTGGTGCACGCCGATCCTTAAGGACTTTCCCCGTCGTCACTCTTCACCCGCGCTTCCCTTTCAACGTTTGACCGGTAAGACGTTCGACTGACCGATCGCTTCACCCACGCAGCTGCTGGATCCGCCCGTCGCCAACGTCGACCACGCGCTGCTCGTCTTCGCGCTCGAGCGTCCGCCGCTCGAGCCGAAGCAGCTCACGCGGTTCCTCGTGTCCATGGAGCATACGAACGTGCCGTTCACGCTGGTGCTGAACAAGTGCGACCTGGTGAGCGCGGAGGCGCGCGCGGATTGGGACGCGAGGTTGGAGCAGGCGCGTTCTATGTCATCACGCTGGTTCCCATGCGACCGCGTCGGCGCGGTGAACGCCGATTCTTAAGGACTTTTGTTCCTGGCGCATCTCTCCGCCCAGGGTCCCTCGCTTTCAATCCCGACACCCCTCGACGCCTTTCAACTCCGCTTCTGACGTCTTTCAACTCCACCCCGACGTTCCAGTGGGGGTACCGGCCGCGGTTCGTGTCGGTGGCGACGGGGGAAGGGATCGACGCGCTCGAGCGCGAGCTCGCGTCGAGGGAGAAGACGCGGGCGACGACGACGAGCGGAGAGGGAGAGGAAGAGGAAGAGGGCGGCGGCGGCGGCGACGAAGAAGGGACCAACGCGGGCGATCTGAACGAGGGCGTGACCGTCCTCGCGGGACCGTCCGGCGTGGGGAAGAGCTCGCTCATCAATCGCCTTCGCGCGGGGAGCGCGCTGGCGGAGGCGCTGGCGGCGGCGGGCGCGATGGGGGGCGCCGACGGGGGTGCCGACGGGGGTGCCGACGGGGGTGCCGACGCTGACGAGGACGAAGATACCTACGACGACGACGACGACGTGGAAGAATACGGCGCACCGTCCACGTCAGCACCTGTGAGCACGAGTAAGATCACGGACGTGGACATCTCCGGCGGCGGCGGCAACGCGCGCTCGGGGATCCGCGTGGAGGGGCTGACGGACGCGTCGGGCGCCGCGGTCGACCTGCAGGCGCGTTCTCCTCACACTGGTCCCCATACGACCGCGTTGGCGTGGTGAACGCCGTTCCTTGAGGACTTTTCTTCCCGGCGCATCTCTCCGCCCATCAGGGTCCCTCGCTTTCAATACCCGACCCTATGACGCCTTTCAACTCCGCTTCTGACGCCTTTCAACTCCACCCCGACATTCATTCTCTCGCATCAGTCCGTCGGCGCCGTCTCCGCGAAGTACGGCAGAGGGAAGCACACGACGCGGCACGTGACGCTGCTGCCGCTGCGGAGCGGGGGTTTGCTCGCGGACACCCCCGGGTTCGGGTATCCGTCGCTGCAGACGCTGACGCCGACGACGCTGGGACGGTGCTTCCCGGAGGCGCGTTCTACGTCATCACACTGGTCCCCATACGACCGCGTCGGCGCGGTGCACGCCGATCCTTAAGGACTTTCTCTCCCGGCGCGCGTTTCTCTCCGCCCAGGGTCCCTCGGTTTCAATCACGACCCCCCGCGACGCCTTTCGACTCCGTCTGACGCACCCCTGAACTCCACCCCGACGCGTCGCCTCGTACGGGCAAACGCCCTCGTCATCAGATTCGAAACGCGCTCGAGAGGAGCCGATGCAAGTTCGCCGACTGCACGCACCGCGACGAGCCCGGGTGCGCGGTCGACGCGGAGGAGCCGTGGGAGGAAGGCCGGTACGACGCGTACGTGGACTTGTTCGACGAGTGCGAGGCGATCGAGAAGCAAGAGCGCGAGCGCGGGTACGCGCGAGAGAGCACGGTGAGGTACAAATCCGGAAAGGGCGGCGGCGGCGGCGGCGGCGGCGGCGGCGCGGGGAGAGGACGCCGCGGCGGAAGTCTCCAGGGTGTCGGCGGCGGCCGAGGCGGCGAGCTCGCGAAGGGCGCGGAGAGCTTGCGCGGGGGGCAATCCCCCGGCGCGATGCGCATGGAGGCGAAGCTCGAGACCAAATCGCATCGGAGGCAGTCGCGACGCGCGAGAAACATGGAGACGGAGGCTCGGCTGAGAGACGAGATGGTGGAGGAGGAGGAGTGGAGGGAGGCGATCGAGGAGGCGGTCGCCGCGGAGTTTGGCGAGAGCGAGAGCGAGAGCGATGTGGAGAGAGAGCGCGAGTAGGCGAGTAGGCGCGGCGTCCGTCGCGATGCGAGCGGCGCGTCGCTATGAGTGAAACCAAATCGTTCTGATGATGACTTTCCGACAACTGACAGGGCCTTCCATACAAAAAAAGTTCACCGGTTAGTTGAAAGGGGACGCGATCAAGTGTTGAAACCGATCGATGGGTGAAAAACTTTTGTATCTGAGAACGCACCTGAAGGAGCGCCGACAGCCGGACCAGAATCCTGTCGATCCCGGGATCGCGCGCGCCACAAGGCGCCGCGCCGCGCGATGGACGAACCCGACCCCCCCGGCTCCCCGCCGGCGTGGGAGGGCGTCATAGACTGGCGCATCGATCGGTTCCTCACCGCGTGGCAGCGCGGGCGCAAGCACTACAGCGACGTCGTTCGCGTCGCGGGATGCCCGTGGAGGCTGTCGTTGTACCCGCGAGGGAACGCGCGCGTGGACGGCGCCGTCGGCGCGGGCGCTGGGAAGGGTACGCCCGGGAAGAACGAGCACGTCGGGCTGTACCTGGAGGCCACGGACGCGGGCAGCGCGCCGAGCGGATGGCGGCGTCACGTGGAGTTCAAGCTCGAGGTCGTCAACCAGGTCCGTCGCGGGGTCGCCGCGCGGTCGCGTCGTCGCGGCGTCCGTCGTCCACGCCATGCCATGCCACGTCCCGTCCTTCTTCCGTCGTCGTCGACGACCGATCGTCGCCCGCCGCGTCGTCGCCCTTCCCGCGTCGTCCCCCACCTGACGCCCTCCCCGCTCCCAAATCCTCCCGCGCGATCTCATCTCCTCCTCCCCGGCCCCGCCCCGCCCCGCCCCGCGCGCAGCTCGACCCGTCGCGCTCGGTGTGGCGCAGCGGCGTGCACGCGTTCGACGCCGACACGTCCGACGGGACGTGGGGATTCGCGCAGGCGAGTCCTACTAGCATCACTGCACTGGTCCCCGTGCGACCCCGTTCGCGCGGTGGACGCCGATCCTTAAGGACTTCTTGGACTTTTCCGCCCGGCGCGCGTATCTCTCCGCCCGCCTCTCGCGCGCGCTCCCGGCGCGCCTCGACGCCTCGCGACGCCGCCCGACGCGACCCCGAACGCACGTCGTTCCGTTCGCCCCGACGACTGACAAAAATTCCTCCCGTCGATCGATCATCCCGCAGTTCGTCTCGTGCGCCGCCGTCCGCGCGACCGACTCCGGCTTCCTCAGCGACGACGGCGCGGAGACCCTCAACGCGCGAGGACGCGTCATCGTGCGATGGAAGCGCGAGGGGTGCGATCTCGACGGCGGAAATCTCGACGGCAAAAATGCGAAGGCGGCCGCCGGCTCGCCGCTCGCGACGTACGCGTATCCCACCGACCCGAGGTGCGTTCTATGTCACACTGGTCCCCATACGACCGCGTTCGCGTGGTGAACGCCGATCCTTAAGGACTTTCCCCGGCGTCTCTCTCCGCTCATCCCTCGGTTTCAATCCCCGTCCTCGACGCCTTTCAACTCCGCCTACTGACGCCTTTCAATAGAGCGCATCTCGCCGACCCGGACACCGGTCTCGGGCTCCCCGACCGCATCAAAGCGACGTACCGCGCGCAGGGGCTCGGGGAGACGTCGAAAGCGATCCCCGGGTCGATCCTGGACGCCGCGCACGACGCGCCGTACGGGGGGTTTGATTCGGGAGAGGGCACGGCGGGGACGGGGACGGGGACGGGGACGGGGACGGGGACGGGGACGGGGACGGGGACGGGGACGCGCGGCGGCGGGAAGATCTCGACAGCCATGGAGAGGGAGCGAGAGGACTTCTCGCGTCGGCTGCGTCGGATTCGCCGCGAGGGGCTTCGCGCGGAGGCGGCGACGGGGTTGTGGACGGCGGCGCTGTGGCGGACGACGCGAAGCGATCGGAGACGCCACCGCGGGCGCGACGGTCCCGGCAAGGGGAGCGGTAAGGGCGGCGCTGAGGTGCGTTCTATACACTGGTCCCCATACGACCCCGCTGGCGATGTGGACGCCGATCCTTAAGGACTTTTGCCGTCGTCTCTCTCCGCCCACCCCCCCCTTTCAATCCCCGCCCTCGGCGCCTTTCAACTCCAACTGACGCCTTTCAACTCCACCCCGATATCATCGCTCGTATAGAACGCCCCCGACGAGAGGACGGAGCGAAGAGTGCACTGGCAGACGATGGCGATGTGCGACGGGTTCATCACGGACGCGCTGATCCGCCTGTCGCGCGCGTGCGCGGACGCGCACGCGGACCCGAGGGTGAACGAGGCGCTGCCGGACGACCCGGACGGGTTCAAGAACGTCCTCAGGGCGGACATGGAGCGCGAGGACGAGGAGAAGGCTGAGAAGGCTGCGAGGGAGAATGTCCAAAAAGAAGACGACGGCGGCGGCGGCGGCGGCGGCGGCGGCGGCGACGACGGCGGGGAGATCGCGCCGCGCCCGGACGCGGCCGGCATGCGCTCGTTAAACAAGACGCGTCTCAACGCCGCGGTCGAGAAGCTGCACCCGGACTGGGGCGCGCCCGAGGCTCCCGAGGGCGGGTGGCCTGAGATCACCCCCGCGAGTCACGGCAGGCGCGTTCTTTCTACTCGCACTGGTCCCCATACGACCGCGTCGGCGTGGTGAACGCCGATCCTTAAGGACTTTTGTTCCTGGCGTGTCTCTCCGCCCAGGGTCCCTCGGTTTCAATCCCCGCCCTATGACGCCTTTCAAATCCTCTTCTGACGCCTTTCAACTCCACCCCGACATTCGCCGGCAGGCTGCACGCGTCGCTGTGGGACCCGGTCGGGTACGAGGCGATGCTGAAGTCGAAGCGACTCGGCGGCGCGGACGCGGATTCGAATTCAAAAACGACAGCGACAGGTGCTACGGATGGTGGCGGCGGCGGCGGCGGCGCGCGCGGCGGCGGCGGCGGCGGCGGCGCGCGCGGCGGCGGCGGCGGCGGCGCGCGCGGCGACGACGCGCGCGGCGACGACGCGCGCGACGCGTCGTCGTCGAGCGCCGCGTCGTCGTCCGATCGCGATCTCGGCGATCGCGACGACGACGGCGACGACGCGGTCGATTGGGCGAGTAGATTGGACGCGCTCGATTGGGCCGCCGCGCGCAGGCACGTTTGTCCCCCGCCGATTGGCATCTCCACCACGAACTTCGAGCGCCCGTCGGGGCGCGGGCCGCTCGGGGTGTTACACGTCGCCGCCGCCGTCGGGAGGGTGTTCCCGAAGCACCTCGCGGCGAAGATCGCCGTCTACGCCATCAACGCGTTGGAGGAGATCGCCACCGCGGCGCGCGGCGACGGCGATGCAAATTCAAAAACGACAGCGACAGACGCCGAACCTCCCGCCGAACGTCCGTACCGGCTCTTGTTCGACGCCCAGTGCGTCTGGGACGCCGCGCTGACGCTCGCGATGTGCGGCGGCAAGGGCGCCAAGGCGTGTTACCCCGAGGTGCGTTCTATGTCACACTGGTCCCCATACGACCGCGTTCGCGTGGTGAACGCCGATCCTTAAGGACCTATCCCGGCGTCTCTCTCCGCTCGCCCCACGGTTTCAATCCCCGCCATCGACGCCTTTCAACTCCGCCTACTGACGCCTTTCAACTCCACCCCAACGTCGCTCGTATGGAACGACCCAAAGGGCGACGCCGCGAAGCCCGTGCTCGCGGACGTCGCGGCGTCCGCGACGCTGCCGCTCGCGACGAACGCGGCGAAGCTGTACCTGTGCGCGGTGCTCGAGGCGTGCGCGGCGGAGCTCGTGGACGCGGCGTTGGAAGCGGCGGCGAAGGCGACCAAGGCGGGTGCGGTCGCGGCGCGAGCCGGTAAGGGCGTCGACGCGGGGAGTAAAAAGAACGGCGGCGGGAGCGGGTCCGGGTCTGGGTCAGGTGCGTTCTATACAAAAGTTTTTCACCCATTGTCCGGTTTCAACATTTGATCGTTTCCCCTTTCAACTGACCGGTGAACCGTTTTTGTATGGAATGGCCCTCAGGGTCTGGGTCCGGCGCGAGCAGAGATACCAAAGGGGACCCTCCGGGGACGTGTAACATCGTCATCGAGAAGTGGGAGGGATCGCCGGAAGCGCGCGAGCGGTTTAAGACGCACTTTAAGATTCGCGACGTGACCAAGTTTGAGAAGGTTTTGAATCGCTTCTGCGAACGGCAAAAGCTGGACGTCGAGACGCAGCATCTCGCCATCTCTCTCGACGGCGAGCACATCGACGGCGCGGTGGAGTTGTCGTGCTGCGCGGACGACTACGACCTGCGAGACGGCGCGATCTTGTACGCGTGCGACGGAAACGTAAAGCACCAGCGCATGTCCTCTCTGCGGTGCGGCCTGCGGTATGGGGGGGAAAAGACCGCCGCCGCGAGAGAAGCCGACGGAAGAGACTCGGCTGAAAAACCCAAAAAAGCACACGCGGATGAAAACGCGGACGTCATCAACGCGGACGAAGAAAGTATCATCGTCGCGCTACCGTCGCACCTCGCGCTCGCGCTCCGCGCGGACGAGGAGCTCGGCGCGCAGACCGCGGCCGGGGCGGCGATGCCGTACGCGGGCGTCTCGTACACGGCGCTGTTGGACCTCTACGCGCCCAAGCAAGCGCCGCTGGCGTCCGGGTGAGACAGACTGCTTCCCATACGACCGCGCGCGCGCGGTGAACGCCATTCCTTGAGGACTTTCCCCGTCGTCGCTTTTCACCCGCACCTCCCTTTCAACGTACGTTTGACCGGTGATACGCGCGACTGACCGACGCGTTCGCCCGCCCGCCCTCGATCGATCGATATCCATAGGAAATCGTCCAAGACGGCTCAGCGGAAAAAAGCCGACGCCGCGCTCGATAAGGAATGGGAGAAGGCGCTGCGTAAGAAGGCGAAAGAGGCCGAGGCCGCGCGCGTCAAGAAGGAAGAGAAGCTGCGCAAAGACCGCGAGAAGGAGCGACGCCGGGTGGAGAAGGAGGCGCTGCGGCGCGAGAAGGGCGATAAGGGCGCGAGAGGATCGCCCGGCGGCGGCGGCGGCGGCGGCGGAGGTGAGACTGCTTCCCATACGACCCCGTTCGCGATGTGAACGCCGTTCCTTAAGGACTTTTCCCGTCGTCACTCTTCACCCGCGCTTCCCTTTCAACGTTTGACCGGTAAGACGTTCGACTGACCGATCGCTTCACCCACGCAGGCGGGTCCTCCGGGGACGGCGGCGGCGCCCGGTCGGTCGATCCCGCCGCGGCGCAGCCGGAGGTGGTGCAGCTCATCGCGTCTCGGTACCGCGAGCGCATCATCGCGAAGGAGAAGGCGGGCGGCGGCGTCGGGGAAGGCGGCACCGGGATCGGCGGCACCGGGCGATCGATCCTTCGGTGCGCGGCGGCGACGCCGCCGTGGTGCGAAGGGGTAGTAGGAGGCCCCGACGCCACTTCCGCGTGCGCGTGCGGAGAAGTCATCCCCGAGCTCTCCGACGCGTTCGCCGCCGTGGAATGCCTCGCGCCGTTGTCGTGCTACGCGGTGTTTCGATGCGAGCGCGGGTGCGTCTACGCGACGCACGTGCGATGCTTCGAGGACTGGTGCCTCGCGGGACGCGCGCTCGGCAGCGGCGGCGCCGATTGGGACGAGCCGCGGCGGATCCTCGAAGCCATGTCGAAGAGCGAGCCGGACGCGCGTGTCCCGCCGGAGCACGTGGTGGACGCGGTCGTCGCGGCCGCGTGCTACTTCAACAGTGTGAACGTTTCTTCTAACGATTCGAATTCGAACGCCGCCGACGCGGCCACGAAAAAGGCGACGTGTCTGACGCCCGGGTGCGGCGGGACGTTGACCTCGGGCGAACGCGTCGAGAAGGGCGTCGCCGCGAAGGACCTCCTGGTCGCGCCGCTCGAGCTCGACGCGGCGGAGAGAGACCGTCGTGAGCGCGTCGGCGACGCTCTGAGCGCTTCCGACGGCGGCGAGAACGGGGGGGTCTCCTCTCCCGGGGGCCCACCGTCGAGCGCCATCGAGCCCGCGCCCGCGCTCACCGACGAGGAGTTCCTCGCGCTCGCTGCGAAGCGCGCGGCGGAGGAAGCGGAAGCGGAGGCGAAGCGCGAGGCGGAGGCGGAGGAGAAGCGGCGTCGGCTCGCCGCGGCGAAGGCGAAGGCGACCGCGGCGGCCAAAGCGGCGAAGGAGAAGCTCAGGGCGGAGCGGGAGGCGATTCAGCGCGAACAGCAGGAGCTGAAGGCGATGAAGGAGCGCGCGAAGCGCGAGCGCGCGGAGTTGGAGGCTCAGAGGAAAGCCGAGAGCGAAGCCGCGCTGCTCGCCGCCGCGGAGGCGTTTTCGGAGCAAGAGGAGGAGGAAAAGCGCGCGGCCGCGGCGCGAAAGGAAAAGCAGAAGGCGAAGAAGGAGCGGCGGAAGCTGGAGAAGCGCAATGCGGTGGCCTCTGCCTCCGCGGCGGCGGCGGCGACCGACGGCGGCGTCTCCGCGGAGCCCGCGCCGGCGGCGCCCGCGGAGACGTCGCCGCCGACGTCGCCCGGTTCCGCCGCGAGAGCTCGCGACGCCCGGGATCCCGCGTCCCCCGGCGGCCGCGTCGAACGCATGGGCGGCGGAAATGCAAACGCGCGCGGACGCCGCTCGCTCATCGAGCGACTCCGCGCCGCGCGAAGGGTGTACGTCACCGGACTCCCCGCCGTGGACGCCGCGCAAGCGCTGATGGCGTTCTTTTACGATCAGGCGCGTTCTATACACTGGTCCCCATACGACCGCGTCGGCGTGGTGAACGCCGATCCTTAAGGACTTTGCCCGGCGCATCTCTCCGCCCAGGGTCCCTCGCTTTCAATCCCCGCCCTCGACGCCTTTCAACTCCAACTGACGCCTTTCAACTCCACCCCGACATTCGCTCGTATGGAACGACCCTCAGCTCGCGCCGACGCACGGCGAGAACGTCCTCAGAGAAGGCCGCGTCCGCGCCGCGCCGAACCTCTCAGGGTCCGACGGCGACTCATCGCGCGCCGCGTTCGTCGCGCACGTCGAGTTCTCTACCGCGTCCGCGGCCGCCACCGCGCTCCGGCTGGACGCGCGCGCGCCGGACGGGTCGCCGCTCGCGTTGAGGCCGTCGCCCGACGCGCCGCGCGCGTTTTCCGAGCCGACGCGCGAGGTGAGACTGCTTCCCATACGACCCCGTTCGCGATGTGAACGCCGTTCCTTAAGGACTTTTCCCGTCGTCACTCTTCACCCGTGCTTCCCTTTCAACGTCTGACCGGTGAGACGTTCGACTGACCGATCGCTTCACCCACGCAGGTCACCGACGCGCTCGACGCCGCGATCGACGCGGGGGTGGTGTCCCCCGCGGACGTCGACGACGACGCGTGGGAGGCGCTGCACCTGTGCACGACCGAGGCGGCGACGTACGCGCTGGGGTTGATGCTCAAGACGGGCGTCGTGGGGGACTGGAGGGAGGGGTTGCCGGAGTGGAGCAGAGTCGGCGGGTGCGACAGGCGCGTTCTATCTCACACTGGTCCCCATACGACCGCGTCGGCGCGGTGAACGCCGTTCCTTAAGGACTTTCGTTCCCGGCGTGTCTCTCCGCCCAGGGTCCCTCGGTTTCAATCCCGACACACCTCGACGAAGGCCTTTCAACTCCGCTTCTGACGCCTTTCAACTCCACCCCGATATCATCGCTCGTATGGACCCTCGACCCTCACAGCGCGTTCGTCGCGGCGTTGGAGTGCGCGGAGGTTGGTCTGCACGTGAAACGGCACGGGCTCCAGGCTGTCGGCACCCTGCAGGGCATACCGGGCGGCGCGCGATCCCCGGGCGCGGCGCGCGCGTCCCAGTCGCAGTCGCAGTCGCAGTCGCGCGTCGTCGGGGTCGGGGCCGGGGTTGGGGTCGGGTCGTCGCCGGTGGAGCACGTCGCGCGCGCCGTCGAGCGCGCGCGCGTCGACTTCGACGCGTTCGTCGCGAACGCGAACGCGAACGCGAACGCGGCGCGCTACGACCACGGCGTCGCGCAGACGACGACGACGACGACGACGACGAATTCGCCCCCGCCCCCGCCCCCGCCCCGACCCGCGGTGGTCACGACGCACGCGCACTGCGAATGGATCACGAATAACCCGGACGTGCGCGCGCGGTGGTCCGACCCGGATCCGCGCGTCGGCGGTACATGCGTCAGCTGCGGCGCGTGCGTCCCCGAGGCGCACGGACCGGACTGCGAGGTCCCGGCCGCGGCGCCGGGTCCCGCGGACGGCGCGCTCGCGATTCTGGGGCCGACGTGGCACCCCCCCGCGATCTGCCGCGGGATCGGATACCCGAGGGCGTTCGAGCGCGCCCCGCCGGACCCGCCGCCCGCCGCCGCGCCGCCGTCGTGGCCCGGCGCCACCGCCGCGCGGACGCGTCAGAGCGTCGCGCCGCCGCCGCCGGGATTCGTCGTCGGGATCCACGCAACGCGCGCGCCTCCCCCCCAGGGGCCGCCGCCGCCGCCGTTGGGGGACTGGGCGACCGCGAGGACCGACGCGCTGACGCGGACGCCGCCGCCGCCGCCGCCGCCGACGCGCGCGCCGCCGCCGCCGCCGCCGCGCGCGCCGCCGAGTCATCATCAACATCATCATCATCAGGCGCCGCCGCCGCCGCTGACGCACTCCAGCGTCGTCGTCCCGCCGCCGCGCGCGCTGCCCGTCGCGCTGACGCACTTCGGGGACGACAGCGACGACGACGACGAGGACGTCTGCCCGATCTGCGCCGAGTGCATGGATGACACGGACAAGGCGTTTTTTCCGTGCGCGTGCGGGTTCCAGTTTTGTTGCTTCTGTTACAACAGGATGAAGGAGGACTTCTTGGAGCAGTTTCGGTGCCCGGCGTGCAGGGCCGCGTTCGGGGAGGAGGGAGAAGACGGAGAGCGCAGCGACGACGACGGCGACGACGACGATTCCGATAACCGCGAGGAGGAGTGACGAGGAGACGCGAGACGGCGCGGCGCGGCGTTTTTCCTCGCGTACGTCGCGTATTTTTTTTTACATGGTAAGTTCGATGTGTTGGCGTTTTCTCGCCACGCGGTCTAATCGCGCGGGACACCGCGCGCGACGCGACGAACGCTCACGAGAGCGTGCCCTCGGCGAAGTGCATCAAACACTTCACCTTCGCGGTTTCGAAATCCGCGTCGGAGATGAGCTCCTTCTCTCGCATCGCCTTCAGCGCGCCGATCCTCGACTCCAACAGCATCGCCTGCAGCTCCGCCGTCTTCGCCCCGGCCTGTGCGTCGTTGACGCCGCCGCCCGGGGATTTCGAGCGAACCATTCTCGCCGACCCCGTGCGACCCCGCGGAACCGCCCCCTCTTTCCTCTCCCTCGGCTTCGCCGCCGCGCGCGGCCGCTTCGCCGGCGGGGTCACCCTGTGGACCTTATTCCTCTCGTACAGAATCTCCCCGGCCTCTTTCACGAAATTCACCGGTCTTCGCTTTTGCAACCTGCGCGCCGCGGGGGCGAGAGGTGGAGCGGGGCGGAGCGGTCGTCAGAAGGAAGGAAGGAAGGAAGGATCCGAAGACGAAGCCGCGGCGAGAGAAAAGAAAAAGAAAGGCGCCGAAAGAATAAAAGAAGCGTCGCACCCGAGACGTCGAATGAGATCGTCGTACGCCCGCGCGGCGCTCTCCGCGGTGTCGAAGTTCCCCGGGGCCCTGTGCGCGACGCCGTCGTGGTTGACCTGCGCGCGCCACGGCCTCGCCGCGTTCGATCGCGGGTCCCCGGGAGCGCGTCTCGTGATCCCGATGAAGCCGTGCGAGTCCTGCGAAAGGTCGTTTCGATACGTCGAGAAGCTCAGCCTTATCAGCACGAGCGTGACGCAAAAGAATCTATGCGCGAAACTATGACCAGAAATTATGACAGAGCGTATAAACCCAAAACGCGTGAACGTGCACGTGACGCACGATGTATCTGTTGTTCTTCTTCCCGCTGCCGGGCGCGCCGTCCGCGTCCTGCGCCTGCGCCTGCGAGCGCGGAGGGAGGGTCAGCGCGGGGTTCGGGGTCGACGCGCGGGAGCCGCGCGGGTCGCTCAGGATAAATATCTAGTATGCGGCGACGAATGCTCCAATCAAGCGTCCGCGCGATCCGCGACTTTTCGTTTCGGCCAAAGGTCGCGCAAAACGTTATGCGTGTTCCCTGTCCGCTAGTTCTGCGGCCGGGGGTGGGTGACGCGCGGTCGATCGAGCGACGCACCTGTTCGCTGCCGGGATCCGAGGGCTCTTCCCGCGGCACATCTGCCGAGGGACTGTCTGCCATCGCTCTTCGAAGCGCCGGCCGCGCGTGCCTGCGAGGGAGGGAGGGAGGGATGGAGGGATCGCGCGGGGTGAGAGCGCGCGGGGTGAGAGCGATTTCACGCGGTCGTTGGAATTGGAAGGAGCGACCCGCGCGACGGCCAACCGGGGGGGGGGACGCCATCGCGCGCGCGCGAGCGACGTCGCGCGAGTGATCCGCGTCGAGACGCGCGAAGTGGATCGGGATCCGCGGAATGGCGACGCGCGAGACGATCGAGTCTTACCTCGGCGAGCTGCGCCCGAAAGCGCGCGACCTTTGTGCGCTTCTCCTTCTGTACCGGGGATCTTCTTCGTGTTCTTCTATTTGTGCGCGGGCTTCTCCTAAATTCGGTTTTTACCACTTAAGAAGCATCAATTGCGAACTAAATGCGAACTAAATGCTCATACAAACATTTTTTTTTCATCGACTCGTGAAATTGACAAGTATGCGCGACTGAGATACGGGTCTTCTCTTCTGTTTTTTTTTCCCGAAAAAATCGGGGCGGAGCTTGTGTTAAAATTATGCTGACTAAATGCTCATACAATTTATTTTTTCTCCACTCGTGAAATTAACAATTATGCAATTTAGGGTTAACAATTATGCGTGTGGAGCTTGAGTTAAAATTATGCTGACTAAATGCTCATACAATTTATTTTTTCTCCACTCGTGAAATTAACAATTATGCAGTTTAGGGTTAACAATTATGCAGTTTAGGGTTTATGGTAGACTAAATACTCATAGGGCTAAGGATAATTGATTCGACGGCAACCCCAAGACCGAACGAATCTGTACGGCAAACGTATCAAACGTAGGCAAATCAAGCGCAAACGTAGACGGTCGGTCACCCGCCCCGCGGGCCAGGTTTCAAACGCGCAGAAAGGCCTCGACGCGGCGTCCGCGCGTCCCCATCCATCCCCTCGTCGCCGTCCCGCCGCCGCCGCGATGCCATCGCGCGCGGAAGAAGTCCTCGAGGAACGGCGCGCGCCGCGCGCGCGGTCGCGCGGGCGGGGGACCGACCGACGGGGAAGGCGCTCGTGCATACAGTATGGGCACACGGGCAAATAGTATGAAATGTTTACACTCGTACGATGAAAACTACCGCACCGCGATGAGCGTCACCACGAACGTCAACGTCGCGTCTCCCGGGATCTCCGGCGGCGACCCGCGCTTCCCGTACCCGAGCTTCGGCGGAACCACGAGCTTCCGTCGTTCCCCCACGCGCATCCCGTCCACGCCCTGGTCCCATCCTTTGATCACCTCGCCCGCGCCAATCGTGAAGCCGAACGCGTCCGAGGCGTCGAATTCGGTCCCGTCGGATTCTGATGATGACGGTCGACGACCGTTCCATCGTTCAAAGCGACGTCGGGGTGGAGTTGAAAGGCGTCAGTTGAAGTTGAAAGGCGTCGAGGTGTGTCGGGATTGAAAGCGAGGGACCCTGGGCGGAGAGAAACGCCGGGAACAAAAGTCCTTAAGAAACGGCGTCCACCACGCCGACGCGGTCGTACGGGGACCGGTGTGAAGACAGAGTTCGAACGCGCCCAAGGTGCCCACGTAGCTCACGACGACGTCGTCGCCCTTCCCCGCGACGCGCGCGTCGTCGTCGCCCGCGCGAAGGATCTCGTGCCTCAACCGCTCGTCCTCCGGCGGCGCGAAGTCGCACCCCGGGAGCGCGAACGACTGCCCTCTCTGCGTCAGCTTCCCGTCTTTCACGCCCTTGGCGAGCGCTTTTTTGATCAGCGTCGCGTTGGAGATGTCAAACTCTCGCTTCAGGAACTTCGCGAGCGCGACGCGCGAGCTCCCGGTCGGGTCCGACAGCGTCGTTATCGCGTGGACGATCTTGTCGAGGACGGTCTTCGGAGGCGCCATGGCGGGCGGTTCGCGGGCGGGCGGGTCGCCGGGTCGGCGGTGGGGTCCCGGACGCGCGCGCCGAAGTGCGGTCGTCGACCGAATCCATTCGACGTTCCAGTCGCGAGCGTCTTCATTCGTCCCTGTCACTAGTGTCGTCGTCACACCCGAGAGCGCGCGCGACGGCGATGGGTCCTCGTCGCGCGCCGCCGCGCGCGCTTCCGCGCTCGCTCGCGCTCCTCCTCCTCCTCCTCCTCCTCCTCGGCGTCTTCCCGCGTCCCGCGCGCGCGCTGCGGCCGAACGCGCTGCGACCGAGGCTCCGCGCGTCGCCGCGGAACGCGCGAGCGCACCTCGCGCGTCGCGTCCGCGCCCTCGACGCCATCGCGTCGACGGAGGAGGACGCGCCTCCGCCGCGCCCGCCGCCGCCGGCGAGGTTCCTCGCGCAGCGGCTGGACCACAACGACCCCGCGGAGTCGCGGACGTGGCGGCAGCGGTACTTCCTAAACGACGCGTGGTTCCTGAACGACGCGCGGCCGAGACGGCGACGGCGTCTCGGCGAGGAGGAGGATGGAGATGGCGAGCAGGACGCGTCGGCGTCGGACGCGACGGAGGACGCGAAGAACACGTCGGCGACCGCCGCCGCGCGCGCCTCCCCGGCGATCGTGTTCCTGTGCGTCGGCGGCGAAGGCCCGGCGCTGCGCGCGACCGTCGTCACGATCGGCGACGCGCACTGCGCGCTCGCGGTCGAGACGGCGAGGCGACGGAACGCGCTCGTGGTCGCGCTCGAGCACCGCTTCTACGGCGCGTCGCAGGTGCGAGCGAACGCGAACGCTTCGCTTCGCGCGAACGTTGCGTTGTTGGTTTTTTTCACCCATCTATTAGGTTCAACGTTCGATCGCGTCCCCTTTCGACTGACCGATGAAGATGTTTTTACCGACTCATCAATCTCCTCGCGCGCGCCTCCCCGCAGCCCACCGGAGACTTATCGACGGCGTCGCTCAGGAGGTACCTCTCGTCGTCGCAAGCGCTCGGGGACATCGCGCACTTCGTGACGCGCGTGAACGAGATGTACGGACTTTTCGGCGACGACGTGCGCTGGATCGCGTTCGGAGGCAGCTACCCGGGCGTGCTGGCGTCGTGGTCGCGGCTCAAGGCGCGTTAGAGTCCATCTGACACTGGTCCCCATACGACCGCGTTCGCGGGGTGCACGCCGATCCTTAAGGACTTTTCCTTCCTCGCTTCTTTCAACGTTCGACCCCACGCACGCACGACGCCTATCAACTCCGACCGACGCCTTTGAACGCTCACCCCGACGCCGCCTTTGAACGTGAACGTTCTCTTTTACCGCGCCGGTCCCCGCGCGACCGCGTTCCTCGAGGACGGACCTTCTCTCCCGCGCCGCGCGCGTTTGTTTCTCTCCGTCGATCTGTGTCGTCCATCCGATGAAGGATCCTCCACGTCATCAAAAACCTGACCAATCGCATCACTTCCCGCCATTTCCACGTCATCCATCGCGCAGTACCCGCACCTGATCCACGCGGCGGTGGCGTCCTCCGCGCCCGTCCAGGTGCGTTCTATACAAACGTTTTTCACCCATCACCTGGTTTCAACACTTGATCGCTTCTCCTTTCAACTGACCGGTGAACTTTTTTTGTTGGAACGACCCTCAGGCGTCGCTCGCGATGCCCGGGTACGACGCCGTCGTGGGCGACGCGCTGCGGGCGTCGGTCGTGGGCGGGTCGGACGCGTGCGCGGACGCGGTGAGGGCGGCGTTCGACGCGATCGGCGAGATCATCGCCGATCCCGGGGGAAGCGAAGGGCGGCGGGGGCTGGAGAGAAAATTTCGGCTCTGCAGCGACGAAAAATCGCCGCTGGACGACCCCGCGGACGTCGCGGAGGCGATCGCCGCGCTCACGGAGATCATCCCCGCGCAGTCGAACGACCCCGCGTGCGACAACGGCCCCGTCTGCGACATCGCGCGCGTCTGCGCCGCGATGCTCGACGAGGGGAAGGGACGGGACGCCGTCGATCGACTCGCGTGGGTCGCCGCCGCGGCGTTCTCCGGGAGCGAAGTCCTTAAGGAACGGCGTTCACCACGCGAACGCGGTCGTATGGGAACCAGTCACGACGACGACGACGTCGTCGACGACGACGACGTCGATGACTGCGTGGACGTGAGCCACGCGAAGACGCTCGCGCGCCTGAGCGACGAATCGCTCCCCACGTTCGACACCCCGAAACAGGAGGACGACTACGGGTGGGACCGGTCGTGGCAGTGGCAGACGTGCGCGGAGTTTGGGTTTTATCAGACGTGCGAAGACGCGTCGTCGTGTTTGTTTCGCGCGCCGGCGCTGTCGCCGCCGCCGCTGTCGCTCGCGTCGTTCGTGGACGTCTGCGTCGCGGTTTTCGGCGCGAACGCGTCCGCGGTGGCCGCCGCGCCGGGGATCACGAACGAGCGGTACGGCGGGTGGAGGCCCGGGTCGACGCGCGTGCTGTTCGCGTCGGGGTCGATCGATCCGTGGAGGGCGCTGTCGCTGACGCCGGATCGAAGCGTGAACGAAGAGTGGTTGCCGACGATGATGGTGGAGGTACGTTCTATGATATCTCATCACACTGGTCCCCGTACGACCGCGTCGGCGTGGTGTGCGTCGATCCTTGAAGACTTTCTCTCCCGCGCGCGTTTGCGTTTCTCTCCGCGCGGCCGCCCCTCGGTTTCAACGCTCGACCCTATGACGCCTTTCGACTCCTCCGACCGACGCCTTTCGACCACTCCGCCCACCCCGTCGCTCGCTTTGAATGAAGGGCGCGTCGCATCACGCGTGGACGCACCCGGCGCGGGCCGGCGATCAGAAGAGCGTCGTGGACGCGAGGGAGGCGATCGCGGCGAGAGTGGACGCGTGGTTACGAGAAGGGCCGATGGATGAGGAGGAGGAGGAGGGGGAGGAGGACGCGGCGCGGGGAGCGCGAGGAGCGCGAGGAGACGTTCGTTTCGTGAGAGATGTCTCGTGATGACACACACGTTCGTTCGTTTCGTTTGCGCCGGAGACGTCGTCTCCTTCGTTCGTTCGTTCGTTCGCGCGCTCCCTCCCACTTCTCTCGTCACAGCTCCCCCAGCGCCGCCTTCGAGTTCGCGGTCCCCCTCGCCAGCAGCGCTTCCTGCGCCGCCGCAACATTGGCGGCGTCGCCTCTCCACGCCTTCAAAACGCTCGACTGCAACGCGCGTCCGTACGAAAACGACAGCGCCCACGGCTTCACCGCGGGCAGCTTAGGGTCGTTCCATACGAGCGATTGTCGGGGTGGAGTTCAAAGGCGTCAGGCGGAGTTGAAAGGCGTCGAGGGCGGGGATTGAAACCGAGGGATGAGCGGAGAGAAACGCCGGGAAAAGTCCTTAAGGAACGGCGTTCACCACGCCAACGGGGTCGTATGGGAACCAGTGTGAGATAGAACGCGCCTTATTCATCGCGTTCAGATGCGCCGTCGCCTCCTCCTCGCTCTGCCCGCCGGACAGGAACAGAATTCCGGGCACCGCGGGCGGGACGACGCGCTGCAGCGCGCGGACGGTGAGCCGCGCGACGTCCTCGGTGGACGCGCCGCCGTCACCGGCGTCGGCGCCCGCCGTCGCCATGTTGGGCTTGAGGATCGTGCCCTGCGGGGTCGCGCGGGGTGGACGTTGAAAGGGAACGGGGCGAACGCGTCGGTCAGTCGCGCGTCTCATCGGTCGCACGGGGGCCAGCCGGTGTGAGGAGAATAGCTAAAGTCCTTAAGGAACGGCGTTCACCACGCGGACGGGGTCGTACGGGGACCAGTGTACGGTACGACGCGCCTCGAGCATCACGCCGTGGTCGCTCAGGGATTTGAACACCGCGGCGAGGACGCGCTCCGTGACCGCCGCGGACGTCTCCACGTCGTGCGCGCCGTCGGTCAAGATCTCCGGCTCCACGATCGGGACGAGGCCGTTCTTTTGGCAGATTGACGCGTACCGCGCGAGCGCGTCAGCGTTCGCGCGCACGCACAAATCGCTCGGCTTGCCGCTCGCTCTGTCGATCGACAACACCGCGCGCCACTTCGCGAACCGCGCGCCTCGGGCGTAGTACCCCGCGCACCGCGCGTCGAGGCCGTCCAGACCTTGCGTCGCGGTCTCGCCGTCGAGACCGCCGTGGAGCGGCACCACGCCCGTGTCCACCTTGACGCCGACGAGGACGCCCTTCGAGGCTGCGAACGAAAAAAGCGCATCGAATCGGTCATCAGTCGAAATAAGGCGTGTCGCGATCAAACGAGCCCCAAGTATCAAACGTTGAAACCGCGAGCGGTGGGTGAAAAACGACAGCGATCGTTCGTCTCCTCAGAACGCGAATAAATAAACGACGCGTTCGGACGCACCCAAGACGTCGACGAACGTCGTCCCGTCCGCGGCGCTCTGCGCGAACGTCTCCTCGAACGTGATGACGCCCGAGCAGAACGTCTCGAACCCCGGGGTCGTGAAGAGCAGCTCGCGGTACGCGCGTCGGTTCGGCTCCACGTTCTCGACCGCGATCGTCGCGAACCGCTTGCCGATCGTTCCGGTGCTCTCGTCCGCGGCGAGGACGCCTTTTCCCGGCGCGCACAGCGCGCGCGCGGTGGCGACGAGTTCCGTCGCGTGCGGCGACGACATGGAGCGCGACGCGATGAGAGGGACGGCCGGGGGGCGGGCGGAGGGGGGGGTAGGGAGCGACGACGACGCGGCGGGGGCGGCGCCGGGACGATGGATGTGGAGGCGGAGCGCGTTATCCAGTGTGTTTATGCGCGTCGTTGTAAAAAGTCGGATGAAAACACCGATTTACCTGTACACGGCGAGATGGGCGAGTTGATCGATGACCCGTTCGTTTGACACGGCGACGCGCGTCGTCGAGAGTACAGTAGACCATCGCGCGACATGCAGTACATCCCGCGCGCGTCTCTTCCTCGCGAGGTCGCCGCCGCGCTTCGTTCCCCTCTCCGCGCTCACTCTTTGTTCTGGAACGTGAAGACGATCCCGGAGCTTCCCGCCTCGGGCGCGTCTTCTTGCTTCCCGAAGCTCCGCTCCGCTTCCGTCCGCACCTCCCTCGACCCGGAACGGACATCTTCTCCCGTCCCGTCTGTATCGGTCCGGTCCTTATCGGCCCGATCCCGAACTAGGAGCTCCGACGACAGCCGCTTCAACAGCTTTTCCCGCGCACTCGCGCGATCGTCATCGAAGTCGCTCTCGATATTTTTCATCCTCTCCAGCGCCCCGTGGGCCTCCGCGACCATCTCGAGCATTTCGTCGTCCACGATGGTCGAAGTGTCGACGTCGGTGTTGTTCTCCTCGATTCCTTGAATCGGCGCACGCGTCATCGCGTGCTGCACCTCCGCGGCCTCGATAGCTCTGCACATGCGCTCGGTGATATGCGACAGTCGGGGCCGAGATGCGGCGAGATGTCGGAGCGCAACTGTCGCGAGGTCGTCCACCGTGACGTCGCGGTTCGCATGCGCCCTCGCGGAGGATATCACCGCGCTCCAGCGCGTCTTCACCGTGGAATCGATCGGCGTACACGGATCCGGATCGTCGTCGTTCTCTTGATCGGTACGTGGCGACGGGAGATGCGGCGCCGGCGGCGCCAGCGGCTCCGGCGCGACTTTCGCACTCGCGCCGCTCGGCGCGACGACGGCTGCGGCGGCGCCGCCGCTGCCCTTCGAGCCGTCCGCGTTGCGCTCGAGTAAAACGCCGCCGACGCGTTCGAGGTACGCTTCGTACCACGCGTTCAGCTCGAAATGCGGCGTGAACATTTTTCGCCAGGTATTGTAGAACGTCTTGTAGAACGCTTTCCTTCCGACGATCACTAGCGATAAGAGACCAAAGTTGACGAGCAAAAACGTCATCCCCCACGTCGTGATGTACGCACCCTCTTCCCCGGCGCCCATGTATCGATATATCAAAACGCCGTAGACGATGATGAGGTAGCAGCACACGAGCCAGTACAGCGCGAGGAGGCACCACGCGAGCTTCAACACGCGCGAGGAGCTCGTTTTAACTCTTCGAAGGTATTTCCTGCGCTCCGATCTCATATCATCTTGCGAGAACGTACGCGCCGCGCGTTGCACTGCGGCTTTCTCGTGGTATACGATCCAGCGAAGGACGACGTCGTCTTGGAAACCATCACGGGCTTCATCTCCCTCCGACCGCGACGTGTCGTCTTGAGACGGCTTCGAAGCGTGATGACTGATGTGCTCGCCGAACGCGATCCTATCGTCTCCGCCGATCTTGAGATGATCCCATGGTTTCACGAACGATTCCGAGCCGTCGAAAAATTGAAAATCCGTCGGCCTCGCCGCGGAAAACGCAGCGCTGTTCCGCCACACGAGAGGTGCGTCCCGGTCCGTCGTCGCGACGTCGGCGCTTCGCGCGAGCGCCTCGATCTCGCCCGTTATCTCCTCGACGGTGCGGTACTTTCTTTCTCTGGGCGCATTTCCGCGCAAGGAGGTCGCCGTCGCGATGGCGCTCTGGTACAACCCGCACAGCATGAGCGTGCGCTTCACCGCGCCCGCGAACGTCCCCCCGCGTTCGCTTCCCCCGCGCGCGCCCGTGGCCGCGTTTGTGACAAAGAACTCGTAAAAGGATTCGCACCAGGCGGCTAAAACCTCCGCGGTGTTCATCCCCGCCTTCATCACGGCTTCCTTGTAGTGCGGCACGGAGACGGCGCCGCCGCCCACCGCGAACAGCGAGCTCAGGACGAAACGCACCGGGAACATCATGATCACCTGAGGGCCGTCCCATACAAAAACAGTTCATCGGTCAGTTGAAAGGGACCCACGCGATCGATCAAATGTTGAAACCGGGCGATGGGTGAAAAACAAACTTTTGTAGAACGCACCTGAATCCCGATCACCGCGAACGTGTGCCGGAGGTTTCCTCTCGCCGGGAACGCGTTACACTTCCACTTCGGCGGGAGGAACCGTTTCGTCGCGCGCATCAGCACTTCGCACCCTTCCCCGGGCTCGACGTTCACGCACGCGTCCATGACGTTCGGCGTGCACCCGAGCGCTTCGCGCACGGCGACGCAACACTGCGTCGCGCGGCTCGAGTACATCCACACGCAGATGAGCAGTCCCATGATGTAGATAGACGACTGCACGACAAGGCGTTGCGCGCCCGTGAATTGCGCTGTCGCCGGCGCGAGAAACGCCCTGAAAAACATGTGCGCTTCGCAGTACGCGTGGACGGCGAACTTCGCGAGTGCCCACGCCGCGCGCGCGAAGAGCATCGGACGCGTGAGCCAGAACCAAATCGCCGCGAGGGCGACGACGACGATCGACCGCGTTTTTTCGTCTTTTTTCTTCCCCGCCGCCTCCGCCGTCCGCCGCTCGCGTAACCCTTCGATCGCGTCCGAATGCGACTCGCGCCACGCTGTGACCGCGGTTCTCGCCGCGTTTCTCCCCCGCAACACCGCGTCCGCCATCTCCGGGGACGTCCCCGCGAGGTTCTTCTGAACGAACGTCCACCCGTGCTGCGCGATGTCGTACGGCTCGAACGATTCGTCCCACGGGTTCACGACCCATCCGAACTCGTATATTTCGCATGCCGCCAACACGAGCAGCGTGCACCACGTCCTCTCAACCCTACTCCAACCAACATCGCGCGCGGCTTTCGCGAGCTCGACGGGGACACTGCGTGTCAACACCGCGGCGTCGTGATGGGTCTTCAGCGTCGGCGCGTCGCTGCCTGTCGCGGGCATGGACGCGCACGCGGTCGGCGGACCCGCGGCTTTCAACACCGCCGCGAGCGCGTCGGTGGGGGACCACCCGCCGTCTTTGCCTCGTAACGACACGATGTTCCACAGCATCGCGCGTCGCATCCACCCAACCTTCGTCAGGTTGTTCGTCATCATCAGTTTGAACTCCTCCACGAGGTTCGGGAACGTGACGCCGTCGGGGAGGACCCACGGGAGCTGCGCGGCGTCGTACTTCCGTCGACCGATTTCGTCGTGCGAGACGATGTTCTGATCGGGGGTGATCGGTATTCATCCATCGGTCAGTCGAAAGGGGACTCGATACGACGTTAAAACCGATCGCGGGGAGATATGATACTCGGAAGGGTCAAACAGAGAAAGTCCTGTCCTCACAGAAACGACGTTCAACAAACACGCGAGGTGGGTCGCGCGGGAAGCAGTCGCGCACCTTCACGTCCAGGTAGGCGTACGCAATCGCGGTGCCGACGGCTCTACCGAAGGGCAGGACCGCGGCGGTTTCGGGATACATGTTCCGGTCGTCGCGCCATTCCGTGAGTTTACTTCGGATCGCCTCCATCGGGAACGCGATGAGGAATCGGACGTACGGGAGACCGCAGACTTTGCACAACGTCTCGCCGTTTCGCGTCGCGACCGGAAGCGCCGCGGCGGTTTTTTTCTCCGGCGGCGGCGGTAGGGGCGGCGGACGACTCGAAAACCGACGCCATGTCATCCCGCCGCCTTCGCCTTCGCGTCGATAGATCTTCCGGATCTTCGCGAATGTCATCGGAGCCGGAGCCGGAGGCGCGTTCGAACAGCCCGGTCGCTTCTCGTTCATCGCGGTTTCTCCCTCGTCGTCGCCGTCTCCTTTACGGCTGGTCCGCTGCGAAACCGCGAACAAACGCGGCGCCCAGCCGCGTCTTTGCTTCACGGGAACGAGTCCCACGTTCCCCCTCGAGGAGCGACTCGGAGCCTCCGAGATCTCGACGGCCTCGACGATGGCTCGAGGGGCGGCGGACGCGGACGCGAACGCTTCTCGTTCATCCCCCCCTTCTATTTCTGTGCCATCTTCTCTCGCGTCGCGGGTCGCCGCCCGCGCCGTTTGGACGCGCTTTCCTCTCGCGTCCGACGACTCGATTGATTCGGTCGTCGACAGCTCGTAAAACGTTCGCCCTCCGCGCGAGTACACTTCGACGCCGACGCGACCGCCGCGCGTCACGACGTCGGCGCCGACGGCGTCGTCGATCTCCGCGTCCATCTCGGTCGTCGCATGGTCCACAGCCTCTGGGTCCACCCCCGCGGCGACGAGTCGGTCCGTGGGCATCTTAGGGTCGTTCCATACAAAGCGACGTCGGGGTGGAGTTCAAAGGCGTCAGATGGATTTGAAAGGCGTGCGTCGAGGTGTGTCGGGATTGAAACCGAGGGACCCTGGGCGGAGAAAAAAGCGCGCGGGAAAAGTCCTTAAGGAACGGCGTGCACTACGCCGACGCGGTCGTATGGGCACTCGCGTATGGGACGCGCCTTATCGCACGAGGGCAACCCCGCGCGCGTTCGAGCGTCGCGTTTCAGCGCCTCAACGCGGCGCTCGACCGCGCGCGCGACGTCTGCCGCCGCGGCGTCGCCTTCGACGCCCTCGCGTTCGAGTTCGAGCATCCGCGTCCGCACCTCCAACTTTGACGCCGCCGCCGCGTCGTCGCCTTCGGCGTCGTCGAGAAGCGCGGCGGCGACGGCGTCTTCGTCGTTCGCGCGGTGCGTGGCGTTGAACATGAACTGCATCTCTTGGACGTCAATGTGCCACGTCCAAACGCGTTGGACGACTGCGAAACCCAAGTCGCGGTTTTTCGCGGGGTCGACGAGACGTCTGAGCAGCCTTCGCTTGACGCGCGTCGCTCTCAAGTGAAGCGCGGACGCCAAGAGCAAGGACCCGAAGAACATCGCGCCGACGACGGCGAAAACGCGCCACGTGTTCAGAGCGTCCCCGATGGAAAGAGACGTGAGCTCGCCGAGGGAAACGGTGTCGATCTTGTACTCGGATACGGTCACGTCGGCGACGCGATCGCACAGGCACGTCGCCGCCCGCGCGACGACGCAGCCGCATCCTTCGAATGCTTGCGCGTCGAACCGCCAATAACAACCGAACGCGTTTTTTGGATCTTCCGCGACGCAGTTCGCCCCCGTCCACGACCGCATGCGCATCGCGCCCGCGCGCAAGGAAGGAACCTCGCGCTCCTCGCACCCGTTAAAAAACATCTTGGCGTCGTGAAGTTTCCACAGAAACGACGCGTGCTGAGAAGCGATTGCGGGCGGGTGAACGCGTCGGTCAGTCGGACGGTTCACCGGTCGAGCGTCGAAAGGGACGCGCGGGCGGGGTGATGAAATGAACCGACGAACGAACGGCGTGGGAAATGCCCTCAGGACGTCGACGCGCGACGGACGCGCGAACGAGGTCGTGTGGCGAGCAGTCTGCACGGGGTCGAACAGGAAACGATCTCACCTTGCGCGAGTAGTCGTACCCCGCGCTCTGAAACGCCGCGGTGTTCTCCGCCGCGCCTTCGATCCACGCCGCGCGCGCGCCGCGAGGGAGCGGGTTCGGCAGCGTCGCGCATCCATCGGTCTCGTACGCGCCCTTCCATACGAAGCGACGATGTCGGGGTGGAGTTGAAATGCGTCAGGGGTGGAGTTGAAATGCGTCAGGGGTGGAGTTGAAATGCGTCAGGGGTGGAGTTGAAAGGCGTGCGTCGAGGTGTGCCGGGATTGAAACCGAGGGACCCTGGGCGGAGAGAAACGCGCGCGGGAAAGAAAGTCCTCGAGGAACGGCGTGCACCACGCCGACGCGGTCGTACGGGGGCCAGTGTGTGGGACGCGCCTTAGCGGCGTCAAAAAATCTGCACGCGTACTTGTCCCCGCCGCCTCTCGTTGGTCCACGCGCCGGCGGTCCTCCTCCTCGCCCTGCCACGCACGTGTCCGCCCCCAGCACGCGGCGAACGGCGAGCGTCCACTCCACCGGTTTCGCGGGATTGCGTATCTCCACGTCCGCCGCGCCCGCGCCGACGGACGACACGACGAGCGACTCCGTCGCGGCGACGCGCGCGTGCCGCAAGACGATCTCGACGTCGCCGCCGACGCTCGCGACGTGCCAGGTCTCGGTCGCGCCGTTCAAGCCGTAGAACGAACTCTGATTCAACGCGTGCGGGTCGAAGTTCATCGACAGCAGTTTCATATCCATCGGAGACCCGCCCTGGATGGATGGACAGATGGATGGATGACGTGGAGGGATACGCTCGGTGGTGAGTAATCGCTGACGTGGAAGATCGAGCAGTCGTGGATCGCGCGCGAGAGACGCTCGGCGTGCGCGCGCACCTGAGCGTGCAGCACGTCGTTCGACACCTCGACCGTGGACGCGCCAGAGACGGAGACGACGGCGCTATCCGTCCCGGCGGTCGTCGTCGCCGCGCGCCGCGCGTTCGTCTCCATCTCCGGCGACACGACGCTGATCGTCGACTCGCCCTCCACCGTGGGATCGAGGCATCGCGCCATCATCGTCTTCGCCGCGTCCGTCGCCTGCGATGGACGGGTGAAGCGATCGAAACGCGTCGGTCAATCGAACGTCTTACATGCCGGGAGAAAAATCCTTCCGAGGAAGTGACGAGCGTCGCGCGAGGGAGAAGTCTCGGGCGGGGAGGAGTCAGTGGTCTCGCCTTCGCGTACGTCAGCGCGGCGTTTTTATCCCCGTACCCCGGCACCGCGGGCGCGACCGCGGAAGACAGCGCTCCCAACGCGTTGACGCTCACCTCCTCGCTCATGGACAAATCCCCGAGCGCGTTCGTCTCCGCGTCCGCGAGCAACGCATCCACGAGGTCGACGCCCTTACCGCGCGTCTCCGGCGTGGATTCGCACGGGTCCGAGAGGACGCGTCGGGTCACGTCCGCGATGCCGCTCGCGAACGAGTCGGACGACGGCATCGTCGTCTTCGCGGACTCCGTGAGATTCATCATCCGACTTCTTTGTTTGGCTCGGTCCCGCATGTCCGACTGCGGCGCGCACGGGTCCTTAAACGGCGACGACTCGGAGACGGACGACGACTCGAGAAGCGCGCGGCCGCGTCGACGCCGGCGACTCCGCAGATTATTGTCGTCGCGCTGCGTTTCTTTGTAGTCGAGCATCTGATCGCACGCGTTCGCGATGTGCGACAGCGCGGTCTCGGACTCGCCGTTCAAAAACGCTGAGGGCCGTTCCATACAAAAAATGTTCATCGGTCAGTTGAATAAGGAGGCGATCAAATGTTGACACCGAGCGGTGGGTGAAACACGTGTGTATAGACCGCACCTGACTCCGCCGCCGCGAGCTTCTCCGCGCTCGCCGCGGTCAGCGCGCGCTCCGACGGCACCTTCGGCCATTTCACGACGACGTCGACGGATTTCACGGGTGAGACCGCGCCGCGATTATCCATCGCCTGCGCGGACACGGTCACGACGTATCCGTGGTCTCTAGATCCCCCCGGCAGCGTGCCTTTCCACGTCTTCCGCGGGCTGCGGGTACGGGCGATTCCGGGATGGGATTCATGTTTATCGGTCAGTCGGAAGGCGTCTCGATCGATCAAATGTTGAAACCGCTCGTACTGTACTGTGACCTTAATAAATAAGGAATGCGATGGACGGGTGAAAAACGTTTGCACGCGCAGACGGGACGCACCTGTAGTCTTGAAGCAAGCGCGATCGATACGCGGGCGCGCCCTTGACGAGCGCGGTGAAGCGTATCATCAGTGGCAAATGACCGTCCGGGTCGAGCCATCCCCCGCCGACGGCGATCACGAACGTCGTCTGCGCGGCGATGCCGTTCGCGGGAAGCGCGGCGATCGTGCCCGCGACCGGCGGAACGTTCCGTCGCAATTCGATCGACGCCTTCGCGACGCCATTCGCGTCCGACACGTCGATAGCGAACGCGTACGAATACAGCGCGGCGCCGTCTCTACCGAGAGCGTCGGGGGCCAACACGAGATTGGACGTCGTCGTGCTATCGATCGCGAGGAAGCCCGCGGCGTCGAGGTCGACGGTCACGGCCGATGCGATGTCGATCGCGCCGTCTATCGTCAACTCGTACCTTTTCGCCGTCCACGCGACCGTCGTCGTGCCGCTCGAAGCGGTGGACGTCACCGTCGCGGACAGACGCGCGCGCGCGCCCGCGTTCACGACTCCGCCCGGTATCGGCGCGATCGAGACGCTCGGCGAGTTCGCCGCGCCGCTCACGACGTGGACGTACCGCGTCGCCGTCGCGGATCTCGCCCCCTTCGACACGGTCACTCGGAAGGCGTAGTACCCCACCGACACGGGCGCGACGTTCGACCACGCCGCGGCGTAGTGACTCCCACACGACAACGCCCCGGTCGTGTCTCCCGTGGCGTCGACAGTTTTGAGACACTCCCACTGGTACGACCACGGGTTGCTCTCTTCGTCGGGGTCGATCGATTCCGACGCGTCTAGCGTGAACGCGACGCCGAGCGCGAAGACGACGCCGTCGGGGATTTGCGACCCGCCCTCGACGACGGCCTCGAGCGGGGACGCCTTCACGAATAAGATTACGTTCGCGGACGCGAGCACCGCCGGGTTGCCTTTGCTGAACGCGTCGAAGCGAATCGCGTACGTCTTTCCCTCGGGCAAGGTTCGCGCCGGCAGAAAAAGCTGCTGCGTGTTTGATTTCGTCATCGACGCGTCGAGCGCGATTTGACTTCCGTCGCTCGTGTCGACGATTCTCCACAGAAATCCGTACCCTTCGTCGTTCGTGCACGCCGGTTCCATGTACACGATATTCGTGACGATCTTATTCTGCAACCCTCTCGCGATCGTGCCGCTCTCTACGGTAGAGACGCCCGTGATGCTCGCGGACATCGTGCACAGCTCGCACGTTTGGCCGTCGCCTTTCATGCCTTGCGGGCACCTGCCGCATTCGAACCCGGCGCCCGGCGCCTCGACGTCCGTGCAGGTCACTGCGAGGTAGCACGGGTTCGTTGGCGCGCACATGTCGACGTCCACGCATCCCGTGGCGCCCGTGCCGGAGTACCCACCACCGCCGGGGCACGCGCCGCACGACACGCCCGATCCCGTGTCTAAGCAGGACGCGAGCGGATCGCAGCCGCCGTTGTTCTCCGCGCACGAGCTCGTCTTCGCGACGCACCCGGTCTCGCCGCTGCCGAAATACCCCGCCGGGCACGCGCTGCACGTTCGCGCACCGGCCGGGGTGTTGGTGCACGTCGTCAGAAGGTCGCACCTGCCGTTTGCCGTGCCGCACTCGTCGATGTCGACACACGACGTTCCGTCGCCGGCGTACCCGCTCGGACACGTGCCGCACGCGTAGCCGACGCTAGGAGGTGCTTCGGGCGTGCACGTCACGCCGGCGAAACACGAAGAGGAAGCGCACGCGTCGACTCGCGCGCATCTCCCATCCGCGAGGGAATATCCGCTGGGACAGGCTCCGCACTGAACATTACCGTTCGTCGGGTCGTCGTCGGGATCCGAGCACGTCGCGAGAGGGTCACACTCTCCGTAGTTCGCGAAGCATTCGCCCCCGCTGGTGCTCAACCCGCACGCGCGACCTCCCTCCGTGTTCACGCACGCGACGGAGTCGCCGCACCCGCCGTTGTTCGTCGAGCATTCGTCCACGTCCGCGCATCCATAAGCGGGCGCGTCGTCGCTCGCCGGCGAGGAGACGACGCCGTTTCCCAGGTACCCGGGCGGGCACGCGCCGCAGTGGACGACACCGCCGACGCCGGGCGTGCACGACACGAGATCTGAACAGCCTCCGTTGTTGGATTTGCACGCGTCATCCTCCGGCGCGACGTCTTCTCCGGCGAGGATGGTGGTCGCCGTATCGATAGCGTCCGTGGGACACACGTAGATGATTTCTGATTTCGAGACGTCGAGATTGGAAGAAGTTCTCGGGATCGTCCGTCTTCCTGCGCTCAGACCGCCCGTCACGGCGTCGAAATAGTTCACACGATGACAATAGTCGAACGTATCCTCAGTTATTGCCGTTCTCTCCGCGGGAGGGGTTTCACCCGGTCTCGGGCACGGCCTCCCTTGATATGCAATATCGTTGGAACATTGACTGCCGTCCCAATTGCACCAATTAGGTCCGACACGTGGAGAGCGATTACTCAACGCGTTGCACTCGTCCTCCTCGTCGTTGTACATTCCAGGGATTTCGCACACCCTCTCACAACCCGTTAGAGATGATTTAGACGTGGGGGTTCCGCACAAGCACGGCGAGGTAATAAATATCTTCGAGGCTCCGGATTTCAGGACGCCATCCGAGTTTTTATCCTCGCCGCCGAGGATGATGTGCCCGTTGACTTGCTCCATCAGAGGTAGATTAATTTCTGTGCACATCGGGTTTCCCACGTTTATATCCTCGCCTTTAACTTTGGTCAATGCGGCGAAGCTCACTTTCGAGAGGACATCGTTGAAACGCACGTCGATGCCGTGCGCGGCGGAGTCGCCGCTCCCAACGGTCACCAACTCGTCCATGGCGAACGAAGTCAACGCGTCGTTTTCGCGCACGTGCAAGAACTCGCGGATCGACACGACGTTCGAAAAGTCCACGCGCACGAGCGCGTTCGCGTCGAGCAACTCCACGCGACCGTTAAAGGTCACGACACTGGAAAAGTTGAGTTTTTCCACGGTGCGGCCGGAGACGTAGACGTTGTCATGGATGGTCGTTGCCGTGTCGCTGTACTCGCCGCACGTGTGCCACTTCGTCGCCGGCTGCAAGTCACCGGGCCTGCACGTCGTCGATGTCATCCCGGGTGTCATCCCGGGACACGTACACAAGCTGTTGTGGTACCTCGGTATTCGACCGGGCGTGCGGCGATTTATTGCGTCGTAACCCAGATTCACGTACTTGGTGTATTGGACGACCGACGGCAAGTCGGAGATGTGGTCATTCGTGCCATCCCCAAGTTGCCCCACGCCGTTATAGCCCCAGCATCTGATGGTGTAATAATCTGCGAGTATAGCGCACGTGTGACATTCGCCGTTTACCAGGTACATCACCTTCTGGTCCGTCTCGTACAAATCCGCTTCCTCCGTCGACCACGTGTCGGCGGACGCCCAAGGTCCGCCGTTGATCGTCAAAGCGACAATGCTCGCGGCCAGAGTCGTGTCGTCCGTGCTTTTCAACATTTTCAAGTCGACGTCCTGTGGCGTCGATGATTCCTGTGTGGAGGGGACAGAGGGGACAGAGGGGATCCCGAGCTGTCCTTGTGTGTTGTGACCCCAACACTTGACCGTCTCAAAATCTTTCTCGATGGCGCAGTAGTGTCTCGCGCTCGCCGTGCCCAAGGACAAACTTTTCGCCTTCAAACATACCTGAAGACTTCCGGAAGTATCCCTACAGCCCACGCCCACCGAATCAATAGTGGATGCTACGTTAGCCGTAGCACCGTTGCCCAGTCGTCCATTGTCGCCTGATCCCCAACATTTCACCTCGTCGTTATCGAGAAGTGCGCAATTGGATTCGTATCCGGCGACGATTTGAACCGCGTGACGACCAAGGCCAAAATTCACTACCGCGTTTGGACTCTGCAACGCGGCGACTCTGTCCCCTACAGAGATTGCACCGAGTTGCCCCTTATTATTGCTACCCCAGCACTTCACGACTGGTTTTGTGTAGTCTGAGGGTGATACCATTGCGCACGTGTGCGACCAACCGAGCGAGACGCTCACAGGCATGTACGCGACGACACCGTCAGGAGCAAAGCCAAAGTTAATAGCATCCCTCGGACGTGGGATGGTGGTACGCGTATCAGCGACGTTGGCTTGCCCCTGGTCATTATTTCCCCAGCAGTACAATTTGGGTTCATCACCTGTCGTGATCGCGCACGAGTGCTTGGCTCCGGCGACGACCTCCTTCGCCAAGAAAGGAGGGGTGGTTGGTGTTGCGGATTCCAGTTCCACGTACGGCAAGCTGTCCCCAGCGAATTGAGAACTATCGGAAGTGGTGATGCCGATGCCGAGTCGAGCATCAACGTTGTTTCCCCAGCACTTCACCCTGTCGTTGCTGAGGATGGCGCACGAGTGCTTGTATCCGACGGAGACGCTCTTGACGGTGAGGTCCACGCCGCCCACGGTGCCGAAGTCGCAGGTGACGTCGGGGTGATCCTTCGGTGAATCCACTGAGGTTCCCCCCGACGTGCCCAGAAGTCGTCCATCACTGATTTTCCCCCAGCACACCGCCTTGCCGTCGTCGAGCACGACGCACGTGTGCTCGATGCCCGCGCCCATGTACTGATATTTTTCGAGCCCAGCCCCGACGGGAGGGACCGCCGCGAGGACGAGGCTCGTCGCGAGGACGAGGGCGAACGCGACGAGCGAGCGGCGCCCGCGCGCCCGCGAGGACTTCGACGCGAACGCGATGGATTCGTCGAACGCCCGACGCGTCCTCGCGGCGGCGCGCGCGGGGGGCGTCGCACGCTCGCGGGACGCGCCGCCGCATGTTTCTCGCGCGTTTCCTCGAGGGGGGTGATCTCCCCGCGTCGCCTCCGCGCGTCGCGCGTCGTCGGAGGACATGAGGCGCGGATATCGAGCGCTCGCGCGTCGAGACCCGCGCGCGCGACGCGTGCACCCGCTCGCCGCCGCGGGGAAGCGCGGCGAAGAGTGCGCGAGCGGAGACAGGCTCTACGAGCGCATGCTTTGCGCGTGTCGGCGTGTAACAGCCAGCAAAAGCGTCGGCGTTTTCGAGAATTTCCACGCCGATGAAAGTCGTTCTTTCAAATGTTTTCGCGCTTTCACGGCGGCCTATCAAATGTTTCTGTTGACCCCACTATCCCCGTCCCTATCCCCGTGCTCCCCGTGCTCGAATACCGATGAGCGCGCGCACGATGTTTGACATTGGCGATTTGAGCCTGGAAACGCGATTTTGATTCTATTTGGGAGAAGGACGTCCACTTTCCCCCTCTCGAGCGACGACTCGCGTGCGAGATGGGCGAGTATGTAAGCATTTTAAAGTTTGTTCTCGCAACGCGTTGATCGATGACCCGTTCGTTTGACACGGCGACGCGCGTCGTCGAGAGTACAGTAGACCATCGCGCGACATGCAGTACATCCCGCGCGCGTCTCTTCCTCGCGAGGTCGCCGCCGCGCTTCGTTCCCCTCTCCGCGCTCACTCTTTGTTCTGGAACGTGAAGACGATCCCGGAGCTTCCCGCCTCGGGCGCGTCTTCTTGCTTCCCGAAGCTCCGCTCCGCTTCCGTCCGCACCTCCCTCGACCCTTCCGCCGCGCCTTCCTTTTATTATTGTTATAAGATATCATATTTCTCTCAATAGCCTCACTAGACGATAACACCCTCCCCGATGTCGCCGCCGTTCATAGAATACCAATCTTTAAACGCAAATGAGACCAAAACATACCATCATCCTCCTATCGGGGATGTTGAAATGTTCTCATAGGAGAGGCGACTCGGTGAGGTCTGTGAGGCTCTACAAAGTCTCGTGTCTCTACAAAGTCTCGTGATTTCTGCTTCAACAAGGCTCACGGAGGTTTTGTAGGGTTTGGGTCGCTACGCTCCAGATACGCCCCCAAAGACTCGTGATTTCCGTCAGCCCCCGTGGTTCAAAACAGACCTCAGACCCTTAGAAAAAGTATAAACTACGATGACTACTTAACTTATTATTGAAAAAAAAATATAACTTTACATACTCTTACACTATTCTTGTGTATATTGTGAAAATAGTTTGAAGGCAGTCATAATTTATACTTTTTATCCATATATGTGTGGTCTAAAACAGGTGTCAAAATGTAGTGACACTGCATTCACTGCCTTAGAGACCCGTGATTTCCGTCTGGCCCTGTGGTTCAAAACAGACCCCAGATCCTGAGAAAAAGTATAAACTACGAAAAAAAAATATCTTTACATACTCTTAAACTATTCTTGTGTATTGTGAAATGAGTTCGAAGGTAGTCATAATTTATATTTTTTATCCATATATGTGTGGTCTAAAATAGGACTGAAACAGGTGTCGAAATGTTGCTTCACTGCAGTTGCTGCTTCAGAGACTCGTGATTTCCGTCAGCCCCTGTGGTTCAAAACAGACCCTGGATGACTCTAAGAAAAAGTATAAACTACGATCACTACTTAACTTATTATTGAAAAAATATTTATAACTTTATAACTTTATAACTTGTGTATAAGAAAAATAGTTTGGGGGTAGTCATTATTTATACCTTTTACGCATATGTGTGTGGTCTAAAATAGGTGTCGAAAATAGAGGATTGGGTCGCTTCGCTCCAGATACGCCCCCAGAGACTCGTGATTTCCGTCAGCCTTTGTGCTTCAAAACAGACCCCGGATCCCGAGAAAAAGTATAAACTACGATCACTACTTAACTTATTATTGAAAAAATATTAGAACTTTATAACTTTATAAACAATTCTTGTGTATAAGAAAAAAAGTTTGGGGGTAGTCATTATTTATACTTTTTATCCATGAAAGTTTTAAAAAAAGTCTATGCTCTGCGGCAGAAAGTAGCCGTAGGCTCGGTGTTGCCGACAACATGGGGATTTCAAAAGCCACCTATCGCAAGGATCTGCCCTAAAACTACTAACCCTGCTAGAATGGCGTCGTCCCGCATACGGTAACCGATGACAAAAGCCCCAAGTATAGGGGCGGGCGTACTCGCCCATACCCTGTGGGAATTCGATAGGTGGTTGTGTGCTTTCAATTAAACGAAGTTGACCGACGCAGTCGGTCAGTATTGAAGCCTTCACACCAGTTCTGTCCAATTCCCACAGGGTATGGGCGAGTACGTGTACACGTACACGTGTACCTATAGCCGCGCGATAGTCGTTTTCGCTCGGTTCAAGCTTCGGAATAATATTCTCATCAAGCGACTCACAAGCGCTCACGCGCGACTCGACGACGCGTCAAGGCTCCGCGATCTTCAGCACCGCGTCCGCGACCCTCCACTGCTTGCTCTCCTTCGCGCGCTCGTACTTCGCGAGCCACTCCGGGACGTCCTGCCCGGCGTCGCGCGCGATCTTACACAGCGCCGGCGCGCACTCGACGTCGTAGTCTGCGGAGTTGAAAGGCGGAGTTGAAAGGCGGAGTCGAAAGGCGTCAGGGGTACGGTTGAAAGGCATCCATCGCGGCGTGTCGGGATTGAAAGCGCGGGGAGGGCGTACATACTGTAGAGAAACGCCGACGCCGGGAAAAGAAAGTCCTTAATTGAGGAACGGCGTTCACGACGCCGACGGGGTCGTATGGGAACCAGCGTATAGATAGCGCGCGCCTGGATTCCAAAACGTGACGCTCTCGCCGAGCTCCCCCGCTCGTCCCGTGCGTCCGATCCTGTGCACGTAACTCTCCACGTCCCTCGCCATGTCGAAGTTGACGACGTGCGTCACGCCCTTGATGTCCAAGCCGCGCGCGGCGACGTCCGTGGCGAACATCAGAGGGCACTCGTCTCTGATGAACTTGTTCAACGCCGCCTCGCGTTCGCTTTGTTTCTTATCGCCGTGCACGGAGACGCTCCTGCGCGCGGGATACGATGCAATTCGATGCGATATGCCACGTGGAGGGAGAACGCATGTCAGTGATTGGTTGGTGATCGGTGACGGTGCGGAAATATGCGATGACGTGGCATATCGTGTGGCCGACATGGCGTCGCGTCAGTCGCGCGCGCGGAGAAGACGCACCCGAAGCCGTGATTCCAAAACGCCTTCGTGAGCATCTCGACTCTGCGCTTCGTGTTCGCGAACGCGACGACGCGGCTGCCTTCCTTCAGCGCGCACAGAAAATCGTACATGTGCTTATCCTTCTCGTCGTCCGTGGCTCTGATGAACCGCTGCGAGACGGCTCTGTTCGCCGCGAGCGCCGCGCCGTCGCCGTCGCCGCCTTCCCCGAGGAATATTTTCACGTAGTTCCCGCCGTCCCCGTCCCCGTCCCCGGCGTCCCCGTCGTCCCCGTCGTCCCCCGCTAAAAACTTCGCGGCCATCTTTCGCACCGCCTTCGGCCACGTCGCGGTGAACATCATCGTCTGCCGTCCGATCTCGACGCCTCCCTCTTCCCTCTTCTTCCGCGATCTCGGCTCGGGGCACCTCTCGAATATGTCGCGCAACTGATGAGGGTCGTTCCATACAAAGCGATGGCGGGGTGGAGTTGAAAGGCGTCAGATGGAGTTGAAAGGCGCCGAGGTGTGTCGGGATTGAAACCGAGGGGTGGACGGAGAGAAACGCCGGGGTTAAAAGTCCTTAAGAAACGGCGTTCACCACGCCGACGCGGTCGTACGGGGACCAGTGTGAGATAGAACGCGCCTGCGGCTCGAACCCCATGTCTAACATCCGATCCGCCTCGTCCAGCACGACGTGCGCGCACCGGTCCAACGCTAACGCGCGCTGTTCCATCAGGTCGCACAGCCGCCCGGGCGTCGCGACGACGATGAAGCCGACGCCGTTCGTATTTTTGGCGGCGGCGGCGATGGCATTTTTCTGTTCGTACGCGGGCGCTCCGCCGTACACGCACACCGCGTCGATCCCCGACGGCTCGCCGTACCGCGCGCACTCCGCGTGTATCTGTATCGCGAGCTCTCGCGTGGGCGCGCACACGAGCGCGTCGCAGCGCGGCGGCGTTTGTGAGCGATGATGAATAGACGGTGGACGCGCCGCCGCCGCCGCCGCCGCCGCCGCCTTCTTCGCCATAATCATCTGAGGGCCGTTCCATACAAAGCGACGTCGGGGTGGAGTTCATAGGCGTCAGGTGGAGTTGAAAGGCGTCGAGGTCGGGGATTGAAAGCGGGGGACCCTGGGCGGAGAGACACGCCGGGAAAAGTCCTTAAGGATCGGCGTTCACCACGCCAACGCGGTCGTATGGGAAACAGTGTGTGCGACGCGCCTGATGGAATATCGGGAGGAGGAACGCGAGCGTCTTTCCCGAGCCCGTCTTCGCGACCGCCACGACGTCCGCGCCGTCGCACGCGACCGGCCACGCGCGCTGCTGTATCGGCGTCGGCGACGGGAACCCCGCGGAGGCGAGCGCGTTTGCGATGGACGGCGCGAACGGCGCGTCGGCGAACGCGGTCCACGCGCGAGGCGTCGGCGGCGGCGGCGGCGCGTCCGAGGGGGAGACGGCACCGCCGCCGCCGGCGCCGTCCGATCGGACGCGCTTGGCGCCGTCCGCGCCGCAAACCTCGCGCGCGCGCTTCTCTTTCTTGTCTCTCTTCTCCTTCTTCTCTTTCTTCTCCTTCTTCTCTTTCTTGTCCTTCGCCATCGCGCGCGACGAGGGCGGCGCGCGCGGGACGAGTGCGAGCGAGCGTTGGCGCATTCGTTACGACGCGTCGTATTTTCGTTTCATCAGAGAGAGGTGCTGGACGGAGTGGGAAGAATGAATGCTTTTTCTTTTCGTCGTCGATACGCGCCCGCCCGCCCGCCCGCCCTCCGCGGCGCCTCCGCGCGCTCTCATCTCATCACGCGAGACTCTTCGTGCATATCTCGAACAGGTTCGGCGACGGCTTCGCGTCCAAGATCCTCTGGAGTTGATTCCTCATCATCCGCTGGCGCTTCTCGTCGTACAGACGCCACTCCGTGAAGGGCTTCGCGATCCTGCTCGCCGCGATCGCGTTCATCTTGTCCATCTCCAGCAGACAATCCGTGAGGAACGCGTACCCGCTGCCGTCCGCGGCGTGGAACCCCGCGACGTTCGCGCGCGCGAACCCGCCGATCAGCGCGTAAAACTTATTCGGCACCTTCATCGAGAACACCGCCGGATCCGCCATCGTCTTCTTCACCCTCTCGAGCGCGTCCGGCCCTGAGATCCCCGCGACCAGGCTCAAGTATGTGCACACGACGTTGTTGTCGTCCTTCCACTTCTCGCGGAAGTCCTCGAACGCGGCGAATCGCGCGGTCGCGGCGTCCGGGTGCTTCGACAGCGCGGACAGACCGGCGACGACGTCCGTCATGTTTTTCGCCTCCTTGTATGCCGTGACCAACGCGATCGCGTCCGCGCCGCCGTGCGAAGCCGCGCCGAGCAAACGCAACGCGTACGCGTTCAGCGCGCGTCGCGCCGTCTGCGTCTCGTTCACCTCGTACGTCGGCTCGTGCCTGGACTCGAGCTTACACGTCACGACGCACGCCTCGAGCTCTCGCGTCACGCCCTTGGCGTACTGCAGCGTGAACGCCTTCACCACCGCGTTTAGAGCGAACGTCGGGGTGGAGTTGAAAGGCGTCAGTTGAAGTTGAAAGGCGTCGAGGTGTGTCGGGATTGAAAGCGGGGGACCCTGGGCGGAGAGATGCGCCGGGAGAAAAAGTCCTTAAGGATCGGCGTTCACCACGCCGACGGGGTCGTATGGGGACCAGTGTGAGATAGAACGCGCCTTCACCACCGCGTGCACGAGCAGCGGGTCGATCGGCTTGAGCCGCTGCACGAGCGCGCCGACGCCCGGGAACGACAGCGCCTCTTCGACCCACGCGCGGTCGACGCGTCCGTCGTCCGCGACGGCGCTCTCGAGCACGCCTCTCGCCGCGGCGACGAACGGCGCGAACGCGGCGTCGGCCGCGATCGCGGCGTCGACGACGGTCGGGTCGGACCACTCCTTGGACGCCACGTCGGCGACGACGCGGCACATGATCTCGCGCGCGATGGTCTGCGCGGCTTCCCAGCGCGTGAACGCGTCGCCGTCGTGCGCGAGCGCGTGAAGCAGCTCTTCGTTCGAAAGCGGCGGAAACACCTCGAGCTTCACGGGCGCGGAGAAGCCGCGAAGGATAGACGGCGTCGGCTCCGCGTCGAAATTCCCGGCGAACGTGAACGTCGCGGACATCGCGTTCAGGCGCAGCACCGTCGTCGTCGCGTCGGAGGACCCGTCGGGGACCGCGGCGGAGGATCCGGCGCCGCCTGAGGGCCATTCCATACAAAAACATGGAGTGCACCGGTCAGTTGAAAGGGACCCACGCGATCAAGTGTTGAAACCGAGGAGCGATGGGTGAAAAACTTTTGTCCTATAGAACGCACCTGATTCGTCGCCGACGACGCAAGAAATCTTGGTCATGTCGAGGTTCGCGCCGTCCGCGGCGACGAGCCCGAGGGCGATGGGTATCAGCTGCGCCACCTTCCTTTCGGCGTCGCCGCCGTCGTCCGGCGTGCTCGGGAGGCTCTGCGTGAACGTCAACGCGTAGGTCTTCTTCTGCGCGTCGTACGACCGCGCGCACTTCAGCGTGGGGGTCCCGGCTTGCGCGTACCAGTGCTTCAACCTCGAGATGTCGACGCCGGCGTTCGCGTCGGACATCGCCGCGAAGAAGTCGTCCGTCGTCACCGCCTGGCCGTCGTGCCGCTGAAAGTACAGGTCCATGCCCTTCCTGAAGCCGCCCTTCCCGAGCAGGGTGTGGTACATGCGAATCACCTCGGCGCCTTTTTCGTACACGGTGAGCGTGTAGAAGTTGTCGATCTTCATGTACGACGCCGGGCGCACCGGGTGCGCCATCGGCGACGCGTCCTCCGCGAACTGCGCGTCGCGTAAGTAACGCGCGTCGCCGATGCGTTTCGTCGCGCGCGACATCATGTCCGAGGAGAATTCCTGGTCGCGAAACACCGTGAGCCCTTCTTTGAGAGACAGCTGGAACCAGTCTCTGCACGTCACCCTGTTTCCGGTCCAGTTGTGGAAGTACTCGTGTCCGATGACGCCCTCGATCCTCCCGAACGCCGCGTCCGTCGCGCTGTCCGGCGTCGCGAGCACCAGCCGCGAGTTGAACAAGTTCAGAGACTTGTTCTCCATCGCGCCCATGTTGAAGTCGTCCACGGCGACGATGTTGAACAGGTCGAGGTCGTACTCGAGCCCGAACACGTCCTCGTCCCACTTCATCGCTCGCTTCAGCGACTCCATCGCGAAGTCGCACCGCGCGATGTTCTTCGCCTCGGCGTATATCCGCAGCGTGACATCCTTCCCGCTCATCGTCTTGAAGACGTCCTCCACGACGGCGAGGTCGCCGGCGACGAGCGCGAAGAGATACGCGGGCTGAGGGTCGGTCGTCCATTGGGGGCGGAGGGAGAGTCGTTGAAAGGCGTCAGACGGAGGAGTCGAAAGGCGTCATAGGGTCGGGGGTTGAAAGCGAGGGGTGATGGGCGGAGAGACACGCCGGGCAAAGTCCTTAAGGAACGGCGTTCACCACGCCAACGCGGTCGTATGGGGACCAGTGTGATACTAGCTCGGACGCGCCTTCCGCCACGGGTCGTGCCACGTGGCGACGTGCCTGTCGACGCCGTCCGCGGCGGGCGGCGCGTCGATAATCTCCACGAGGTTCCCGTTGGACAGTAAAACCGGGCACGACGCCTTGGACGCGGTGATCTTCGTCGTGAAGACGCTCATGACGTCCGGTCGGTCGGGGTAGTACGTGATCATTCGGAAGCCCTCCGCCTCGCACTGCGTGCAAAAGTTGCCCGAGGATTTGTACAGACCGCTGCGTGTAGGACGGCGATTCATCGAGGGACAAAAAAAAATCATCGGTCAGTTGAAAGGGACCCGGCGATCAAATCACGTTTCATGTTGAAACTACGGAGTGGGTGAAAAACGTTCGAGCGCACGCGCGCACCTCAGCTCGAGGTTGTCCTGCGGCGCGAACGACGTCTCGACGACGAGCGCGAACGACGACGACGACGGCGTCGCCTCCGCCGCGATCGTCAGCCTCGTGTCCTCCGCGTTCGCGGTCAGGACGTACTCGACGCCCTCGGTCAGGACTTTACCGTCGATCGCGATGGCGCGGAGCGTCGTGAACGACGCGCGGCCGTCGAGGACGAGCGCGGTCGGGCCATCCTTGGCGACGCCATCCTTGAGCTTGAGCGTGGAGCTCTGCTTCACGATCGCTTCGTCGTCGCGGAGGTCGAACTCGAGGAGGACCTGAGCGTGGGGTGTCCGTGGACGCGGAGGGAGGGAGGGAGGTATGTGGGGAAGGTCAGACGTCGGTCGCGTCGTCGAGTCGCGTCGTCGAGATCGCGGGGGCGCGCGGATGTCGTCAGAAGATGATGATGTCAGATCCGCCGACGAACGTTCGTTCGTTCGTTCGTTCGTTCGTTCGTTCGTTCGTTCGTTCGTTCGGCGCCGGCGACGCGGACGCGGCGCACCTTCTCGACGTCGTACGGGAACGGGACGTAGTCCGCGAGGTACGTCGTCGGCGTCTCGTCCGCGGGAGCGCCCATGATGAGCGACGCGCTGCTCGACCTTGCCGTGCGCGCGAATAAATGACGGCACCGTCGACGACAGGACAATGGCGAGAACATCAGTCCACGAGTCGTGTCACTCCGTCGTTGTTACGTGCACTTTCCCGAGCGCGGCGCCGCGCCCGCCCGCCCGCCGGGCGTCATGGCCGGCGCCATGATCACGGACACGCACGCCTTCATGGGCCACGCCATCAAGATCACGCGACGCGACATCGCCGGCGGCGGCCGCGACGACGACGACGGCGACGATTCCGACGACGCGTATGTCGACCCCTTCTTCTTCGACGAAGGCGCGTTCTGTACAAAAGTTTTTCACCCACCGCTCGGTTTCAACGTTTGATCGCGTCCCTTTTCAACTGACCGATGAACTGTTTTTGTATGGAACGCCCCGAAGGCTACACCGTCGCCGCGAGCACGGGATTCTGTCGCGTCTGGGAGGGCGCGTCCGCGCTGACGTCCCTCCTCGAGAGCGACGACTTCCCGCTTCGTGACAAACTCGCGGGGAAGCGCGTCCTCGAGCTCGGCGCGGGGGTGGGGCTGTGCGGCATCGCCGCCGCGGTCGCGGGCGCGCACGTCTGCGTGAGCGATCTGCGACCCGTCGTCGACGGCGTGCTCGCGACGAACGTGGCGCTGAACGCCGCCGATGAGGTGCGTTCTATACACTGGTTCCCATACGACCGCGTCGGCGTGGTGAACGCCGATCCTTAAGGACTTTTGCCGTCGTCTCTCTGTGCCCACCCCACGCTTTCAATCCCCGCCCTCGGCGCCTTTCAACTTCAACTGACGCCTTTCAACTCCACCCCGACATTCGCTCGTATAGAACGACCCTAACGACGCGGCGGACGGCGACGGCGACGGCGACGGCGACGGCGACGGCGACGCGGCGGATCGCGCGTGGGACGGCGCGACGCGCGTGATCGGCGGGCGCGGCGGGACCGCGTGCGCGAGGGCGCTGGACTGGACGAGGCCTGTGGACGAGCAGTGCGCGCGTCGCGGTGTTGATGATGGCGGCGGCGTCGACAACAGCTGTGCGTCATCGTTCGAGTTCGACCCGAGGGACGCGGAGATCATAATCGCCGCGGAGTGTCTGTGGCTGCGCGAGCTCCTCGCGCCGTTCGCGGACACCGCGTGCGAGATCATGCGCGCGAGCGACGCGCGTCGTCGCGCGAGGAGAGGGGTAAGTAACCCGGGGGAAGAGGGACCCGCGAGTGGAGGAGAACGCTGTCGCTGCGTGTTGTCGTTTCGCGATCGGTCGTCGACGGCGGCGTTCGCGGCGGCGGGCGAGGGTCGCGGCGACGAAAACGAATGCGGAAACGAAAACTCGGGGGGCGGCGGCGCGTTCGTGCCCGTGCGCGACGTCGTGGACGCGTTCACGTCGCGCGGGTGCGTCTGCGCGCTCCTGCACGAGCGCGCGTCCGAGGAGGACGACGGGTTCAGGGTTCACGTCTTTTCCATCTCTTTCTCGCCGGCGGCGGACGACGACGCGTAGTCACAGTAGTCGCGCGTTTCCGTTCTGTTTTGAAGGTTAATACCCTCAGCACGTAGGTTCTTTCTCTCACAGAGACGACGCGCGCGCGCGCTGTGATATCATATCGTCAGTCGCGCGCGGCGTCCGACCGACCGACCGTCTAAAACATCGACACGCCGCCGTCCGGTTCCTCGGCTCGCCGCGACGACTTCTTCTTCTTTTTCTCACCGTCCTCTTTGGCGTCCTTCCTCTTTAAGCCTCCCTCGTCGTCCCTTCGCGCCCCGAGCCGCTCTCTCGTCGCGCTCCCCGCGAAGAGATCCCGCAACACGTCCACGTCGACCATCCCCCGCGTATCGTCCACGTCCATGCCGTTCCCGATCGCCGCGCGTTGCTTAAATCTCCTCAACATGAACTCGCGCTCGTCGCGCTTCGCTCTCTTCTCTCGCGCCTCTCGCGCCTCTCTCTCCTCGTTCGTCTCCTCGTGGTCCAGTGGCGGGCCCTCCAGTCGGATATCGTTCTTCGACGAAACCCCCGCCGCCTCCGCGGCGCGTCGCTCCGCCATCTTCTCGATCTGCTTCGCCTGTTCCACCTTCTGCAGGTAGAAGTCGCGCTCGCGTTTCGCAACCGCCAGCTCCAGCCGCATCTTTTGCTCTCTGATTTGTTTTCATCGTCGGTCGGTCGAGGGAAGACTCGCGTCAGTCAGTTCATACGCGGGCAGCGCGCGATCGGTGGATGGAATTCATACGCGTCAAAACACATACGAGGTTCACGACAGCGCGCGAAAGGAAAGAACCGGGATCGCCTTAAGGAATGGCGTGCACGACGCGAACGCGGTCGCGTGGGGACCAGTGTGAATCAATCACGCGCCTGAGCGCCTTTTGGTACTCGATCTCCTCCGTCAGGTTATCCCACTTGAACTTCGGGAGGTACTTCATGCACCACAGGTCGCTGTAGTGGCTCCCGCGGCGCTTGCCCCCGATCGGGTTGCCGTTGAGCATCTCCGCGGCGGCGCGCGCCTTCTTCTTCGATCGGAACTCGATCCACCCCTCGGTGTAGTTTTTCCCCGTGTTGCCGCCAAACTGATGAACGATTGTTGGTCGAGGGAAGAAGACGCGCGCGCGGCGTCAGTTCCATACGCGGACGCGTGATTGGCGGATGGCGTTCTGACGTGTCAAAACGTGAGGTTCACGACAGCGTGCGAAGCGAAAGACACCGAAACCCGAACGCGGTCGCGCAGGGGGGGACCAGCGCGATGACAGAAAGATACTACAGAACGCGCCTGCTTCCGCCGCGCGCGGATCGCGGGATCTTCGGGCGTGAGAAAGATGCGGTCCAACGCGCCGTGCGGCGTGAGGAGCTGCCTCAGCTTCTGCGGCTTCATCCGCGGCGGTATCGACCCCAGGTACACGATGCCGCGCTTCTCCTGCGCGCGCTTCGACTTCGCGAGCGCCTTGGACGAGAGCACGGGCGTTGGCTTCTCGGTCGTCGTCGTCTCGTCGGCGGAGGCGCGGAGCCCGAACTCGTCGTCGTCGTCGTCGTCGTCGTCGTCGTCGTCGCCGCCGCCGCCTCTGGCCGCGTCGTCGTCGTCCCCGTCGCCGCCGTCGTCGTCGTCGTCGTCGTCTTCCTCCATGGAGAGCGACACGTCGCTGTAGTTGTCCACGTCCGGCTCGAGCAACATCGGGTCGACGTCGTCGTCGTCGTCGTCGTCGTCGTCGAGGAGCGCCGCGGCCGCCGCGAAGCGCGCGTCCATCGCGGCGAGCTTCTTCGCGTTCTCGATCTCGACGGCGCGGCGGGCGGCGCGCGTCGTCTTCTCTTCCTCTTCCTCTTCATCTTTCTCTTTCTTTTTCTCCTTCGGCTTCTCATTCTCCTTCTTCTTCTTCTTCTTCTTCTCGACGCCGCCCGCGGCGTCGGCGCCGCGGTCGCGCTTCGGCATCCTGCCCGCGGCGCGGCGACGAATGTGAAGATTCAATTCATTCTTTTCGGCGGATCCGATGACGCGGACGACGAAAAAGCGATGAAGTGCGCAAACGACAGCGCGCCGGACCGCCGCGGCGTCGCGAGCGCGGCGGCGATGTCGGACTTTCCCAGACCCTGCCAGCACTGCAACGAGATCGTCTTGAACCGGACGGCGTACTACAGAAACCACAAGAAGGGGCGGTGCCTCGTCATCCCGGGGGACCCGCGAGAGGCGCCCGCGCGAAGCGAGATGAAACGCGCGAAGAAGACGCGCGATGATGATGTGCGTTCTATACACTGGTCCCCATACGACCGCGTTGGCGTGGTGAACGCCGATCCTTAAGGACTTTGCCCGGCGCATCTCTCCGCCCACACCTCGCTTTCAATCCCCGCCATCGACGCCTTTCAACTTCAACTGACGCCTTTCAACTCCACCCGGACATTCGCTTGTATAGAACGGCCCTGATGATGAGACGACGCCCCCTCCTCCTCCCGCCGTCGTCGTCTTCGGCTCCGCGAACGTCGACCTCGCGATGCGCGCGCCGGTCCTCCCCGCGCCGGGCGTGACCGTCCTCGCGCCGTCGTACGCGCTCGCGCCGGGAGGGAAGGGCGCGAACGCGGCGTGCGCGTGCGCGGTGACGGGGCGCGGGCGGAACCGCATCGCGATGACGAGCGCGTTCGTCGACGTCTTCGACGTCGTCGTGAAGTTCGTCGGCGCGGTCGGCGACGACGCCTTCGGCGCGATGCTCAAGGACGCGTTCGCGGACGCGGGCGTGGACGCGACGCACCTCGCGACGCGCACTGCGAGCGCGGCGCGCACGGGATGCGCGTCCGTGATCGTGGACGCGCGAGGAGAGAACCAGATCTGCGTCGGCGCGGGCGCCAACGCGACGGTGAACGCGAAGGAGCAACTGGGCGGCGTGGGTGCTGGGAAAATGCTGCGTCCCGGGGACGTCTTCTTGACGCAGCTCGAGGTTCCCGCGCGCGAGGTGTGGGACGCGATCGCGATCGCGAAGGAGGCGGGCTTGACGGTGGTTCTGAACGCCGCGCCGGCTGCGGCGGTGCCGGCGGAGGTTCTGAAGCAGGCGCGCGACACTCGGCGGCTTCTCGACCGCGAGCTCGTCCACGTCATCGAATATATTCGAATCGAATCGACACCTGACCCAATCGTCGTGTCGTCGTCCACGCGTCGCAGGTCGACTTCCTGGTCGTCAACGAGCACGAGGCGGCGCGCGTGGAGGCGTTCGCCGTCGCGCCCGGATGCGCGCACCCGGCGGCGCTGCGCGGACGTTTGGATCCGCCGATCGAGGCGGCGTGGCAGATCGCGCGGGAGCACCGCGTCGTCGTGGTCGTCACCCTGGGCGCGAACGGCGCCGCGGTGGCGCTTCCGGTCGTCGTGAGCTCCAAATTAGGGTTTATCGCGGGCGCGGAGGTGCGTCGATTCGGCGTCGCGCCGCTGCGAGCGAACGAATCGGTGATCGACACCGCCGGCGCGGGCGACGCGTTCGTCGGCGCGTTCGGTGCGTTCCATGTCACACTGGTCCCCGTACGATCCCGTTCGCGCGGTGCACGCCGATCCTTAAGGACTTTTCCCGGCGGGCGTTCGTTTCTCTCCGCCCAGGGTCCCTCGGTTTCAGGGTTTCAACCGACGCCCAACCTCGACGCCTTTCGACGCCGCCCCGAAATCACATCACCCTCATCTCGACAGCCGCGTCTCTCGCGCGCGGCGACGACGTCGATACGTGCATGACGCGCGCGTCGTACGCGGGCGCGGCGGCGTGCACGGCGAAGGGCGCGCGCGGGGGCGTTCCGACCGGGGCGGAGATCGACGCGCGGACGAGGGAAGAGCCGCGAATGGCGCCGCCGACGCGCGAGCTGTTCGACGCGCGCGGGATGCCTGTTCCTTTAGTCTAGTTGGGGTTTCACAGGTTTCACGCTGTACTACGTACGGAAGTACTTTATATGAGCAATTTGTTTGCGCGCGACTTAGGGCAACTCGTCCATCCGACGCGGCATCGCAAAAGCGCTTTTCCCACGATCCGACGGATAGCCTCCCGTCCACTCCCGCCGCGCGTCGCCCCCCCCCCCCCCGCGCGCGCCCCGGTCAAGGTTCCCAGGTCCCGTCTCCGTCGACCTCCTCCGCGCGACGAACGATGCTCGCCCTCGGCGCGACCGCGCTCCGACGCGCCGCGTCGTCGGCGATCGCACCCGTCGGCGGCGCGACCGCCCGCCTCCTGCACCGGTCGCCGTCGCCGTCTTCGCCCGCGGCGGCTTCCTCCGCGCCGTCCTCCGCGGGCGCCGCGGCCGCGGAAGACGCGTCCGTCCTCGCGTCGATGCCCGCGCTCGGCGTCGTCCGCCACGACTGGACGACCGCGCAGGTGGAAGCGCTGTACCGCCGCCCGCTGCTCGACCTCGTCTTCGACGCCGCCTCCGTGCATCGCGCGCATCACGACCCGCGGCAGGTGCAGCAGTGCACGCTCCTGTCCATCAAGACGGGCGGGTGCCCGGAGACGTGCAACTACTGCGCGCAGTCGTCGTCGTGGAAGGAGACCACGGAGCTCAAGGCGGAGCGGCTGATGGCGATGGACGACGTGCTGAACGCCGCGCGGCGAGCGAAGGAGGCGGGCAGCACGCGATTCTGCATGGGCACCGCGTGGCGAGGGCGCGTTCTATATCACACTGGTTCCCATACGACCGCGTTCGCGCGGTGCACGCCGATCCTTGAGGACTTTTCCACCCGGCGGCGTCTCTCTCCGTCGCTCTCTGTCGTCCAATGAAACGTCGTCCACGTCATCAAATAACTAACCAAACACAACACTTCCCGCCGCGTCGCCCGCCGATCGAACGACCCTCAGACCGTCGCAGGTGGGCAAAGGGCAGTTCCAACGCGTGCTAGACATGACGTCCAAGGTGCGGGACATGGGCATGGAGGTGTGCGCGACGTTGGGGATGCTGGACGGCGCGCAGGCGAAGGCGTTGCGGGAGGCTGGGCTGACGGCGTACAACCACAACCTGGACACGTCGCCGGAATTTTACCCCAAGGTGACTTCGTCGAGAAACTACGAAGACCGACTCAACACCATCGCGGCTGTTCGCGACGCCGGCATCTCCGTGTGCTGCGGCGGCATCCTCGGCTTAGGCGCGCTCTATACACTGGTTCCCATACGACCGCGTTGGCGTGGTGAACGCCGATCCTTAAGGACTTTTGCCGTCATCTCTCTCCGCCCAGGGTCCCCCGCTTTCAATCCCGACACACCTCGACGCCTCACAACTCCATCTGACGCCTTTCAACTCCACCCCGACGTTCGCTCGTATGGAACGGCCCTCAGGCGAGGCTGAGAGCGACCGCGCGTCGCTCCTCCGCGTCCTCGCGAACCTTCCGGAGCACCCCGAGTCGGTGCCCATCAACGCGCTCGTGCCCGTGAAGGGCACGCCGCTGGAGGGGCTCACTCCGCCCGGCGGGTTGGAGATGGTGCGCACACTGGTTCCCATACGACCGCGTTGGCGTGGTGAACGCCGATCCTTAAGGACTTTTCCCGGCGTGTCTCTCCGCCCACTCCACGCTTTCAATCTCCGCGCGCGACGCCTTTCAACTCCAACTGACGCCTTTCAACTCCACCCCGACAGGTGCGCGCCATCGCCGTCGCGCGGCTCGTCATGCCGCGCACGGTGGTCCGCCTCAGCGCGGGGCGAATCACGATGGATCGAGCCACGCAGGCGATGTGCTTCCTCGCCGGCGCCAACTCCGTGTTCACCGGCGATACGCTGCTGACGACGCCGAACAACGAGAAGTCCGAGGACGACGCGCTCATGGCCGAGCTCGGCCTCGTCGGCAGGTGAGATTGGATGAGATCACAGACTGCTCCCCATACGACCCCGTTCGCGTGTTGATCGTCGTTTCTTAAGGCGTTCTTTCGCGCGCTATGAACCTCACGTTCGTTTTGACACGTGGGATTGCTCTCCACCAATCACATGTGTACGCGACTGACACGTTTCTTCCCTCGGCCAATGATAAGGCCCGCGTTCGAGCCGTATCTGTCGGGCGCCGCGAGCAGCGACGGAAGCGAGTGGGGCGCCGCCGCCGTCGCCGCCGCGAGCGGAGGAGGAGGAAGAGGAGGAGGAGGAGGAGACGCGCGCGCGCCGAGGGTGAGCGCGTCGATCGCGGAGGGCGCGAAGCGCGTCGCGGAGGCGCGCGAGAGGACGAGGGCGTCGTTGGCGCGGCACTGACGAGGAGGAGGAGGAGGAGGAGACGGCGGCGACGGGAGGCAGGAGCGTGCGCGGATTTTTCTACTCGTACTCGTATGGGCAATCAGTATGTAAATCCCAACGCGCAGCCCTTCCGGGAAAACGTGACGATTCGGGCATGGGACTTTTTAGTCTGGAAAAAATGCAAATCGTCAATCGAACTTTGTGTACTGTAGATTTTATTACACAAAAACTGAGCTCTAACCCAACTGTACACGTACACGTAGGACTCGCTCGATTCTGTTTTTGAATAAGTCGATCCTTCACGATGGGATTTACGTGACTGATTGCCCATACGAGCTTAACTTTTCATCTGTACTAATCTATTTCCCGTGCCTTCTTTTTATGCGTCATCGTTTTTTGCTTAGTTGGCGGTATGCGTCACGTTTTCGCAAAAGAAATTATCTTCATAGAATGTATCGTTTTTTTATGCGGCGTTCCGCGGGAATCACGATTTGACGCCATCGCCGCCTTACGGCGATGCGCGCGCGCGTTTCTTCACGGTAAGTTCTAATCTTTTCGCGTGTTATCGCACGCATCGCGGCGTTCTTCGCACTTTCTCTCAATGTCGCGACGGCGTTCGCGGGCTCGCGGCGACGTGAGCGGCGGTTAAAGCGCGGAGGGTGGAGGTACTGTGGTGTCGAAGCGTGGATTATTATGTTATGTCACTCGTGACATGGATAATGAACGTGGATAGTCTCCCACCGTACATTAAGCGGATAACCCTTTTCATGCGGCGGCGGTGGTTTTTATGCGGCGGCGGTTATGGATCCCACGACTCATCTTTTCGCGCGCTGCACGGTGGTGCGCACGCCATGTCGACTCGACGGGAACGCGCGCCCCCGTTCATTCGTAAACTGTGCGTCCCCGCGCATCGCTCGATCGTCCCCGCCATCGCGCGCGACCTCTCGTCCCTCTCCGCGACGTCCCAAAGAGTTCGACGCGGAAAGAAAATTTCCCCCCTCTGACGCGCGCGCCCGCGTCCGCGCAGGTACCACATGATCGAAGACGAGGTGCCGCCCTACGACAACGTCTCGTGGTCGGAGAGCGGACGGGAGTTCACGATACACAACGTCGCCGCGTTCAGCAACACGCTGCTCCCGCGCTACTTCAAGCACGCGAACTTCTCGTCGTTCGTGCGGCAGCTCAACTCTTACGTGCGTCGCGTCGATTCGCCCCCTCCCTCCCCGCGCCC